ACGCTAGTCTTTTTTTGCCGTGCTGGACGGTCAACCTCGCTATCCTGCTCCTGCCTCTCCTCATCAGAGCTGGTTCTCTGTCGGCTGAATGACTGTCTTGATATGTCTCCTTGAGCGAGTCTCTCTAACACCTGTCTGGAGTTCAACTCAGGCCTGACCCTGTTGACTATCGTCATCGTGGAGAAGTTTGCAGCCGAGATGTGGATGCTCGGGAAGTTGGCCTCATTCCGGAGGGCAGAGTTGCTACGTCTGTTCAGCCTGTCGCACTCGTGGCAGGCCTTGGGCCCGAGAACATCACAACATTCCCGGGACATGTTGTTCACTCGATCGTAGAGGTCATCATTGAGGAAGCTCTCAGTTCTCACACACGGTCGTTCGCGGAACTTCATGCACAGGTAGGCGTGTTCCCGCTCTCGGCGTTTCCGCCTGCCGGTCGGTGTACCGCTAAGGCTTGCATACCGAGGGGAGCCGTGCTGCCGGACTCCCATGGCTGAGGAGATGTTGAGTCGCCGCTCCGTGTGGAACTTTTGCTGCTCTTTCTCGATGGCAACCGTGGCAACATCATCTGCTCTCATGTTGAGGTTTTCCAAGTCAGACAGTTTGAGGGACAAGTCGATATTTGGTGGGGCTGTCGAACTACGTGTTGCGTCGACATCAGTAGAATCCAAGTTAGCTGGGTCGGTATTTGTGATTGGTACTGACTCGCATCTGGGCTGAGCTTTGGAATTGGGCCGGGATGCCTGTTCCGTTGACACAGAAGGGAAGTAGTCTTGCATAGTATCGGCATTCTGTCGGCTGTTAGGTCTCGTGCGGACCTCATGATCACCGTGTGGAATGGACTTCTCTATGGAGAAGTAGACGTCCCGAGGTGGGCTTCGGAAGGGCGCCACCTTGGTGGAGGTCACTCGCTTGATTTGGGTCATGCTTCTCAGACCACGCGGGGTGTGGTCAGTGCGCCTGCGTGTTCGTGGACTCACGTTACCGGTGACCAACATGGCGAAGAACAGTTATTGTCAAAAAGTGACGTCAGTCGCTACCGTGAGGAACTCTTGCGAGTTTCGGCCCCAAGTCTGGCATCTGCGGTGTGAAAAGAAGAAACATATGTAAGATTCTAGAAAGGGATTTTATGAAAAAAGATATTGTCAACAATTAAAATGTATTTTTATTGAATTGTGTCTGTGTAAAAGACCAAAATACATTGCACACCCGAGTATCAACTATATGAAAAAAAGTCATGAAATGGAATAAAAAAGATGGCTTTAACTAGTAAAACAATCAGGATAAAGAAATGTATTGCATATTGCTACCTTTTGGAGAATGGCGTAGGCTCATATGTATTCGATTATGTAAGCAACAGGGATCAGTAGACTTTTGCATCAAATCACGTAGAGAAAATTCATTTGGGTTACTTGGTTCTAATAAAAGTATTTCCTAAACCGGTAGACGTGATCGAGTCAACTTCATAAGTCTTGTCGTTCTGATATAACATCATGTTCTAAATGTATCAATCCCGTTAATGTATTGGCCCTTTAAGTAACCTTTTTTCACGATATGTTTAGCCTCAAAATCTATAAAGTGAAACGATGAAACCTATTGATGATAGTGATCGAATAAGTAAGGTCCCTCTTCGGCACCTGTCATCAACATGTAAATTTACGATGCAGCAAATTTAACGTGATTTCATGACAAAGCACAACATCTACCGACTGTTTAAGTTTGAACATGTGAAAACATTCAAACAACATGCAGTCGTTATTTTGGCAACATAATAATGTTAATGGTGCCCCATAAACCCAGCTAGCTTGTCTGTGGAAAAAAATGTTTTACGAAATGCCCTTAATGACTTCGGAATTATGTCTTTCTATGAGGCACTCGGGCTACTGTGGGGAAACGCGTACAACGACATGGCCATTAGCCTAATGATTAGTACCCATTCATGTACCCGCTGTTAACATTACAATGCTCCATACATACCGTGTAAATGCTTCATCATCCCGGATACAAAGTACCCTCACACAGTATCCGCCGGTAGGCCTACTCCAAAATGTTTCTCTTTTTGATCACTTCATGTTTTGGACCAACATGAACTTCACCAAATCCATTCATCGATGTCCCGTTCTACGACTCGCGGGCTAACGAGATTCCCTTGCATAATATACAGTAGTCAAAATTCATACAATATATTCAGGATTTGGAAACTATGCGTGCGGTACAGCACTCCATTGTCGGTAAACAACAAAACCTCTCCAACCGAAGGTGAACCTTTTGACACGGCGGGGTAGTGCTTGGTAACGGGGCCCGCGGGCCATGTAGCCCCATTGAGCTCCGTGTGTACACTAGTTGACGGTTGTCTGTGTACGGGTTCATCACGTGAACAATACCGGGACGGGATCGATGTGCGGGGCATTGGGTTATGGGTTAATGCATGGGGGAAGAAGATTCGCCCTAAGGCAAACCTTTACAAAAGTTACGCTCAGGAAAAGGCAGTCATTTCACTATACAGGGTGGGGAAACCCACTTTTGACAGCAATTTTCACCTACTTGTTGAGCATATTTCAAAAATTCAATTTAATGGTATTAACCCATTGATCTTTAAATATTAGTGACGAAAAGATCATTGCAAATGCATATTTTTCTCTGAGATATGGTAGTTTACAAAATGTTATGAGCCAAACCTGTTTGTCCACGGATGGCTTTGTTCCATCCGCTTGACTGAGCTCCGGAGCTTGATCTGAAGACAGAAACACTCCAAAAGACTTAGGACACCAGTGATTTTGGTGACTTGTACTCAAATAAGCATAGTAACACTATTCTTGCGAATGTTTTAAAAAAAAATTTTCACCATGTATAGTTACAGAGCTATACTTCACTACATTATAAAAAATAACCAGTTCAAATAAGATAAGTAAGTAGGTTAAAAAAAATTCAAAAGTGGGTTTCCTTCTTTTTGAACCACTCAGTAGAATGATATTTTGGATGTCAAACCTTTATTTGTATAGTTTGTATATACTTATAAGTATTGGACCTGAAGGAACTAGTTTTGAAACTGTTTTTTTTTCGAAGATATGGACAACATTCAATTTTGAATAACAGCAGCGATCAAATACTCTTTTTTTTTCGACAATCGCACATGTATTTAAAACAAACTCAATTTTTTGTTCTCTAAATAAATGTTCCACTTGTATGTTTTATTCCAACCAAAAAAAACTTTTTTTCCTTTTTTGGGCGTCTGCTATACCCTCCGAATTGTGTTATTTTTGGGCACAGACAGAACCGCCCTGCGAGCAGACTGACTCCCGGTCCGTACATTATCGATACTAATTGTGGGGCGGCAATCAGCCTACCCTGCGAGAACGGAGTTATTGTCTGGCTGCAAGAATTTCGAAACTTATAAAGTAATGATTCAATAACTAAACCTGGGCTGATTGTTGTTTTTTTCCGGCCGATGGCTCATTCAAGTAAATAACTTTTGTTTTGCTAGAGAAACATCAATTTGTTTATAATTAAACTCGAAAATAGGGGAACGCAGCTTTAATTCACGGAAACTGAGTTTTTTCCTTGTCGTTTCCCAAGTGTATGGACAATTGAAACACATTTTTCATGATCGTCCAGGAAAGGCAGGAACATGAGGACAAAACATACAGGCAACAATTGAAGGGAAAAAACAACTCAGTTGGGGTAGGCTTATATCGCTATATTTTATAAATTAGGCCCCTACTTAGGTGATATCCGCATGCAATCGGAAGAAGTAATTGGTTCTAATTTTCAGTCAAAGAAACGCTGTGTCTGTAACAATCTCTATTTCATAGTATGCATACAGGAAAAGAAATACGGGAAAAGAAATGAGCCAATCAAGTTCTTGAACCCGTAAACCTTGGAATAACAGTCAACTCACTTATCCAAGCTTTGTGATTAATATAGCAAGCAGTCATAGTATCGGTGTGCCAAGATGTCATTCACTAATATGAATACACTTCAACCCTACAGTTGCTTTATCCATATTATCTCTATTATCGAACTTCTTCCAGGTAATTGTACCACGGCTTCCTCTTAAAAGTGCACAGACACTGAAGACCGATAAAGAGACAAAATGCTAGGGAAGAAATGTTCAGTTTCACACGAAGTACAGAAAATAAAACCTTATGGAAAACGTAGTGAATTGGGCGCAGTGATCATTCGGTCCTGGGCATGATTCGAACCCGGGTCACAGAGATGGAAGGCGAGGAAATTACCAACCCGATTACCGAATAAGGAACAGTCTTTTACCCAAGACAACTGTAACACAGAAATAGGCCTACGCCTTGCATAATCTCAGAAAGACAATTTAGACATTTAAGTTTTCCGTCATTGTATGATAATTTTGGTTAACAACGGGAATGTGCAAACATGGATGGCTGTTTTGAGCTTCCGTAGCATTTACTACAGAACACCACACATTTTCGTAAGAATTTCCAGATAAAACTGCAAATGAAAAGTATCAGTGGCTCTGTGACAGGCATCGATCCATCGTTTTTGTTTTATCTTTCAGTACTCCGAGTGTTTTCGTAAACATATCCTGAATGGCCGACAATCACTGTAGACGACCCCTCGCCATTTGTATTGTTCCAAGAACAAAAGAATTGTTGATACTAAGTGGTAACCACGGGAGACGGTTTGCAGAAAGCATTTGGCGCGCTAGAAGCTGGTATGGGGGTAAAGTTTGCTTATAACAAATTTGACTTCAAAACGACTGTTTAATGCACGGTACAAAGCAATCAACAGAGACGTGTTGTTACATTGCAGCCAAACATCCCCTATAAGAGAACCTGTGATCAAATTTCGTTATCACATAAAAATTGACATGTCACAGTTCAGAAACAATTGCAGTATTTTGTGTTATCATTTCGGCCATCCCTTCAACGGCATTCATGAAACAGCCGTTGAACTGTTGGTACCGACGACCTCTATATTTGCCGACTTTTGACGTCTGATTTGCATAGAGTTTGCGTTGAGAGGGATAACTGTAATGAATATTATAATACAGATTTGTTTGTCTCGTTGTGTAGTAGCACATGTTGGGCATCTGATTGCAGTATCATCTTAATCATCAGTCGCTTTAAATAGCTGTATCAGCCTTCAAATGCGATTAACTTCTTCATTTGTGCGCCGTCATTTTGGCTCGATCATCGGCTTTCACAAATCCTCCAACACGGTGCACAATGAAAACCTGTACACAGCCATGCATGGGCTGAACTCATTACTGGAGCAAGATTGAGCTCAACCAAGACTGATGCTTCAATAATAGACCCAAGATATAACTGCTATTCCATCCAAGTAAAAGACCGTACAAGAAGATACAAGACCCCCGTGGCCGCAGTCTGACTGATTCTACCAAGTGAAGACATCGAGACGGTGAGCGAGTTTCGTCCAGCAACGTTCGCAAAAAGTGGGACAACTGCATCTTCATTCACAGGTGGTTGATTCGGCATAAGTTCGTCCGACTAACTTTCTTCTTCATAAAACCACGGCTACATTACTTTCAAAAGGTGGGCATTCGGTTAAATAAACTATTTCTTGTTGTAAATTAAGTAAAAGTTTAAATTTCCTTCCCCATCCTGTAAAACCAGTTTGATAGTTGCTATGAATGTCCGAATGGAAGAACCACAATAAAAGCTAGGTTTATAAATCCAAACATTTACGCCTTTTGTAATAACACTAACATTAGAAAACCATTTTTCCCCTCTCACTAAAAGAAACAAAACACAATTTGGAAAAAATTAAGACCGATTTTGTTTTTGCGCATGGTGGGTCATTTTTGGAAGAACATGCGTATACAAAACGGCGGATGTTATATAGGGCCACATGAGAGACACGATAACAAATTAATTTTCAAAAGTGTCACGGCCTGCTGGAGCAAAAATGCTTCTGAATCCCAGAAGTTTTAACGCCAAAAACATTCATATCGTTGAGTTTTCTTTGTTGCCCGAGAACGTTCTTTGACATGAAAATGATATGAACTCGTTTTGATTCAAAGCATCATCTTTTTAAATCGGGTTTAATGTGCCTGTCTCACCCCATGCAGACTACTTCTGGTGTCAAATATTACACAGAAAAATAGGTAAATTCCCTTTATGTAAATATATGTTAATTTCCGTTATTAAGCTGTTGACACTTGATTCTCGTTACTTTTTTTAGTAACAAAAATACAACCTTAAATCTGAAGCATAAAAAGAACTAGGGCCTAAAATAAGTTTGGAAACCGCTAACTAAATCTCCATTAGTGAGATATCTAAAGTACAGCTGTGTTAAGAATAAATTCTTAACGGCAGAGTACACAAAATGCACCACATAATGACATAATATGGCACAGCGAGAATACATTACTCCTCACCATTAGGGAAGAATATAAATAACAATAGTTGATAATGAGGGTTAAGGACGGTCCGTAGATCATAGTACAAAGGTGAGCTTGCATTTATGAGCGTCGTTTGAAATTTGGTACAAATTGAGTATGAACACAAAGATTCGGATTATCAAAAACAGCGAACTATTTTTGCTGTCATAAACACACTGATAACTGACTTAACTCTGCAGTCGTATACTGAAAAATTGAACACGAGAACACATGTAATCTTAATCTCGATCAAGTTCACGCTCCTCTCAGAAGAAAAAAAATGATAACCAAAAATATAAGCTTCGTCCGGTCAGTTGCAACTAGAAAGATTAGCAGTTTGGCCAGAAGTTTCACCTGTTCATCAGAATTCTTTTTTTGAAAATCTTGTATTAAAGTACTGTTACCTGGTTTAAATGAAATACGCATGTTTTCTATCTCTACAAAAACATGTTCTTTCTTTCTTATGTGGGCACTCCAGACCTAAAATAAACGGTTTTGTTTCATCGTGCATCCCAATATTATTTAACCAAGGAGGCAAGTGCATATAAACAAATAGCGCACATTACTAACGTCCTAAGGGGTCTAAAGTATCTTTACACAGAACATTCTTTAAGTGTAGTGTAAAAAGCAATTAGAGTACCCCTACATTGCAATCAATAAGATTGAATGCTAGGAATCCTGGCAGGTTTATTTATTGTGTTGACTTTTCCATCGGAAACATTTTGAGTATCACTTGGCACGTAAGACGTGCAGGAAATTGAGAGTATCGTTTATCTGGGTACGAGAAGAGTGCAAAGATTTGCTCTCAGCAGTATTGGTCTACCACAGAAAATGCTTGCAGTGACAACTCCCATTAGTTTCAACTGCCCTCTGGCTATATAGGAGGAACGTTCAGGGCAGATACGTCAACAAAGCTTAAATTCAAAACTCAGTCACGTTGATACATCATACAACACTGTGTTCCTCATTAACAATGATGCAGACTATTTGTCTTTTCGACTTTTCGTGACTAGGCCTACTTAAAGGCTGCTTGAAACATTTGGCGTACATATCAGGCCGATTTCTTCAATAGGTAACGTTCACCGAGGCGAGTAAAAAAATCGAGCTTTAGAAGAAAAAAACGGCAGTACAAAACGAAAACACGAATATCTTTCGGGAATCAAACAGCGCACTTTCACCACTATTGATTCGAAACAATTACTGCACAGACCGTGGACATTTTTCGTATCAAGTGTTTTCATTTCACAAGAAGTCTGATGTGAGACATCAGAGTCATCTAAGAGTTTAAAGCTGAAGCTAAAGACTTTACCCGGATAACAGTACAGAATTGTTTGCGGACATGTGAAGAGACCAAATCTCTTAGAGAAGTGGTTCGGAGGGGAACCAGAGACTCTGTTATTAGAATACTTATTACTTGACTAGTTTAAACGGCTGATTCATGCCAGTTCAATTTTGTGTTATATATTCTTGAACAGGACGTGGGTGGAAGGATCATGCAGCTATGAAAAGTGTAGAAGACACCGTGATGGAACTATGCTGAGACACAAACCTCTCCCACCGATCCACCCTGCGATGTCATCCTACAAAGCACCGGTCAAGTCATCCGTCTCATTCGCAGATTTAGACACTACATCGCTCCAGCTTGACAGCAGGCACAACCCGGGCCAAGCCCAAGCAAGCAGCGGGACAGTGAGTACCCAGCGCGGGCTTGACGTGTCGAGAGCTCCGATGAACCGGCCGGTGTTTCACGCTCGCCGGAGTACCGTGGTGGGGTCTACCAACAAACCGGAGGATGGCGTGGCAGCGCTATCGGCTGCGTTATCCGTCCGCTATCCACTGCTTCAGGACACATCCACTAACGACTTCAAACGATCCAGATCCATGTATACGACAAACGCAACGCTTATGGAGCGTAAGAAACCAAGTGACCTCAAGACAGACAGGTTTGATAATCACAAACGACACTCCAACCGAAGGAAAAAAGACCAAGTTTTACTGACTAGAGGAAGTCACCACTCCTTTCCTCCAGGGAAAGTCATCAAGAGAAACGATGACAACAGCATCATACCTCAGATGTTCCCCAAGGTACGGCGAGTGGACCGAGGCGGACCCTGCCCCACTCAGCTCTACAACCAGACGAAACTCTCGTACTCGGAGAAGAGCAACGGCTCAATTCAGCTGGACCACTACGTCAGGAGGAACTCCCGCCCTCGGATGGAGCCGCTACGGGTTCCCTCGACATCCACAGCAACCTCTAGCGAAGAAACCTTGAACTCTGTCATCTCTTCAAGTAAGATGACGCTGGAGGGTCGTGACTGGCCAGGCAGGGGATTCTCGCCTTTCTTTAGACCCTACAGTTATCTTGACGAGGACTTGTCTGTGCCACCAAACTCGGAGATCGGACCTTCCAGAGCGCAGATGTCGACTACTCCGTACGAACATTGACCACCTTGACAAAATACAACATTGCTTATCCATAAGAAAGCAGTCAACTCTTTCAATATTGGTGGACAAGGCGAAACAGAAAACGAGTACAAATTGTATGACAACATTGAGAATAAAAGATGACTTCCTTTGACTTATGAGTGTCTCGAGTTATCTTTATTTTGAACAAATTAGAATGAATTTCATATAGCCAATACGCCCGAGGATCCAAAACCTCATGATAAAAGAAACACATGGACAATGTACATGTATATGTTTTCACCTTTTTTCAAGAGCTCATGAACTTATCTTAGAACACTGTTACAAGAGCACAACATCTAGTTTGACCTGATTTTCGCGCTGACTCTGGGTTAAATGATCCGTAACAAATAAAACACCAATTATGACATTTGTAAAAGTATGATCTCAACTTTAACTTTTATTGTCCAACACCGCTCTTGAGTTAGAATAAATGTCCTGTGAACAGATCAAAAGAAAGTTCTGCTATTCCCATTCTAAGCCAATTGAATTCTTCAGTTGACAAACAATTTTTTTTTAACTTTTGCTATAAGTCTTCCTGGATCCTCCATAATCCATCGGTTTGCAGGCACATTCTTCACACCCTAACTTTAAAGGGAACCAGCCTTGAGCAACATGCAGTTGTTGGGCTCTACTTTCCTCAATCCTACAAAACCCTTCGCCCCAATTTGATTTTGAAGGATCTTGGAGGGTTAGGGCTACTGATCCTCTTTTGTAGTCTCAGCAGAATTCATTTCGACATCTTCCACTATCTTCTGGGTGGTGACCTTCTTGCGTTTCGGAGGATGGTAAGATCCCAGGCCTGCTGCAGCATCAGCTTCTTTCTGTGTGTAGGGTTCCAGCTCAAGAGCTTTTAACCTGTTGAAAACCAACACAAAGGTTGAAACGAATTTAATTTTTTTCTTTAAAAAGTGCTTTCAATTTGTTTTGTTGCTGTGTATTTGTGTGGGTGGGTTGGGGAGTTGTTACTTTTTAGAGTTGTTACTTTTATATAATTTCATTTTAGAGGTTAATTTACATAATTTTTATGGTAATAAAACGGAATGAGAAAAAACACAGCTATAGGTTAGATAAGGCCAAAAAAGTTCTGCTTCTGATTACATGGCATTTGAAAATAGGGTAGGTAGGTAGGGAATTTTGGGGTTTTTTTTTGGGGGGGGGGGCAATTGTTTTGTGTACGATCGTTTGGAGTTGTCTGCGTGTACTAAAGGGTAAAAGGAAATAATTGATGGTTCTCAGGTTTTTTTCCTCATTTCCCCCCTCAAAAAAATTAGGGTAGGGGCTGTCAAAAAAGGGTAGGTAGGGTCACCGGAAGCAGAACTATTCTTTTTTGGGGCCTAATCGTGCGTGCGTGGTGTGTATTATTCACATTCTCCCAAATTATCTACGGTTTAACAAGAGAGGGCGCTGTTGATATCTCTCATTCAGGCCAGTGTTCAAAACACCTGTCAGAACTAGCCTCCCATGTATCTTTGCATTACACTGGAACAGTGCACTCATAAAATGACATTCATGACGTTACCAACTTCTTGTACACTGCTGCTCGGCTGCACTTTATATTTTTTCAAAGGCTCTGCCGAGTTAGAAATTGTTTTCAGTGCTTGACATGCATGGTAAATTTTGACTCAATTTTTCAGTATGCATTATGCCACTAAAGATAACGCCCGCTTGTCACCACCAATAACTTAAAATACTCAAAATACTCCGACAAAAAATATGCAGGCGGCAGAAATGTACACTAAAATGGTACAAAATTAATGTTCGTAAAATTGTTCTGTTACCTCCTTTTGTGAAGCTTGGAGCGAAAGTGTTCCTTCAGGGCATGCAAGCTGATGAAGTGCCTCCTGTTATGAAAAAATCAAAGTCAATTCAGTCAATTTACTCCACATGTGAATAAATGTATATTTCAATGTTGTACTCTTCAATCTTTATCCAGTCACATTTATTTCGACTCTGACAATGACAGGCTTTCACTCTTCATCTAGAAAGACACATTCAGTATTTCAGTTTACATATTGCAGGAGAGCGTACAGTTGCGCACCCAGGATTTGGCTGGGGGGGGGGGCTCACAATTTTGTTTACTTTTCAAATTTTTTAGAAGTTAAAATTTAGCAACCCAATCGCTCTGGTTGAACAACAGGTAGTTATACATGTTAGCTTGGCAACAGTGTTCTTGCAATGCCATGCGGTAAACGATACATACTCTACATATAAATATATACATAGCACTTAGCAGTTGAAAAGTTACGGCTGCCGTAACGATAGCCAATAAGCCACTACCCATGTTGAAGTAATTATCCCATACTTGAAGAGCGAAGGGTCCTACGTAACCTGAAATACAATGTAGTCTTGTAACAAAATCAAAACTGCTTACGCGCAGTGCAGACAGTAGTGTTGACCCGACCCTGGTTTGTCATGGTCAATCTCCTGGTTCAACATCTTCTCTGATGATTCCGGTTTCATGTCTTCGTGAATCTCATCCAAATCCTTCGTTTTTCTCCTTGTTCGGTACTTCTTCTGGATGTGAGTGTAACCACGGTGATGGCGTTTTCTTGCAAGACGAGTCATATTCGATGTCTTGAGTGTATGGAGTGTATTATTCGGGAAATATCATGTGCAGTTTCAGGCACAAATCCGACGAAACTGCGTTCGTGTTGCAATAACCATGTGCCAATTACAAGTGCGCCCTCAAGAGACGTGATCTTGTTAAGGTTTGTTCACAAGGGGGCGCTAAATATTAATTGTTGTGCCTCGAAACTTGGAAATGAAAAGTGTTGGGATGAAGTGATATGCTCTGTTTCCCCCGGGGTAGTTAACGTAAATCAAAGTCGTGGGGCAAAGGAAAATTATGCTGAAAAGGGGATTTTGTAATTTTCACGATACTTAAAAGGTCTAAATAGAACAGAAACCAATTCTCAAATAAATCGTCAATAAAAAACGTCCGTGGTATGATGACCAATACAACAGGGCCCTAGGCTTATATTAGCGGATAATTAATTGACGTAACATGCCGCGGCCGGAAAAGCAAACTTACTCCTTGAAGATTTAATACCAGTCCTTCCCCACGAGGTTATTATTTTTTCTAGGCTTACTCAATATTATTTTGTAAAAGATAAGCTAGGGGAGGCTGGAAGAAATGAGAGGATAGGCCTAGTACGACTACGAGCTGGCTAGGCTTATGAGGTCTTAACCCAATTTTAGAAATCTTACAGTCTTCATAATTTACTCACGGGCCTTAAAATAATTGGCAAGGGTTCATTTAGTTGTCAATGGAAGACGTACACCTTTACAATGCAGTGAAATTAACATTCCAGTGAGCCTGCCGGGGCGAGGTCGTGTATTAATTGACATCCGTTGGACCTTTCACCCCCCCCCCTCCCCCTCTCTGCTATGGGTACTATATATACAGCTTAAGATACAAATAAAAACGTAGGCCTACTGACCCTAATCTTGCCAGCAGCTATAAACCTAGCCAAAACAACCCCGCGGGATCGAGTGCACTTCAAACCCAACTAAAGCCAATCCATTGTCCAGAAAGCTTAGTCTCCCTCTCAGTAACCATCCATCTTCGAGGTTGCTGGAACTGAATTAGTGAAATATAACCTTACCAGAAGGGATAGAATGGGCAGACAATGTGAACATTCGACCGGTGCTTAGTTTGCCTTGAAGCGAAGACTAACCTACCTTACGTTGACATTGTAACGAAGGGCTAAATCAACAAATGTATACTCGATAAACAAACTGTATTTACAAGGTCGTCTTTGTAATGAACTTAAACTGTGACCTCTAAAGGGGTTGAAGTCATGCATGATGTTAGGTATATCAAAATAACAAAATATTCACAAAAGTATTTCGAAAACAGATTTCGGATATTTCCTTGATATTTTTGAGACGGGTATATACATTTCAATATTGACTATATGCTTTTTTGGTTGATGTACAACCCCCCCCCCCCAAACAAAAAAGATAATTAAACTTGAATTATCACTACCGACTGTTTCTCATGATATTAGTATATAAACTCTGTCCGAGCAGTAGAAAGTAACAAGTTCTTTGAAATTCTATTGAGTCCGCTTCAGGCCCACCGAACACCAAGCAAACATCCACAAAAGTAAAACTGACGTTTAAATCAGTACGCTGCTCGAGGGGCTAACAAAACAATGCTTGGATTAAAGAAACTTTTATTCAGAGAAAAGGTGTACTTTGCAATCAAACAGCTAGGGCGCTAGACTTGATGGCATAGGATCGTACGCAGTCTAGCTGCCGGTGTGATTTACCATTGAAGAGAATTATATTACCAGCCAGGCCTAGACTTGCAATAAAAAGCTATGCTTCAGTTACTTTCGAAAGCAAACGGTAAGTTGGCTGCAAGCTCAAAGCAACACTTGTATCTGTTTCAAGCTTTCGTTTTTATTCCTTTCCATAAATTTCCTTTGTCGGCAATAACTTCATAAAGATCTTTACCATTTGAGATTTTGTATAACTATATGAAACATACTTACGCATAAATTTTGGTAGATGAAAAACAATAATTTAAAACGCATCTTGCTTTTACGGACAATATACCTCGTGTATAGAGCGCCATCACTGGGGACAGTTGTTTAGTTGTTGCACGGGTAGAAAAAAAAAACCTTTGTACGTCATTGGATTTTGAAAACAAAACTTATCCTTCGTGAGGATATAGCTTAATTTTCGGATAAAAACGGTGTTTGGTATAGGCCTAATAAGGCGTTGTGGTCATGAAACGTCTCATAGTCAGGTGGCATATGGTCGGAATCGTGACCGACTGGTCCAAAGCACCAAACTTGGCAGATAGATTCTTATAGCCCTAGAGAAGATATTTAGAAGGGGTGACACCTGAAATTCTTTTGGGAAGGGTGCCTAATTTGCATAAATCGCTAATCCCTGCCGTGTAATCTATTTATTCCCATGTTTGGGTATATTTTTAATTTTTTTTATTTTTTTTGAAAAGTGTATTTTGGTGATTCTACTTGCATACTACTTCAATAACATTTTGTAAAACATATTAGTGACTGAATAATAAGGAGGACATAGTAAAGAACCAAAATTGATACTATTTTACCCTAAAGTTATGCGCATTTACCTTTTCCTCAGATATCATCAACTAGTCTCGCCAAACGTGGGTATTGATGAGCTTCAAATTCACAAAGATACTTTCTGGCATAGTTACCCTAACAAAAATAAGTGGGAAATCAAGTTAAAATTGATAACATCTTGAAGTTTAGCCCAAAAGACCAAAAAAGGGGAGAAAATGTGGTGTCCGTAACTTGGGCTAGTACGGGAAGGGTAACGTTGGGACTTGAACAAGTTCAACGAAATCCCCCTAAATAAGAGATTATTGTTGTTTACAATAATTTTGTCTACGCCAAAACGTTTTCTCAACAATAATTTTGGGAATTTCCTTGAACTTGTTCCAGTGTTCCATGTTAGGCAACCCTTCACCTACTTGTTAGCCTAATTTATGGACACCTCGTTTTTTCCCATTTTTTAGTTTTCTGGGCTAAATATCACAATGCTATCATTGTTCACATGATTTTGCATAAAGTTTTAATAAGGTAACTGTACCAGTAAGCTACTTGGTGAATTTTAAGTTCATCCATGCTGATGTTTGGCAAGACTAATAGATGATATCTGGAGACAAGGTAAATACGCGCAATTTTAGTGCATAATAGTAGCCATTTTGGATCGTTACTATGTCCTCATAATTATTCAGTCACTTATATGCTTTGGAAAATGTTATTTAAGTAAAGATATGTAAGTAAAATCCCCAAAATACACTTTTCAAAAAAATAAAAAAATAGAAATATACCCAAATATGGGAATAAATATATTACACGACAGGGATTAACGATTTATGCAAATTAGGCACCCTTCCAAAAAGAATTTCAGGTGTCACCCCTTCTAAATATCTTCTCTGGGTCTATAAGAATGTATCTGCCAAGTTTAGTGCTTTGGACCAGTCGGTCACGATCTTGACGAAAATTAGATCTAAGCCACCTGACTATCAATTAATTGCTTTTCGTTGGAACAAAGAAAATGACTTAGGCCTGAAGATTCACAGAGCATTTGCTCCTTTTTTCGGTTGAAGCAAGAATATATATCGCTCAGTATCTCTAGCAGAATGAATAACCTTTTGAATTTAAGCTCGGTGGATTATATACATTTTGAGAAAACAGAGAAAACATATTGCACATTTTTTTGGGTCTCGTAAATGGAATTCGTTGCCAATCCACGCGCGGGCACCCTTTTTAAACAACCTTGATTGTTTTCTTTCGATCGAATGACACCATTTCAGGCAAACTAATTCAGAGGGTATTTGGTACTAGTCATCTCTTTACTTCGCGAGCAACGGTTTACTCACTTAATCGGTTGGTACGTGTCTGTCTGGGCAATTAGACGTCCCTTTAAGTAGCAGTCGTAACCAGTTCAAAATACCAAGTACAAGACTCCACTTAGCCCATAACTTCCATACCTAGCGTCACCTCGATGACCTTATATCAAACACGCCATTCGGTATCACATTAAATGCGATCCATTTTATTGTAAACTATCTTCGACCCTCGTTCTCGACCCTGCGCATATATGATTGTAAGTGGTGTCAAGCACACTCCAAATCCAATAATCGATACAACGACATCGAGTGAGTGCATTAATTGTACCGACCACAATGGTATACTTGGAACTAATACTGCAGTTGTATGCAATGATCAGCAATGATTTCAGTGTAAAGGAACGAAGTGATATTCTCTAGATTACAGTTTTGTGTACAATAACATTTAACGTTGAGTACTGCATGAAAGTACACAATATCTGCGGTTGAGTCAGCACTTGAACCGACTACAAATTATCAAACTGAAGTAAGTAGTTGAACGCCAATCCAGGAGACCTGTGAGTGGCATGCACGTGCGCAGCCAGCGGCAATCCTGATATATTTCAGGCAGGCAAATTCACCCGCGTCCCAGCTAAATAAGTACTGTAATCCTATCAGAGGGTAGGACACACAGCGCATTATGCGCCAAAGTGTTCATGCTATACCGGAGCAAAAATATTCCTCGTAAGCCCGCAGAAAGGATTATATTCAGAAACGAAAAGAGTGCAGACGTTAGGCTTAAACCCCTACCCACGGGGTGTTTGCATCTACTATAACCGGACTCTTGATCATCATTCACCCTGGGTTTGGCATAACCATCGGCTGGGGAATAATGTAAGCTGCGCTGATAAAAAAAAAAAAGAAATCAAGTAGATGTGGGACCGACAGCTCTACTGTCTTAGTATCGCATTGCTGTGTGAAGTATCTACCACACTGGGACCAACGGAGCTGGTTTTGTTGTGAGTTCGTCTATCGATGCATGAGAGACTATAGCACGTTACCATCGCACTCATAGATCAGCTCGCCCATTACTGCTGCCAGTCAGTTTGCAGAGCACGAACTGTTCCTTTACACGGTAAACACACGCAGTTGCACTTGGATTCTGCCCTTACCGAACTGCGAATTTGTCTGCCGGGATACACTGCGCATCAGCAGGGCAGACCTTGGAAAACAGTCACGGTAAGCAATTATGTTCACCTCAATTTTACGCAGCAATTATCAAAAAAATAGGAAAAATGTAAACGATAATCCAAATCTTTCATATTACCTCAGAGAATCAGACAATTCTAACAATACAGAAAAACTGCACTGTTTATGCACAATTTGTGTTTTGTTGACATTTTGCACGGTGTGTTTTCATTATGGATGGGCTGTACACCTATCGCAAGCACTATAGACGCACCACTCCAAAGGTCACAATGTGCACGGGGAATATAGCGTTTATTCCTTCCTATTCCAAGTGGGATATAATGAACGATACTCGTTTGAAGGTTCGGCTATTATCAGTCGATTCTCAATTGAATTTAAAATTCAATCGAGTATGTACGCATCGTATACAACCGCACGTCCTGATGACACTGAATGCCATACGGTCGCATAATAATTAGTATGTGTTCCAACAATTTGTATTGGATGTGGCGTGGAATGTAATGAGAGCTGTCAAACTCGATTAATGTTAACATATGTGAATGGCCCTTCAATGTCCTTCAGGCGTAACATATTAAGGTCACTCTCGAGTGCACACTATCATAAGTAATTGATGCTCTACATACGAATCTACGAGGTTGATGTTATCCCAACGCTTAGTACATAATAAGCTACGATACTAGAAACAAGCGCAGGTGCCTAGCCTTCATGGACGGCTTCACTGAGGGCTTCAGGCTGATTGAGTATGATTTAATTTTGTATTTATATACAGCACGAGTCCATGATTAAATATATTGAATTAATGTTGAAATGTACAAGTTCGGTTATCATAATCTTGTTGTGGAGTAAATGGGATTGAAAGCAAGCTATATGTAAATAACAAACATTGATCATCCGTGATTCATGCGTTATAAATTAGTTACCCAAACCGCCGTTGCTTTTTGCACTGTAGGTGCCTAAAATAAATATTTTTCATAATAGGGTTGCATCACTAGATGGGCCAGCGCTTTCAAATCTTCACTCGATCGAACCCAGTCCATGTGCTTGTACAATTAATGTTTAGGTATATGCTCCGTGCGCGAACAAGAAAGGGCGCTTTTTGACCTCAGAGAGCCCCGTGCATGGATGGGCACCACGTGCACAGAACCATAGCGTCTTCGCTTGAGCGTCAGTCACCGTCTGCTGTGCTTTCGAATGTCACTCTAAGAGGTCTCCCCCAGCTCTCCCTCCCTTACCGTTGAGGGGGTACTTGCACCACGGGGCCCACATGCACCTTGTGTCCTGATCAGTACTTATATTTTGTCTGTACTTGAAGTACAACTTACAATGTATAGGAGATGTACACACATTTGATAAAGAAATGCCCAGAGCTTCCAAAGAAATACATTAATGTTCACCCTGTTGGCTCGGCCTAATAGTTGCTTGTAATATGATTAGTGCTTTAGGCATGCACCTCAGTATCCGTGCGGGCATTATTTTGGCTGCACTCGGCGCACTTCTATCGCATCCACACGGTTACTACAGTAGATAGCAGCGCTGTCTACTTGCCATACAACCTTCTCGTTCCATCACGTTCTCAGAGTTCAGCATTCCCGCGATCAGGGTCGAGATCACGGTGCAGGATTCCGTTGATTAATGCGTCTCATCACTCGTCTGACATTCACTTGAACCCTCTCTGCTTCTGTTCGCTGTTATCAACAGAGGCTTTTTCCCCCTTAGAGTGGGTCTCAAGGAGTACTTCGAATTGGCGAGATCGCAAGCTCCTGATTGCATGTGGCGCGGCCAATATGCCGGGGACATGAATGCAGCTGCAACATCTCTCAGGAAGTGACTTTGTTTCAAGAATTTGAAGCTATCAGCAGTTTCCATCGGACAGTTGTGAATTAAAGCCGGTTTTGTCGAATTTTTACTGGTGCTGTCTATACCTTTTCTTTGGTATATTAATCTTGACGTATAATAAAAAAGAAATGTGAATTATTTTTGTCACCGCTAATTACACTTCTATAATGTCTATAACTTTATATCCGTGTCCAAAATATGAAACTCAAAATGCCATTGTTGCATGTAAATGCTATCATGTCGATGCATGTTCCCGTTAGCCAAGGTAATTATGAATCTGTCTGACGTCTGGTTTTACAAACGTTTAAGATTAAGAGAAAGTGCATCCGGATATAACTGTGACACAACTATCTTTTGGGCAATTATAGGTACTTGTCGCTCCATGTTTTGTTGCATAGTGCCCAACGGTGGTCGAAAAACCAGCTACCTACACCTTTTGGGCATCTGGTTTGCAAAATGTTGGTGAAGTTCGAATCGGATTTACTAAAATAATTGAGGAAACTACGTAGTATAACTTTGCCCATCGTCTATTTCACAAATAACCATTTTTTTTAACAATGCAAAGGCTTCTTGCATATTGAATACGCAATTAACCCAATCCCACAGTTTCTAGTATTATCTTTTTTTAAAGGCTATTCAAGGGGAAATAGTAATCTGTTCACGTTATTTCTGACTCAAAAAAAAACCCCGAAGTTTGAAACGAAAACATTCATTATTACGAATGACGAGAAGTACACTACTTTTTTGGCGACAAAATAACCGATGCTACAACTGATATACGAGGGATGTAGGCATACTGTTGCTAACGGCACTCGGTCTGCTGAAAGTATATGCTCAGGGGAATGTGAAGTTCACGAGAAGTGACATTAATTAGAGAACACGCACGATTGTAGGAAAATGGGAAGGATAATAAGTCCGCCGGGTCTATTTGGAATGTTATTAGGATGGAACATACAATAGTCCAGACTTCTATTTTTTATGTTGCTTGTTAGTTCGGTGTACAGTTCTCCTGGGGGCAATATCGTGAAAACTTCGTGGAAATGTTTTTAAAATGCCCCATGGTGCCTGTTACAAGCATTAAAGAGCCACGGGAGAGTCTTTTACCATTTGGGGCCTCTTTTGATGTTTTTGTTCGAGACTGAATTACGACTTGATTATGATAGGGATGAGTTCATTCTTTCGCCGAATCGCTCATTAAGAATGACTCTCGTAAACAGGAAGGCATACGGCGCTAATATTACTTTGATATCACATAGGGTTATAGGGATAAAGGGATAAATAGCGGATGCAGATTTCGAAAAATGCTACCGGTATATTTTTTGTTTTTTCTTCACGGGCAGTTCCCGCAAAAGCAGTGTTGTGGGGAGATTACCCATCAGTGGGCAATTTGTGGAAATTTATGACTTTGTTTATTTGTACGGCCATGCAGTGGTCGTCCGGGAACTCCGGATGCTCGGTTGGCTTGTCACGAGAGCGACGAAGCTTTAAGACAAAGCAATAATTCAGCTAGTATTAAAAATAATCGTGGTCGTGATCGTATAAAGGTCACTGTGGCTGGTCGTACGCTGGGATGGAAATTAACACATGCTGGCATCGGTGACTTCGTTGGAATAGGGGGGTGCAGTGAACTAATTCAAGTGAGAATTTCTACGCGAGCTGATTAGCATAAAAAAGTGACCCCACAGTTTCTTTTGAAAACGGGGACCGTTTGGCTTAAAAAACGGTGGAATTGTGTAAATGTAGCCAAGGATCAACTCCCTGGTTTTTGGGCTTCCATTCGAGGGCAGGCTTGATAAAATTACGGATTTGCCTGAGAAAGTGGAATGATGCCACTTGTAAAACGGCTACATGCAGGCTTGGGAACTATCACTTTTCGGGAGGTGATTTTGTTTTGGTGTGAATGTTTAAAAATTTAATCAGCTAATCTACCCAAAATTGAAAAGAAATGAAAAGTTGAAGTACAAGACAATAATTTAAATTTTGTTTGAGAAACCCCAGTGATGTCGGCTTGCATGTTATTTGGCCCTGAACTTTGTTAATTTTGCACTGTTTTCAATGGGGCTTGAATTGGTTCAGTGCACCCAGGGGGAAGTTTGGGATCCTATCGGGTGAAAGGTCAAAGCAATTGTTACCATAATGTACCAGTGTCCAACCATGGAGCTATTTATGGTCCAACACAATTTTGTTTTAATGAAACCTGGACTCTTTTTCCTTACATGAACTCTCACACTCGCACCTACTTTTTGGTTTTGTGTGCTGAGACATGCGCAGTGAATACGATATTAATATATCATAATTGAGTAGTCAGTTACAATTAGTTTAATACCAGGCATGCGCGATATATGTTTGCAAGGGTCAATTTTGTCCACAGAGTATTAATTTCATATACTCCACCAAATAATATCATGCAAGTTTGCTTAAGAATGCAACCGCAAGTCCCCAGATCAGACACGCGCAGTGTGCCCAATATTAAGAGTCATTCCCCAACGGAATGCAAATTGTATATATTTTCACCTGATATCGTTCGTGCTTTTGATAGCTCAAAATGCAGAATCGCGATATATTTAAACAAAAACAAGTGGCTGTACCTGCGTAACAATAGGTATAGCCAGGCGATACGTATATACGAATCCCTGTCATCGGAGAGGCTGCTGAAATCTAATCTTTAACCCACAAAGGACCTTTTGAAAGACGTCACCAACATGAACAACAATAAAATGGAACATTCAGAACAATTAAGGATTTGACTGTCAAGTAATTTTTTTAAAAAGAATTTTGGGAGAGCAGAAACTTTTGTTATTTGAGAGCATAACCGAACTGAGGTTTAACTAGCATAATTTCAGCCGTAGGGTTTTGCTTGCCACTCGATTCTATAATCAATGGAGCGCTGGGGAAATTATTGACGGCATGTGAAGCATTAAGTTCACGGCCAGAAGTATTTATACTAGATTCCGTCTGCCGATATACAATGACACAGCTAGCTAGCCCCCCCCCGGCATAGTTCACAACGCACAGGTCAACCACATATTAGCATAATAAGCGGGGAATAGTGCAAACCATTATGCGCAATGGCCCGGAGCTGAAAATTATTCAATAAAAGCAATTGGCTGTGCGGGAATATATAGGCCTGCCCCGTCGTTAAAAATAGACATTCCGCGAGACGACATTAATGTGGACATGATATTATATATAGCAGCCTACTGCGGTCTGGCGATAATTACGAGTGGAATTGATGAGCAGGCTATACGGACGTACGATCGCGACACATCGGCCAACGCGCACCGTGACATAAACTGCTGCTGTTCGCACTACAGTAAGAAGTATTTCACTTTGTGTAATGTATGTAAATAACACCATACAAGATCTTTAAAAAATACTCGTTTGTGATCAAAACTCCCTGTTGTTCCATGCATGCATTAGGCCTAGATGTGCACTGCAATGGCGTTACGCATAATAAAGCGGTGAGTCATTTTGCAGTTTCATACCGCACGGATTTAGCTATGAATTGTGGCATATTGATATCACATCAATGTGCCTGATGTGGAGATTAGCTCTCCGTCTAAAGAGCAGCGATGCCATATTCCCTCGTCAACATCGTACATTAATTGACCGTGCTTGATATACATGTGTCTGTATAATTTTTGCATTTAGACCTTACATTATACTGTTGGAGGTACTGCAAAAAAGACATGTATCTGATATGGAGCTGTGATATCCGCAAGGAGACCTGCGCCTGTATACCGCTTACAGTCCGGTAAAATGGATTGAATGGAGTGACTTGAAGTGATTCACCACTTGAGCATTTTGTAAAGTGAGGACACGATGGGAAATAAATTACATTCTTTTTTTTGGGGGGGGGGGGGATTTGACAATTCTGTTGTTAGCCTTTAGCTTAAAATCCCGGATGTAGACATTTTACTTTAAAGTGACATCTGTATATCAATTAAGTTTGCATCGACTTTATGCAGGGTTCTTCAACTAATCAGGCTTGTCAAAGATAAAATATCAAACGTATGAAACTTAGCCAACGTGGACTTAATGTCTCGGCAACTTCATTCAAGAGACAGTATTTGACAATTGGAGATCCGCTGCATCCTGGTCAGGGGAGTTGGGACAGAAAATCAATCTTCATCCTCATGAATTAATCATACTTGAAAAGATCCTTCGCAATGTTCTCCACAAATAACCTTGAAACCGTGCGGTTTTCCCTGTAACTTAACGCGAAGGTTTGAGCCATCATTTTCCATGTCACACCCTAGTCTGGTCTAAGATTGGATGTGGAATTTCCCTTACACCGCCGGTCCTTGACAAGCGAGGTGAAGCTGGTGGCGGTACGTTAGAGGTCGATACAAAAATAATCAAGTCCATTCCTGGCAATATTGCCAGCGCTTCCTACGACATTTCTAGCATACCTCACACGCGTGCATTAGCTTGAATACAGCGCACGTGAGGTATGCACAGAATTTTGTGGGTAGCGCTGCCGATGTTCCCAACACTGGTTTTGATTATCTGTGTTTTTTTAAGGGGCCCGGATGTATTGGAAGAATAAAATTCAAAATGCAGTCTTGGACTAAGATTAGTCAAACCGTGCATTAAAAAACTGAGTGACAAGCCTCACAACCGTCCTGCGTGTATTTGCTCTTTCTTTTTGCGCTTCTCAAATTAGTTAATAGCCTTATTTACATTTAACAACTACTTGGAGTCGTATCAAGTCCACTAAATGGCCAATGCATTTTCATTCTTCCGGGCAATCGATCGCCAGGCAGACCCGTACCTTTGATGGGTCAGTCCCCGGGGGCTGTTGGCCATGAGTTGGACAAAGACGGCCCAAGTCGACGACCCTTCGCATTGATCGTTGCCGTCGTGATACAAGACAAAGTTAGCGTGACAGTGGCCAATCACTTCTGTACCACTGACATTGTTTTCGTATAAAATTATAGCTACATGTATTTTGTTTCCCGCTTGAACTTGTGCGGTAAATGACAGTGTTGCGTATTTGTTTCTACCATAACGTAACTTGACATTGTTGTTCTAAACGACTCCTATTTAAGAGGTCACGATCGGTCAAAAATTTCTTCCTCACCTCCTGGCATACAGTGTACAAACCGATGGGGGTCTTGACCAATATTGACCCAAGTAATAACAAGGCTGACAGTGCATGCTTCCACTGGAGGGTTAAGTAACGAAACACGCTTTGTTTGACTTCAGGAGCTTTTTTTTCTGACGGCAATTGCACAAAAAATAAAACCATAAATAATAACTCTAACGGTTATTATTCAGTAGTTTTTTGGTACGGCTAGTTGTTTATAAGGCATTTTATATGCTCTGACTGCGCTTTCTGTTTATAGTTTTACCATAGAGCTAGCTATAGACCCATGCTCCATGAATTTACATAACTTTTTGTTCCAGAATAATAGCAGTTTGACAATGCCCTATATATCATCCCTGTCATTCGAAACCATAGGCCTACCATCAACTTCCCAACGTTTCTGAGTGATTGGCATGCTGGTACTTGAAATGTCCTTTATTTGTTTAGATAGAAACAAATTGTGAGGGTAACCGTTCTATGAGTGTTGCACGGTAGATACAAACAGTTTTACGATCGTAATTTTAAACAATCGAACTAGCAGTTAGCACCAGGAGCGTAATAACAATCAACAACGCACAATGTAATGGCCTGAAATTGTAGACAAGAAATCAAACTACAAATTTTGTTCTACATGTAAAGGAAATTGCATTCTAATAGAAAATTTGCAGCCGGATGCTTTCTCTTCCAACAATTCGATTCCATTGTATTTTCTGCCTATTTATTAGCGCAAGATAATGGCGCACATGACCGAACCTTTTATTTGCGGATTGGGGAAATAGCTTTTAATAAAAATTAAAACCATGTCGATATTGAATAAACAGAAATATCCATTTACCCTGAGGTTTAATTGGAAATTCATGACGACACAGCTGTAATAACAGAAACACTATATTTCATAATTGAGATTTGGTTGATCCCACGGCATGGTATGAGCATTTGAAGGTCGAGTGATGTTTGGCTTAATTCATTTGTTCTATTGATTCATGACACTTTCTCAATGGTTTCAGGAACTTGTTATACGAGACAGGAAAATGTAGCTTACTGACTGCCAAAATAGAACAAAAAATTAATATCATGCAATATATATTGTTTCACATCTGCGACATTCAATGCGAAATTCTCCTTAGGTGGTGATCTATATAACAAACGAAACCCGAACTGCGATATTATTATCTTTGCAAACTAAAACAATTAAATGTGCAGCCCTAGCGCGGTCATGTGTGCAATTATGTAAATCATGCATTTTAAAGGTCACAGGTCCGTTGTCGACTTGATTTTGTAAATGTAGAAACGGGTTTAAACAGATATGACTACGCCCACATGACCACGTGACTCTAATATAGACCCCTATCTCTCTTGAGAATAATGGCTTGTCACGTGTGCACAGTGAGTTATTATTTTCTGTAGTTTGGATGATGAATGACTGACGGTGTGTTTACCATAATAATATCCTGTCAGGAAGACTGCACATCCCAAAGCAAACACCGTGCATAGCAACGTTATGATACCGACTTTACTTCCCGTTCGAGTCTCGAAGCATTTTGTACCGACGTAGTCAGGTGAAACAAAGTTGACACGCTAATTCTTGGCACACGATTTTCTTTTCTTGCGAGGGAAATATCGGCGCTATAATTCTTAGACAAATGGAGGTAATCGAAGAAATCTACAAATTATGTTGCTTTAGACCCCACTACTTTGGCTACTGATCAAGTGGCTGTCTTGGTTTTTGATTTAAAACTAGTTGATTGAAATACACGTTGGGAAGGTTATTTTTGGTGCACTACGTTTTCAGAGAATGAACTCGGAAAGGCAACAGATTTGCCGATTTGGTCTAAATTAACTAATGCCCAGTAGACTTGACTCAAGTCGGACTTCAGCCCTCATCGTTAACGCATCTGCTTTCGTCACACGACATTCCAACCAGGGGTCTATGACAAGGTATATAAGGACTGAACTCAGAATTGAGTTACGTCTAGATCGTTCAGGGAGGCAATGCACTTATTCGAATTCCCCATCCAACCATGAGGACACAGCCAAAAAGTCTATTATTTTATTACACTATCGATCAGCGCATGAACATTGCCTCTGCACAGAACAGGCCAGCATTTCCGCTGTAGAGTGCTGATTCATACCGAGATCCAGGGGCAGTTTTCGGTGCATGCCCAATTTGCCCCCTTTTTATGACTCATAGGTATTCAATGTACACCCGTATATTTGAGCTTGTAGTTGCAATATATTTTGCAGCAAGTGCCCAACAATATTCAGCACGCCCATGGGCTTGTAATAAGTTTTCCTGCTACGAACTAATCCAGGTGATGCGTGACGATCACGCGCGTGTTGCACCTGTTCTTAACTTGAGGCGCGCGTTTAATTGGAAAACCCTATTGGTCGAAGGAGCACAGTGCGCGCGCACCACTGACGCGAGAGCGTGGTACTGCCTTAGTAATGGTTCTCATTGGAGTCGTCGGAATGTATACGAAAAGCACTATCGTCATTTCTGCGAAATGTAATAGCAACGTGAATTTGGCACAACCGAACTGCAAACCAGACTGAACGATTTCTCATGTGTGGTGTCCGCGGAATATGCAATCGTTTCCAGCTCTAGTTGTCATTACGGGAAAACATTCGCATCTGCAGGGGATTGTACTTAACATGAGCCATTGCCGTAGTTTTGAGATAGGCATCAATACTTCAGAAGTGAATCCTTGTTATTTCTTTTACTTCTCAGTTTCTTCCACTAAGCCAGAGGTCACGTGTTCAGCATGGGAGGGCAGCAGAGCACTAACGGCACAGATGCATACAAGGTCGACATCTTCGGCGATAGCATGAGGAAAAAGTTCGACAGAGGTAAATAAGAAGATTTTTTGTTAATCATACATTTATGAGCGACTTTACAAAAGTATGTCAAACAAAACAGAGATTCGTTTGGACTGCTTCATAGGAGATCTGCATTCAAGACGCAAGAGGCATCAAAAATTGAAGATATATACATGCTTCGGGAAAATTGTGCATGATTTGCTCACAGAGGGCGCTGGTACAGGCCAGTTTTTATAGCGCCCCCATGAGGAAAATTGTGGGGTCAGCTGTTTTTCCTATCCAAGAGAGCTGGTGATCTCTTTGAGCTCCTATGGGTAACTTATTATTTGGTATTTTATGTCGAGTTGAAGGAAAACATTTCCTCACTGTTGAACTTTTCTTGTTGGCTTCACGCAGGCGAGCTGAAGGTTACCGCTACGCACCTCTGCTTCGTGGGCGCCAAGAACAACTTCGAGTGGCCCCTGGGCGATTTGAAGCGCTTCGGCCAGGGCAAGAAGGTCTTCAGCGTCGAGCTTCTGGACCACAACGATATCCTGAACACCCGAGAGGTCATCTTCAGGTCAAAGAGCGCCCAGGTCATCTGCGAGGACTTCCGGGAGAAACTGGCGGCGCTGGAGGAGAGCATCAGCCGGCCGGCCCCGGAGACTGCCCCCATGGTGGAGGCGGTGTCTTGATCACTCCACGGGCGAGGTTCCTGGATGCACAAACTTACGCCTGGCACAGGAGTCTAGAGTTTTTCTTACTGTTTGGAAGATCTAAGCTGAACACAAATGCGGCTGTATATAGGAGAACATAATGGTTAGAAGGAACAAAACACATTTTGGGAGAGTGTTAGCTTTGCTGTAGCTGCGAGCGCAGGGTAAGTGGGTGCGGCTCATGAGCGTGCAGAATGTCGATAGCCGGTGCGCTTTGGTATAGACAAGCAAAGTTGACGGGACGAGTTAAGCAGGATTTATGCTTCAAACTAGGTATCGCCCTCGACATGAAGAGACCGCATTCTCTGATTGATGTGAGCTACTACGAGGACCATAGGGAAATGTGCGATAGCAATTCACGACGGTAAAAGTGATGCATCAGGCTCATGTGACTAAACGCGAAGTAAACAGTATTGCTGCAAATATTTTAAGGTGATGCATTCGCTTTTAGAACACGAAAGATCGAGAGAATCGAATGAATCTACTTACCCTTATGTCCCAAACAACAAAGGAAGAGGCTTCGTGGTAGGAAATTGACATCCTGAATTGTACAAATCTTGAACTTTAATTAAGTAATTATTCTTACTCCGGATTTCGGATGACGAATTGGAAACCAGAAAACTGGCTAGATAGAGTATGCTAAGACCTTAATGTCAATAGGACCGCTCGCATGTTGTACGATTCCATGTGCTCCAACACACATTAATTTGAAACTAAAAGTTAACGTTCAAGTTCAGTGAACACTACTCTTCCGAGGGAACAGTGAAACCCAACAGGTAGGTTTGCCCGGGCATTTGTACCACTCCATGAGTCTGTTATTTTTGTGAGGTTTATTTCAAGTTTTCTTCTGTTAGTTGTTAGAGTAAGTGAAAAATTATCCTTATGGTCTTTCAATCATAGATTTACCGCTTTCGGTATGGTGCCTATTTTCCCTTTAAACACATGCTTCATAATGTTACACTTCCTTTGCTCGACGTATTTGACCGTCGTGATCCTTTCATATTGTCAGAACATTGTCGAGTACCTTTCGTAACAGGTGCTTAATATTCGTGTTTTTTTATAGCCACACCTAGTATTTAATTTGTAACGTAGGACTAAGTGTCTGTCCACAGTCTATTTTCCCTTGTTTGTTCTCCCAAAATTGGCAGGAACATATATAGATAATGGCATCGATGAGTACCCGACTACATTGCAGACTGCATGTTAAAAAAAAAAACTAAGCTAACTGTCACCTTTAAAGGCCCAGACAAGGGTCTTCATTTTTCTATGACGATTGTTATTTACTGATCAGCACATTACTCAAAATATCATAAGCAGTCTTGAACTTCATCTTTTTGGGTTGAAGCAAGGGCGGATCCAGAACACAATTTTTTTTGGGGGGCCAAAAAAATGTTTGGTCCACCAAAAAAGTGGGTCAAAAAATTACGACGTGGGGTTCGGGGCCCGCTTAAGGGCCCCGAAAAATTGTTGGATTCTAGATGCTCTGTGGTGCGATCTGAGGCAATTTCTGACCTCTTTAACCAATGTTTTTTTAGGAAAAGATGGTGGTGTACTCATTGCCTGCCTTTATTGCGATGTCACATAAAAAAAAATTGGTTTCGTTTGGGGGGGGGCATGGCCCCCTTTCCCCCCCCCCCGGATCCGCCCTTGGGTTGAAGTTCAGAGCACCAGTCAATACCTTTTCGGATGTGGTGCTCGAAAAACTAAAGAAAAGTGCCGAATTCGAAGGTTGCTTATATGCAAATAAGTAATATCAATTTAGCTTCTGTGACACTTTACAGTATTATATTACTGTAACGCTTGTATCTTGCCTTTGCATTTCTTTCTTTCCGAGTATATCGTTTCGATTGTACTGGTGCAAGCGCAAAAATTCGATCCTTAGTTCGGCAATGGCCTAATGATCTAAAACCGAGAGAGTACAAAAAAACCCACACTGATGTGTGTATTTTAGGTGCAAATTCAACAACAACACTTTGATTGTAATAAATGTATATACATGTATTATAAATACCATAATTTAGCAGCTAAGCCTTTTCAAACCTTTGATCAGACGTTTGTCTGACTGGTAATTTTGGAGCAGTACACGCCTCTCTGCGTCACCGTATTGTATAAAATATCTGAATATGTACCATAATAAGCCTCTGTACTGATGACGTCACACTTTGTTTTAATACTACGAAACCTCCGTCCCCACCAAGGCACACATGTAAACAAAGCGTCACGTCATCAATACAGAGGTTTTATGCGCCTACACCGAGCCTACGCGGGTTAGATTTGACCTGACAATCTTTTGTGTCAACGTGACAAGTTTTCGTCTAAGTACACTTTTCTTGATCAAAATGACATGCTCTTGTGTGTCAAAATGACAGATTTCTGTGTAAAAATGACCATCCAAAGAAAAAACATCAGATAAGTGTAATTTTGACCCAGAAAATGTCAGGTCATATCCGACCTGGCTTTGGGTCGAATCTGAGTGCATGGGTAGAGAGTTCATTTGAATAAGGCTCCTTTCATAAAATAAACAATTTTGAAATCCCTTTTTATATGTAGGTGTTTCTGCAATTATAGCGGATTGAAATTGTTGTTTAAGTATGTACGCAGGGCCAAAAAGGTAAATTACGGCATATATGTTCATTCAATGTTCATTTGTGAATTTTGGTGTTAATGCTTCTGTGGTAATTTGTAAAATCTTTTTACATTTTAAATTTGCTATAGCAAGTTGATTATCTTTTGTTATTATCTGGGTCGTATATATGGGAAAAACTGATCTCCATTTAAACAAAGGGTCTGGATAGCGTATTGGCCATTACCCGCTGTGTAAATACAGAAAGCTACGCGCTGGTTCCCAAATCTTCCACTGGAACGTTGTACGGAAACCAGTGTCTACCACTCCAATCGTATAATAAAATAAAATATAGCATGTCTAAAAGTATAGGCCTATCAAACGATTTTTCTTTAAAAAAATATTAAATATTGTAAAAATAATTACAATTTCTTATTACAAAAAATCTGTCGCAATGAAGGTCAACCTGGCAATTAAATTAAAATATATTTTCAATTCCGTTGTTAAGGGAGCAGCAATATGGCGGATGGTGACTTCACTTTGAATAGCAAATGGGCTATCCAGTTGTTTAACATGGAGATCAATGGGGTAATAGTGATGAGGGCGCTCATAACTGTGTATAAATGCAATGTATATGCCGGAGCTGCAGGTAGAGGTACATGTATACTACGGATAAGGTATACTACGGATGCCGTAACATGCCATCTGGCTTTATATAGTTGTTAGCGAGTACGTGTACTGCTGTTTGCGGCTATACTGAGTGTAAGCTGGTTTTAGCACAAAAATAGCTAAGCATAGACAAATATTTGTTTAGCAGAAACAGGATAAATGTAATCTGGGAAATGTAGTCGCATGTGCTTTGTATCATGTGCTTGTTCTTTATTTGTAATAAACGTTGTGCAAGGGAATTATTTTAGAAGGGTTTCTTATGTAAGCGTCATTTAAGGTGTCATTTAAATGTTTAAATATAACCATGAAAATGAAATAACACGAAATAACATGATTCTATTTTAACCCCGTCAAAAGTGCTAAAAAGTACGTTAAAGTGGTTGCTGGCGTCTACGTTCTACATTCATTATTACCTGTAGCCATTAACAATGGAAATGCATTTCAAACGGAAAATTAGATGTTATCAACATTTATAATTCAGTAAGGTAATGCCTGAACAAAAATTCCACAAAACTTCGAGTCAACAGTGAAATGCAAATCTGCATTGATCTTTCTTATCTGCTTATTCTAGTTTTGCCGCTTGGAAGTATTAGTGAGAATTTTTTCAAAGGTAAAATAAAATGGTGATCACCTTTTTTATGTATAATTTATCGTCCTTTTTTTTCCTGCAGATCACAGATGTTTCTCTAGTAATTAATGGACAATTGCTAAAAGTCATCATACACAGTCCTGACAGAGAATAGTAAGAAGACTATTTCACAATTAAACAAGTTTCATCTTTGACTTCTCTATTTCAACGAACACTACAACATGATTACGGGGAACGATTTATGTTTTTCATAGTAGAATTTGGAATTGTGCTGAATGAAACTTGTGGGTCTGTAGAAAAGTTTGTTTGAGGAAAGTTTCATTTGCATGTTCGGAGGGGTGTTGGTGAATGGGGCGTGGTCATAATTAATTACAATAGAGGACGACATCTTCAATGATAACCAAATGACAAGCGCTTTAGTTAAACAAATAAGCTATACATGGTATCCCATAAAGGGTAACCCACAATCAAAGGATGAAGATGATCAAGCTATGCAACTTAATGACCATTTATTATGGTTTTATCATAATTTAGTCTAAATATCAAAGCTTTCCAATGATATCTTGGACTTTCATTGTTTTCTAAATGGTATTTGAAAACCCTCTTTTAAATTCATACTGATCGCTCGCTGAAAAGTACTGATAAGAAAGAATTCAGATATAAGCTGAAAGTATGATTATTGGTCTCCTTAATTAAAATTCCCTAATTACACAATTCTCTACGTTGACATTACCAGGCCAGTCACATGACTTTAGGTCATCATTGTACAAGAGACCCGGTGGGCAGGACTCCCAATACGTCAGGTCGGAGAAACATAACTGGTATTTGCTGCAGTCGGTTGGGTTCGGGTAATATCCGTCGAAGCGGCCTTCACAGAAGTTGGGTTGAACAGTTGCCGGTGCGTCTGTTGCCGATGCGTCTGTTGAATTGCCATGCATTGATTGCCGATGCGTTGGTTGCAGGCGGTGCGTCAGTAGTAGATAGTTCGTCGTTTACAGCATCGGTAGCAAGTGTATACAGCATTTGTAGAAGGTAAAAAAGAGGTGTATACAATAATAATCAATTATTCTAGTGCAAACTTTTTTAATCTCGATAAAACGTGTTAGCCAAAATATACGAACAATTCAAAATCGCTAATCCAGGTCGCTTTCATTTTGACTATTAAACCCTGTTTATCTGAACCAGAAACTTTGACAGCAGTCGATGTGAGTTGTAGGTGAGTCAGTAAAAGTGAGTCAGTAGGCCTAATTAAGTAGGTCAGTCATTCAGTTAGCCGTGAGACGATAGGCCGGCCCTTTTGGTTCAAGCAAAAGTGCATGGTATGACTGAACCGTTTACAAATCCTTAAGGAAAAAATGGTTTCTTGAAATTGTAACGTTGCAAACCATTGTAGTTCCAACGTAACAGTGGGGTGAGGGGAAGTGCCATAACTTACCTTGACCGTTCACCACGCACAAAGCCGACAGTGCAGCAAAGAAATAAAGCCACATTAGCGGAGCCATCTTCCACTACCTCAGACACTCGACCAAATACAAGAACAAATCGTATCCGACCCCGATGAATTTCCCAAGTTACAACTGATGTGAGCTGATCTGAGTGGATATGGCCTGGCGGTTATAAGCGGTTCACTGCAATAAATCACAAAACTCTAATGAGTAACGAGCCAAAAGAAAGGATTTACCGTAACCTTGAACGCCACACATAACATAACAGGGTATTAAAGTATACACGAACCAAATGTTGGGCAGTTGTAAATAAACATCTTTTGAGTCAGTCGTTTGCTTAACTATTTAGTAAAGCCATTGCCCAACGACAGTTGACTATTGAACCAACGTTGGGCAAAAAGTTGGGCATTTTTTTGCCCCAACGTTCTAACAGTGTGCCAGTAGGACCACTTTCTTCCAAATCACCAAGAAAAGTTGACATTTCGTGGTGATATTTTTTGTGTTCATGTTTATTTTTTAAATCATCTTTACTCCATTGATAAAAATATGCAGATTCTTCATCGACTGCCTCAAAATCCATCAGTTCGTATTCCATGGTCGCTAAAAGAAGAGAGTGCTTACCTTGTTATAGAATTGTTGATTACTGTCGGTGTAAAGTATTAGGTTGATGCAGAGTCAGACTAAAACATGTCCGTTCGAGTCGAGTCCAAGGTGATCTGTGGCCGGAATACTGGGAGGCACCAGGCACGTTTTGAAAGCGATTATTCATCGTTCAATTATTCATCATAGTCATATATATAATTATATAGCCCTATATAATTTTACAGTCGATGACAGATGGTATTGTTGAATTTGATCTGAGTAAATGAGTCGTAGAAAAGGACGTTGGGTCAACTACTGTCACCCAACGAACCAAGGTAATATGCATTAGTCTTGTCACAAGATGCATGCGTGTAATTTTTCATTCAAGAGTTTACGGTTTTTTTTTAAAGACGGCCAGACGAAGAGGCTTAGACTTTGAATATGTCCGATACCCCCATACTACTCAGTGTAATATTTTGCTCAAGTCGTTTATTTTAGACGAGTGGATTTAACAAATGACAAACCATCAACAATCACTAGTATTGCTAATTGAATTCTGCGTCAGAAAGATTTAATTTTTTTTTTTACATTTAAATGACACATTAAATAACGCTTTTAATGTGTCATTTAAATGTTAAAATATAATATGAAACTAAAATAACACGAAATAACATGGCTCTATTTTCACCTCGTCAAAAGTGCAGCAGAATACCTGGTTGGTAGCGCCTAATTTCTGCATTCATTATTATCTGAAGCCATTTACAATAATGCATTTTCATGTCTCCCTAATGTCACAGCCCTCCATAGAGGCAACATTTTAGTGTCGCAACTACATTATATTTGTTGCTCGTGGTCTAATTGGTAAACATACCGAAATTCGTGGAAGAAGGACTAGGGAATATTGGGGTAGGGCACATTGAAGCACAAGTCTATGGGAATGTCTTCCAAATGACCCATTTCCCGTAATTATAATGACCATTGTTATGGTTTTATCAAAAACTATAGGGTTGGTAAGCTTTCCAATTATATCTTAGCCATGTATGACTGAGTTCCATAATTTTCTAAATGGTATGTGCAAACCCTATTTCAAATGCACACTGATTGTTGCCTGCAAAAAAAGTGCTCAATAAGAAAGAATTTAGCTAAGCTGAAGTATGAGAGTAACGCACAAAACCGTCCTGTGCATTAATGAAGTATACCCATGAGCACACTTAATTTGTTTTATCAGAATTTTAACATGTAAGACCATTGTTAAATTAAATAGTAGACAGACAATTGTTTCATCTTTAATGCAAATTCAGCACGAAATAATTTTGAAAGGAAATAAGGGCACCATGATTGTTAAATGAGAATTTCATTATCACAAACAAATTACTTATTGCTACAATGAAACCAATAAGTATTAACTGATCATGGAAGTCTTCAGGTCAAATTGAGAGTGGGTATATATCTGTCTATGCCGGTGTACACTACATGTTGGCAGGGACCGGTTTAACAGTTGACATTATAAGGCCAGTCGCAAACGTTCAGGGAAGCGTTCCACACGAGACCCGTTGGGCAGGACTTATGGTACGTCACGCCAGAGGCACATTGAACGTATTTGCTGCAATCGGCTGGGTCGGCGTAAAAACCGTCGGCGAGGCCGTCGCAGAACTTGTCCGTAATTGGTGGTTTAGTTGCGGGTGCGTTGGGTGGCTTTGCGTCGGTTACCGGTGCGTTGGGTGGCGGCGGTGCGTCAGTTACTGGCGCGTTGGGTGGGGGCGGCGCGTTAGTACCAGATGCTTCGTTGTTCACACCAAGTGTTTACAGAAGGTTAAAATGGGGTGTAAGTAAGACAAAACAATAAAGAAATTTGGACTAATGAAGGACAAAGATTTAAAAAAAAAAATTATAATAATATTAATAATAACAAATTTATGTGGTGCATTTTGTTTTATTAAGGCAATAATTGGTGCAATAATAAGGTGTTAAACAATATGTTTGAGTCTGGATCCTGATAATTACCCGAGCCAAATTTCCAATAACGAAATTTCTCAATCTTTATTTCAAATGATGCTTGAATTAACTCAGATAACGGTGCATGGAAGTGCTTTTAATTAACAGTCAATTTTGCGAGACGAATAATGATTTGAAAAGCATTTTGTAATATTTAAGGTGCGACTGGCTCATCATGCATATCGTATGTACTACATACAATCCACATAATGATTTTGTAAAAGAAATCATGTAGCACACGTCAAATTGAAGTCGCGTTCTCGTCATCCAAGACCCGCCCGGCAGAGGAGGTGTTATCATATCGCACGCTTCACGAACCCCAGGAGGTTGATACGGTGGCAGTACGGCGCAGGTGGACTAAACCCGACCAATTACAGATTAATTTCACGCCTATAGTCACAGATTTAAAATGTGCCTACCGAAACCAAGTCCGCGGTTGATGGCTTTCAGCAGCGGCCACGTCTCGCCACAGATGCCGTTGAAATCATCCAAATCCACCGCCCACACCATGGCGCCGCCCAAGTTTTGCTTCAGCAGATAGTCGATCTTTTCAACACATAAAAAATAGAAATTGTCAAAATTCGAGTTCGTCGGGGATTTGTTCAACTTCTTTTCCACAATGCATTTTTGAATATAAAGGTGCTATATTGTTATTTTTTTGTCAAGTCTTATCGTTAGTTATATGTTTAAATAAACTACAAATGAAAAAATGACACATTACATTATAATAATTTCACGGACCCCTTCAACAAAGACATTTAAAAATTGGGGAACTGCTTTTGTCAATTTCTTTGTTACTTTGAAGAACAAAATCGTCAGTGACCATACCTTGACTTGGATGCTCTGTAAATCGTCGTAGCCAACCCATTGGTTGCCCCCAAAGGCATAGGGAACTTGACGTTGCGAATCCCAAACCCGTGTCAGCTGACCATTTTGGATTTGTTCACAAATCTGCGACGAAGGTTTTGGCCAAAAACAATCGCATATCCATTATCGATTATATTAAAATTATACTTCGCCTTTCATAGATAATATATAAATAATATCTGTATATTGTCTTTTGTAGACGACATTTTAATCAAGATAGTGTGAAAAGTCTTAATTACTAAAATTACAAGCAATTTTAGAGGGAAAAGTGGCCAAATACCAATAACTCTTAAACAAAGACATCAATTACGTTTCAACTTTGCAATCAGATAGACCATTAGTTGATAAACATTTTTGTTGTGTACGTGAACTCGCTTGACCTTTACTTCCGGGTCTACCGGAAGGTCAAAGTTAAGTGAATTCAAAATGAAGACTTCAGCCTGAAATTAAAACAAAGCAAAATTTCTTCCGAACGGTTTACGGGATGATCATAAAACCTAGTGTGAATTTGTACCATGTTACGAAGGTGTTATGAATTTTGTTTCGTCATCATGACGTCATGTAAAGGCAACGTGATGGAAGGGCAAATTTTGACAAAATAGTTTGAGCTATATCTTTTGAACTCAACAGAGTATCGTGTTCGTTTTTTTGTAGACTATGCCTTGAGTAACATTTCACGTTCCCGGACACGAAACCGCTTGACCTTTACCTCGGTGTTACCGGAAGTGCAATAAAAACTGAATATAACTAGGAAGCGGAAGCATTTTACTACATTGTACAACGTTTTACTATATTTGTTGGAACAAATAAGAAAGCGACTGCTTACAATAATAGTACTGCTACCACAAAATTTCATCATATTTGTTCACCATGGACCGCAAAATCACAACTCTTATAAGAACAAACCCAGGGGAGGATCCAGGAATTTGTACGAAATCACACAAAGCATTCAATACTAATATTCTAGTCGTTTTTCTGATTTCTTTCGGCGTAACTCGCATATCAACAGTGATTCTTTAATTCGTATACCTTCATGCAGAAATTTAATATTTCGACAGTGTAGCCACAAACTTTTTTTCGTTTTCTAAGTGCAGACTTTTATGAAGCCCATGCATGCAAAAGACATAAGCCATATTTATTTTTGATATTGAGATAATCAAATGTAGCATATATTAAGCTCCAAACACGTCATAGAGGCTCCCTCAAGTCTACCGATTCCGATTCTGACCATGAATTTAATTCTAATATTCTCGTCCATTTTCTGATACTTTTCGCCATAACCGATTGAAATCGCGCCTCACCAGTTTCCTCTCATATCTGGATTCTGAAAAATTAATATTTCTACAGCGTGTAGCCACAAACTTTTCTGTCGTAAATTCAGTGCAGAATTTTATTCTGCCTTAGGAAAAGAAAAAAATAACATAAACACCATTTTATGATAAAATTAGCATATGTTGCATAAGTTCCAACGACGTAAGACAGGTCTACCGTTGTCATAAATTCAGTGCAGAATTTTATTATACCCCTGCAAAAGACCACCAAAAAAACCCATAAAGGCCATTTTATCTTAAAATTAGCATAATTATGTTTCATAAACTCTAACGACGTGAGACGCTCCGTTAATTCTACCAATGTCGTAACCTTAGTGCAGAATTTTATTATGCCCATGCAAAAGATAAACACATAAAACAAAAAGCCATTTTATTTTAAGATTAGCATAATTCTGTTGCATAAACTCCAACGACGTTAGAGGCTTCGTTAACTCTACCAATAGTCCCAACTGGTGTGCTTGAGTAGCCATCCATGCAGCACCAGATGTGCGCTTCCTGATAGGCCTAGGCCTACAAGTCTTGTCGAGGTAGCAACAAGTTCAACAGCAGGTGGTGTGATTTTCTTTGTGAAAAACACAGGGTAATGGGTGCAGGGTAATGGGAGGGGTAATGTGCAGTTCAATTATGATTAAGTCACTGTAAACACAAGAAAATATGCCAGCCCGACCACTCTGCGTTTGTAACTCAACAAACGCGAACCTCTAGTTGTTGTCGTCGTCGTCGTCGTCGTCGTCGTCGTCGTCGTCGTCGTCGTCGTTGTTGTTGTTGTTGTTGTTTTTTTTTTTTGGGGGGGGGTTGCATTACACTGTGTACTTGTGAGAGATGGAACTCGGTCTGCATCACCTTGTTCTATACACTTACTTCGTAATAAGACAGGAAACCGGCTTCTCGAGTTGAAACGCCGGCCGTCCCTGCCCCGCTAGCAGGGGCACCTATGCCGGTCGCCTGGCCGGCAAGGGTGAAGGAGCGGCCATACAGACCCATCCCTAGGACAAGCTTAGAGGGTGGCACCCCGCCCTTCAGCCATATATCCACGGCATTGGACTGGAAGAAACAAAGCACAAGGAGTAGCTCAGAAGTAGCAAGTAGTAATAAATCATGCATGATTTATTATCTTACTCAAGGCAATTATCATAAGCACCACAGTGGATAAACATTGACAAAACCAGACTGTAATCAGATATTTATTATTATTTTTCAGGAGAAAGACGACTATATTCAGTTAAATACCGTAATAGATTATATCATTTGATCAGAACTTTAAGTAAATTTCAAAAACTGGGGAAGATGAACGAAGACATACCACAGTAAGAAAGCGATTGTCACCGACGTCTGACACACCAGGGTACAACGATGCGTGGTGGCCGGTAATGCTTTCCCACGAACCGCGCAAATCGTACGCCATCAAGTTAATGAAATCAAGGGAGCTGCATGCACAAATATGCCGGTATCAGAGCGAATTAGAACACAAGTGAAGAAGTAATATTCTTCACATTACAATAACGAAATCATATCACTCCTTTTAAATGTTTCGGCCAAGAATTGCAAACACTTCCAGAAAAATCTTAAGTTTAGTGTGCCTGTAAATTGTCTTTACACAGAACCTTATTGAAAGGTAGTGGACACCATCTGCAAAAAATGGTTTTGACGGGTCTATACGGGAACAAACGGTGTCCACAAAGCAAAGACATGGACACGACAAAACTAGTAAGTTACAAAATTTAACACGTATGGACCGTTTCATTTTTGTCTCAATTAAAACGAGAACAATAAAACATGTTGCGACAAAGGCAACATCAGATGAGATGACCGATGGAACTTTGGACCTCAATAATCACTATTTCAAATGAAAAGAATTATGAAAATAAGGCGAACGCTTCACCTTGAGATGGCCGCAATTTCATAACCGTTAGCGATGGTGGGTGGCCCCGCTGCGACTGCCGATGTCAATAGGAGGCGCTCTTTACCCGTGCTGGCTGCCTCCTCTTCAAAGGCTGCACGCAGCTCCTGCGATTCCATATTAAATCATTGTAAAGACATCATTCATAAGAGAATGAAAACAATTCAGGGAATTACCCTTGTGACGTAAATGACATGCTCCCCCCCCCCCCCCCCCCCCCCCCGCTCCGGTTACCGGTGACTTGGGCACCTTGCCAACTCGGCACCTGCCAACTCGGCATCTTGCCAACTCGGCACCTTGCCAACTTGGCACATGCCAACTCGGCACCTTGCACCCTCCACCCTGTGAACCACTTCATAGCTCACCAAATTCAGTTAAATAGTGTGGGCCTTTAATACATTGAAAGCCCATCACAAGTCCAAAGGCCACTCGAGGTGTGGGCTACCGAAGAAAATGTAGAAGAACCAGCCCCTTACACTGAAACAAGACAAGATAATCTAATCTCTTCACAGTATGAATTGGGTTAGGATGGGTTATTATGTTGAGCCTCTCTGTACACGGCACGGGAAACGTTGCTTTCCCCGCATTTTGTTTGGCTATGAATGTGAGTAGGCCTAAGGTACCAACCTGAACAAGAAGCGTGAATCGTTGTTTGTCGACAGCCGGACTTCCCCTAGCCCCCGGATACTCCCAGTCCAGGTCCAAACCATCGAAGTTCCTCTTTCGGAGATACTGGATGGCGTCTTGGATGAAGACCTGCCTCCTGGCGGCCGTCTCGACCATGTAGGTGAACGTCTTCGTCCCGTGCGACCAGCCTCCCACGGCCAGCAGGGTCTTGAGCCGTGGGTTGTCCTGCTTCAGGTTGTTGACGGCTTCGTAGTTACCGACTGACCACTCAGTTGACTCGTCGTTCCATTCATAGGGCTCCAGGCGGTTGTTGTTGGAGTCGCTGAGCTTGGCAAAGCTGAAGATCATGTGCGTGCAGAGACTCGGGTCCATGTTACCCGCGACAAAACGTGCCTCGCCCGGCCGGTACTGCGCCCAGTTCGTGAAATAACACACTATGTGGTGGTTGCTATTTTCTGTATTAAAGAAAAAAGTATATAATAATACCTCTTAATCACATCTTAATTTTGTTGAAATATTGTTGAGATTTTGTAAAATATTTTAAAATTTTAGCAATGCTCATTATAATCCTCCAATGCAGCAAGTAGTTTTTCACTCGAGCACCACTCACTCCAGTAATTTGATGCAACTTCTGCGCCTACACAGGGTGAGTCAAAAAGAAGGTGGCCAAAAAGCGTTTCAAAAAGATGCGGCTGTCTACATTTGATTGAACTAATATAGGGATAAAGAAAATGTCATTGAGTAGTTACTGTGAAATGTTCACGTACTTTGCATACTCTATACCCAAATTGTGTCTATTTTAATAAAACGATCACACAATTCAGCTGTCCAACACTGATAATTTACAGTTCTACGAACTGACGAATACCCATTAAATACAATAAAGCATATCGCAGCTCCTCCATGAACGAACGAAAACTTGCAACAGAAAACATACACAAATTGTCATCAATATTTCGAGAAAAAAAGAGATTTGACGACGTGTTTCTCAAAATGAAAACAAAAAATGTGACAATAATAATTTTTCAGTCTTCTCTTAAATGGTCAAAATATCATTTGTATTTAAATGTCTGTATATAATCTGTAATTTTCACTCAGCTCAATAGCCCAATGACATTCCATACAAATACAAATGATTTCATTTAGTATTATGCGTAACTTCTGATTTCATGGATTAATTCCAGTATTTTGTTCCGATGAGTGGAAGAACATGCTATTTTAAGACATTTATTCATTGGTGTATCACACTAACCCTCGATTGCTTTTTGAGAACAAAAATTACTAATCACGGTTGCTTTCTTTTCTGACTAACCATGTATAACTGAACCAGAAACTTTAACAGATGCTGTGTAGGACATTATATCTCCTCATTGAGTCAGTGAGATTGTAGGTAAGCCAGTAAGTGAGTCAGTAAACATGGCACAAGTATTAAGTCGGTCAGTCGGTTCGCCTGTTGTGGCTGAACCGTTTACAAATTTTAATGGAATGGTTTATTTAAATTGAAACGTGGCTAACCATCGTAGATCCGCCGTGAGAGAGGGGGGGGGGGGAGTTTCAGCAGTCAATTTATTATATATTGATAGCGGTGTAACTTACTTTGACCATTGAACGACCTCGCATCCACCAAGCACAAAGCGGAAAGCGCAGCAAAGAAAATAGGCCACAGTGACGGAGCCATCTTACTATGGACTGTCCCTGGCAAGCAAGGCAGATCGTGTTTGAGAATGGAGACCAAGTACAAGAACCAATCGTGTCTGACCGAGTGAAGTTTCCCAAGTTGCACGCGTTTGGTACCGCCTTTTCGTCACCAGTTATACTGCGCAGAACTTGTGGGTCTTAATTTATAGGCCTCCATCGCATTGTTTCATGTCAGCTTCGGGGAGCTGTGTACATTATCAGCCAGGCAATGGTATAACCGTGACGTCATTATGTCTAAGGTCTATTGTGCGTGCAAGTCTCGCCATGCAGTTGACTTCTATTTTTCACGTGAAAGTGTCGGTACCGTACCAGACACTAAGTGACATGCCCCAAATTAGTGTATATCTGATGGGTAAATATAAAAATAGGTTATCTATTTTATCTGTCTCTGCACAAAATTGACTGAACACTGACGTTGCCATGGCATAGGCTGTGTGGTGTAATAACACAGCAACTTTATAATGGTCAAAAACCTGTTTACAGTAAAATAATTGTGGCAAGATTTCATTATCTTGGAATGAATGTTTGCCAGATATAGTTTTTTTTACTTTGTGAGAAAGCGACGGCTGATGTCTTAAAATAAACGACAATACATGCACAGCAAGATAAATGCGGTGTAGGCCTAGTTGTCTGCATGGCGGTACCTAGTTTTTGCTTTCGTTATGGTGATTATAGCGGAACAGATGGCCGCAATTGTTGGTAACGTTGACAAAAATCCCAACGTCTATTTGAAGTACAACTGGGGAGGGGACGGGGCGCAATTTTTCGAATGTTGTGTCACGCTGGAGTCGAATTCATAATAAAACTGCTTCACTTCATATTCCACGCAACCTCGGTCCTGTGGTGTTCAGCAGTACGCGCCCACTGCTCCCCCCCCCCTCTCTCCCCCTCTCTCTCCTTTCTCTCTCTCTGACAAGGTACTCATAATTCAGATAAGCTAAAAGTATGAAGAGTGACAAACACAACCGTCCTGTACATTAACGAAGTGTACCCAGAAGCACTGTAAACTTGTTTCATTCAAACAAACCACAAAGGGGAATTAAATTTGTTTTATTTATAGAAAGACAAAAAATAAAATAGCAAACAAACTATTGCTGCATCTAGATATGCAAATACAAATTTATGTTGGTTTATTTATTTTCATTCAAATCGTGTTGCGGCCAAATTGCAAACATGTTACAATATAAAAACATTATACAGGCTAAGAAATACACAACGATATAGTGCAAAATAAGAAAAAAAAAAAAATTAGGCAAAAGTAGGCCCTAATGGTCTAGCCAAAATAAGAAATGATAATGACAAAAACTAGCACACGTCGGAATAAAGATAGATTATTTGATAGAATTGATAAAATAAACCTTAAAAGATGGCTCAGCCATCAGAAATAAGTTGTTGGGAAAAAAATAACAATGAGGGCACCATGATCCTAAAATGAGAATTTAATTATCACAAAAAAGCAATATTCTATTTGAACTGCAGTTCAAGGTGAGAGTGAATCTTTCTCTCTACATTTGGCAGGGTGGTCACAACCAACAATAACCCTCTGATACTAATGACGTCACACTTTGTTTACATGTGTGCTTTCTTATGACCGCGGGCCTCCACTGGCTCCATAGGAAAGTGCACATGTAAACAAAGTGTGACGTCATTTGTACAGAGGTTTATTGCATTCCAGTACAGGGCCCCACAGCTGAACTGGTACGTATTGCCACCAGCGCAGCGGTAGAACACTGTAAAGTCATGCGGCCGGGTTTCCTTTATTACCATGGCCTTAGTTACAGTTGACATTGTACGGCCAGTCGCAAACTTTCAAGGAAGGGTTGAACAAGAGACCCGATGGGCAGGACTTCGTGTACGTCAGGCCAGAGGCACAGTGGTAGAATTTGCTGCAGTCGTCTGGGTACGGGTACAATCCTTCGGCGCGGGCATCACAGAAGAGCGCTGTGTCCGGAGCGTTGCACGGGACGTTGTGAGGGTAGTTGCATGTACTGGACAGCGGGTCATAGTACAAACCTTGCCCGCACGGAAGATGGGTAGCGACCCCGTTGTTGCAGATGTAGTACATCCTGCAACTGCTTGGGTCGGCGTAATAACCATATGGTTTGCCTAGGCAGGTGAACGGTGTAACGGGGTCTGGTTCCGGTGCGTCAGTTGCAGGTGCGTCAGTTGCCGGTGCGTCAGTTGCCGGCGCGTTGGTTTCAGGTGCGTCAGTTGCCGGCGCGTTGGTTACAGGTGCATTGGTGGCAGGTGCGTCAGTTGCCGGTGCGTTGGTTGCAGGTGCGTGGGTTGCAGGTGCGTCAGTTTCAGGTGCGTCAGTTGCAGGTGCGTGGGTTGCAGGTGCGTTGGTTGCAGGTGCGTCAGTTGCAGGTGCGTCCGTTGCAGGTGCGTGGGTTGCAGGTGCGTGGGTTGCAGGTGCGTGGGTTGCAGGTGCGTTGGTTGCAGGTGCGTTGGTTGCAGGTGCGTTAGTTGCAGGTGCGCCCGTTGCAGGTGCGTCAGTTGCAGGTGGTGCATCAGTAGGAGATACTTCGTCGTTTACTGCATTGGTACCAATTGTATAGAGTATTTTAAGGCTCAAAAGAGGTACATAAACTAAGAATGAACAATAAAGAAATCTGGACTAATTAACTACATGGATAGACAAAACAAAATCTTATTTTTTTTTCAAATATAACTGATTAAATATTGTTGCCAAAATAAACGAACAAATAGCCTCAGATTCTTCACTCGGCGGAAAAGTCGACTTTTTCGTTAAAATGCATAATTTGAAATTGGTGTGCAAACCTTTGCCTGAACCCTTATCCTGCCTGTTTCCTTGAAAACGTAATGTGGCAATGCCATGAAGAACTTGGGGCAGGTTTAAACGTCGGGCCCGTATCAAGTCTGTTTGTGACATCATCGCTAAATTTGTGTGTGATGCGGGGAAAATGCTACAGAAACAGGAAGGCATTATTGTGACATCAAAGTTATCACTGGTTCATGCATATCATGCAAACTCAGCTAATGCCAGTCACAGGATCGAATATACCTACACCTACCTAAACCAAGTCCGCGGTTGATGGCTTTCATCAGCGGCCACGTCTCACCACAGTGACCCGTGAAATCGTCCAAATCCACCGCCCACACCATGGCGCCGCCTAAGCTCTTCTCCAGCACATAGTCCACCTTTTCAAAACATAATACATAAAATAGAAATTGTCGAAATTCGAGTCCCAGGGGGAATTCTACAGCTGCGAGAAAGTATCATTTGTGTGGGTTTGTTTATAGTCCAATCATTTTGAAGAACGAGTGTTGGCATATAGGCCCCATTGTAATGTTTTTGCGAAGTAATACATTGTTACATTAACCTGCACAAAGAGAAAAATGGGCCCCTTGACAAAAGAGATTGACATATTGCCGGAACCACCAACATAGGGGCTTGTGATAGCTCAGTTGGTAGAGCACCGGAACGACAATCGGAGGTCACAGGTTCAAACCCCGCTCCCCTGCCAATTTCTTGGTTTTACTTTTTTAAAAAATAGTCAGCTTTTGTTAGACTGGTGACCATACCTTGATTTGGATGCTCTGTGGATCTTCGTAGCCAACCCATTGGTTGCCCTGGAAGGCATAGGGAACTTGACGTTGAGAGTCCCAAACCCGTGTCAGCTGTTCATGTCGGATTTTGTCGCAAATCTGTGACGGAATTTTGGTCAAAAATTAACATTCGATTACCGATTACATAATCTGTGAAAATTACACTTCGCCTTACATAGATGATTTCCATTAATCTCCGAGGTCCAGGGCCTATATGTTTTTTTTTTTTGCAGGCGGTGTCTTAATCAAGGAGAGGTATAAAGAGTCTTTAATGTCATTCAATGTTTCATCAATGAAAGCCCGGCTTGTCTGCAAAGTTTTCTATCATGTCCACAAGCAACCCTTTATGGATAACTTTTTTGGGGTGCATTCAACTAATTGTGCATGTAAGAGATGAAACTGCAGGTCTGCAGCACATTGTTCTTTACACTTACTTCGTAATAAGACAGGAAACCGGCTTTTTGGGTTGAAACACCGGCCGTCCCTGGCCCGCTTGCGGGAGCACCTATGCAGGTCGCCCGGCCGGCAAGGGTGAAGGAGCGGCCATACAGACCCATCCCTAGGACAAGCTTAGACGGTGGCACCCCGCCCTTCAGCCAAATATCCACGGCATTAGACTGGAAGAAATAAAGCACAAAGAGTAGCTGGTTTGAAACAGAATAATCTATCACACGTTTAGGGGAATACGTCAATGTACATGTAATACGAATAATTCAATATTATGCATGCACGATTTATTATCTTACTCAAGGCAATTATCATAGCCACCACAGTATGTAAAACATTGTTTGTACAAACGACGGTTTTTGGCTATTTAGTTTGAAAAGAGGATATATACAAATATTAAGTAAGATAATATAATATAATTTTGATTGGGCTCAAAGTAAATTTCAAGGATATGAAAGATGAACGCAGACATACCACAGTACGAAGGCGATTGCCACCGACGTCTGACGCACCAGGGTACAACGATGTATGGTGGCCGGTAGTGCGCTCCCATGAACCGTGCAAATTGTACGCCATCAGGTTGATGAAATCAAGGGCACTGCAGTGGGCAATTGATAAGCATGTCGTAGTATCAAAACAAATTCAAACAAAAGTGAAGAAGTCATACTCTTCACATTAAATTAATGGAGTCACTTCTTTCGAACGTCAAGGACAAGAATCACAAACACTTTGTTTTCACAGAATGGCAGAAATGAAGAATAGGATGCTTGATCCTATTTCTCACAATCAGAAAGGATATTTTTAATATTTTGCGTTCCTTTTTTTCAATATTTGCAAATTGATACTTTAAGTCAAAGACCTTAAACGAAAAACATCAGATTCAAGAGACAGATGAAACTTTTGACCTCAATACTTATTTGTTCAAGTTGAAAGAATGAAAATAAGGCTAATGACCTTGAGATGGCTGCAATTTCATAACCGTTAGCGATGGTGGGTGGCCCCGCTGCGACTGCCGATGTCAATAGGAGGCGCTCTTTACCCGTGCTGGCTGCCTCCTCTTCAAAGGCTGCACGCAGCTCCTGTTGGATTCCATATTAAATTATTGTTAAGACACCATTCATATAGGAAAATGAAACATTTTCAGCAAAAGTTGAACATTTATCCTTGTGACGTCAATATACGGGGTCATTGTTATTTCTTGTTCTCTTTCAGTATCAATTGGAGACTTTTATTCTATAAAAGAAAAATCTCTTTACAGCATGGAGTATATGCTATGGCAATAAGGACGGTACAAATGGTTCCTTGAAAGAATAGTTTCTATAAACAAAAAAGCGTTTCCCAGCTTTGTTGAATTGCTGCAACGAAGAGCGCTATATCTATTTTCAGATTGTTTTTTGCTCCTTGAAAGTGGTGTAATACTATACATAATTATGTTTAGTCTCTCTATGCTTTCCACGCCAGTTTATGTTCGATTATAAAACGTTGCTATAAAACTTTATCATGCTGCCACCATTTTAGTCATGTTCCCTGTGTCCAATAACATTAACGAATGATATATTATTGTGCAAAAATGAACCAGACTATATCTGCCCCCAGCCTCGCTTCGGTTTATTACGTTGATTTGAATGGGGAAAAAAATCAAGATAGCTGCAACATGACAATGGTCTTGCGGTACGAACCTGAACAAGAAGCGTGAATCGTCGTTTGTCTACAGGCGGACTTCCCCTGGTACCTGGGAACTCCCAGTCCAGGTCTAGACCATCGAAGTCCCTCTCTCGGACATACTGGATGGCGTCACGGATGAAAACTTGCCTCCTGGCAGCCGTCCGGACCATGTAGGTGAACTTCTGCGTCCCGTGCGACCAGCCTCCCACGGCCAGCAGGGTCTTGAGCCGTGGGTTATTCTGCTTCAGGTTGTTGACGGCTTCGTAGTTACCGACCGACCACGCCGTTGACTCGTCGTTCCATTCATAGGGCTCTAGACGGTTGTTGTTGGAGTCGCTGAGCTTGGCAAAGCTGAAGATCATGTGTGTGCAGAGACTCGGGTCCATGTTATCGGCCACAAAACGCGCATCGCCCGGCCGGTACTGAGCCCAGTTCGTGAAATAACACACTACGCGGTAGGTATCATTTTCTATAAGAAAAAATAATAATTCTAGCACTTCCTGCAGATATTTCCAATCTGTTTATATATCACATCTTATTTTTACTAAAACAAATTGTTGAAATTCAAAAACACTAAACAATTGTAAAATTTTGCTTTGTCCAAATATAATCCTCCAAACCTCATTATGTGCATCGAGTCTTTTTTTTCGAACTCTGCTCCACTAATTTGATTCAACAAGACTATACTCGCCTATACAGGGTGAGTCAAAAGGAAATTGACCGAATTCGAAAACAAAATATGTAAAAACATAATGGCTCACCCCGTTTCATAAAATTAATATCGGGATAATATTCACAACAGTCAGTAACTAGTAGGCCTATTTAGGGGAGTCAGTCAGTCAGTAGGCCGTGAGACGATAGGCCGGCCTTAAATGGTTCCACCAAAATGTCAAGCTGTAACTGAACCGTTTACAAAATACAAATTTAAATAGAATAGTTGATTTTGTAGATTCGACGTAACAGTGTCAATTATAATATTGAAGTGCTGTAACTAATTACCTTGCTCATTGAGCGGCCTCGCATCCAGCACGCACAGCGCCGACAGCGCAGCAAAGAAAATATGCCACATTGACCGAGTCATCTTACTATAATGGACTGCCTGACAAGCGGGGCAGATGTATCAGATCAGGAGACCAAATACAAGAACAAACCGTTTCAGACCCAAGAAAGTTTCCGGAGTTGCGCGTTTGGTGTCGCAACTTATACTGTGTGGATGGAACTTGTGGGCCTGAATTTATAGGCCATCATTGCATTGTTGCACGCAGCTGTGTACATAAGTTTGTTTACACAAGAATGGTATTTGTCTGCAGTTAATGCTCAGTATGTCTCATGCGATTTTCACCGTTGACGGTATTGTATGTAATCTGTCTCTGAGAAGACCTAAGACGTATTGATGTCACGCTTTTGTTTACATGTGTGCTTTCTTACGAGAGCTGGGTGGCGCCTGGGGATGACAGCCACATGCTCCCCAAAAGCGTGACGTCATTGTGTCTTAGAAGCGCGGTCAGCACCAGCCGTTAATTGGGTGATAGTGTTACCTTACCTGGATTCAGGATGGAATATTGACTCTACACATTTTTATGTTTTATATTGTCCTGGCCACGTGGTAAACACACCCGGGGCAATCTATCACCAGATCCTAGTATGGACCATAGTACGTCCTTCAGAGGGGGTGTCAGTCTTGTGATCCTACTGGAGGGGTTGAAATTGGCGGGAAAACCCTATTTCGATCACCCCTTTGACCAAAATGGAATGTCAAATGGGGTTATGTCTGTGGTTTTAACGGCTGTTTGGGGCCTGGGAGATACTCCAGACATGCCAGAGGTTAATCAGGGGTGAATGGGCTGGTTGTGAGGGTCGGGTGGCTCAAATTACATGTTGTCATGTGAACATTCCATACAGACACTGGACAGTAAACATTAAAGGTGCTCGCTGCACATTAAAGGTGCTCGCTCCAGCAAGAGTTAAGTTAGTCTACTTTTACTAAAGATTAATTGAGACCTGAGACATAATGACGTCACACTTTGTTTACAAGTGCGCTTCCCTACATGGGAGCCAAGTAGGGATGATGAGATCCAAGCTCCCATAAGAAAGCGCACATATAAACAAAGCGCCGTGACGTCAAATATTACGTCACGTATATTGGGCGTGCCAGACACCATTACATTAGTCTTGCTTGTCTCCTCACCATGCACAGGCTCAAAATCAAATGGCTTTACATCAATTCGAAGCATTTGTTTGAAATGTGGAGAATTGTAATCCGCCATTTTAAGTGCTGCATCGCGTGGAAGGAGGCGCACCACCTGAACTGAAGTACGTGCATGTACCTCCAAAATTGACTTCATCGCAAACAAGCACCGTTCCGGTGTGGACGGTAATTCTGTCCCCCGGTTCAAGTGTCCGGGGGGACAGAATTACCTAGGTAAAAGTGTCCCCCCCTGTCCCGTTGATTGTGTCCCCCTCCAGGTAATTCTGTCCCCTCCAGTTAATTCTGTCCCCCCCCCCTGGTTTTGCACGCATATTACATTTTTAGATTTTTCCACCCTTCATCAATAATTGTCAAAATGAAACTAACGTTTAGATGTTAATCAACCGATCTATGTTTCTGCAAGAAGGCACGCGTAGTAATACTCAACCTATCGCTAGCGCGCACGCGCATCAGCCGCCGATACGCGTGTGACTGTCATGGCGGACTTCAATGAGGAGAATTGGCAAAATTATACGCGACACGGGTCACCGCGCCGCAGGCCTGCTGCTGGTGCAATGTTGCCCCCGTCCCCGGCCGCGGCCCTGGCGCGGCCCGTAGGTGCGGTATCGCGCGCACGCCCACCATGCAAATCGTTCGCTCCCGAAGTCGTCATCAAAACGGGAGTTGTGCACCATTCCCGAATTTAGCAAGGCGCCGCGCAAAAACAGTTAATAACTTCACTAATATACAGTCTGGGTGCTAGACTTGTGACGTTGCACGGGGACACATTTACCAGGGGGGACACATTTAACGTCGTGCAGGGGGATAGATTTACCTAGAGGGGGACAGGTTTACCTAGGTAAAAGTGTCCCCCCGGACAGATTTACCGGGTCACGACCCGGTAGATCTGTCCGGGGGGACATATTTACCAGGGGGGACAGAATTACCTGCCACACCGGCAACGCGTAAAAATGTGGAATTACTTGCACTTATTACGGTGTAGGCCTATTGCAATTGTGAACTGGGTATGATTTGAAGGTTTGGTGAAGGTAGCAAAACGGGGTGTTTTTTTTGGAGTTAGCGAGATTTGTCACATGGTGATACCATATAAACCTTTATCTTGAATTATTGTAAACAATTAAACAAAATATCTTGTTCTCTTTTGGTAATAAAAGTACCTTTGAACTGTCCGTATATCTTTTATGCTAAAGGGGGATGTTTGACCAATAATGCTTCAAGAATCAACTCCAGTTTGCATTGTAAACAAAGACTAATTTTTCACAGCGAAAGCTTTAGATTCGTAAAATAATCCTCACTTTTCGGATGCAACTGGGTCCAAAACTGGGGCCAAGCTTTGTCTCCGGTGTGTGTTATTCGTTTTAGAGGTGGTTTTCTTTGGGTGAGAATTTCTCCAAAATGTCACTGGTCAACCCACCAAAAATTGAAAGGAAAAATTGAGACGACATGTTGATCATCTTTTTTTTCCTGTGCAGCCCAGGCTAAACATATACACCTGTGATAGTTCTAAGTATTTTTAAAAAGTCTTTTGAAGTATGGGGATTAATCACTGGTGTCTAATATGGGAATGTATTTACTTTGTTGCGCCCTAAGGTAATCGCCTTTAAGTCAGTCAATATTGATCGGCCTAGTACTAGAAATGCTATGAATGAACGAATTGGCCTGTATTCATTGATGCTACACAGAATATTGACTCACAGGTATCAAAAATTACAATCATATGTGAAGAGTCAATAATTACATCTTAAAAGGTGACAAATTTTCCAAATAACAAACCCTGGATTACAAAATCAGTTAAGCCGATGATAAAGAAGGGAATAAATATTTGGCCAATAATTACAGCTAAAAAGGTGACAAATTTTCCAAATAACAAACCCTGGATTACAAAATCAGTTAATCCGATGATGAAGAAGGGAATAAATATTTGGTCGTGGAAATAAAGCTGAGCTTGGCTGCCAATTGAATCACGTATTCCATTTAAATTATTCTCAGTGTTTACAAAACACAACAGGGTGTGGCTACTCCTTTAATACCTGACCGACTTCTCCGTATATCAGTCAGGTATGGGTGGGGCTAAGGTCTTCAACACTTCCCGATTACATGTAGCCATTACTACCAAAACCGCAGGTGGTGACAAAGCATTCTCAATTGCTGGCCCCCGGAAATGGAACAATATCCCTGAACACATCATACTAAAAGAGAACGGCCAAAAGAAAATAATTATGTTGAGTGTCCTGGCAAGTGGATTTTTGAAGGGGCACTGTATTTTAAACACTGTATTTTAGGGCCTAAATATAATACAAAGACGAACTTTCAAAATTGTTTCTATTTTTTTTCTTGTGAGGGTAAATATTGGGATGATGCCTTGTCGTATCACTTTTGTGACATTACTTCGCATTTTGGCTTGATGACCTTTTTGTTAATACTTACTCTGCAAGTCCTTTCATCCCACAAAGTATTATAATATTCAGGTGTTTTTTTTACTGCGGACACCAATGTGAATTATTTACACGAAACGACTCTTAAGTGTTTTAAGTACCGTATGTTTAAGGGCAATGCGTTTCGTAATGAATATACAAAAGGATTAATGCTTTTCTTTTACCACTTTGTTAATTTTATTCTAATAAGTCATTTTTTTTTTTTAGCTTGGATGAATAATTAACAAGTTCGGTTTTAGGTCTTCATAATTATGCATGCAGCGAATATGCTAATTTTTCTTAATACTCCCGCTTCTTTAAATGGGATCATGGCCCCTCGATGCAGGTTCTAAACCATGTATTAAATATTTTGGTTAACCTATTTAAGGCGTGGGGAGATACCGATCGTTTCATTCATCGCTGAACTACGCGTATAGAGAAACCGGACAATCTTCATCATAAGTAGCATCATCATCGTTCTGCATCATGTTGTTCAAGACCCTCGCCCACCTGCTGGTGGGACTGGGAACTATATCTCCCAGAGACGGTTCGTTGTGCTTTTTAAAATGAAGTTATATGTCACGGTGGTTGCTATATTGTTGTCTTTCAAGACTGTGGTGGCATTATTTTCCGAATTCCAATGTCTCTTACGTTGTTACTTTCTCAAGTGTTTCACTTGGCAATTAAGCTGCTGCCTGCAGTTTAAAGGTATTCCGTTCCTCTGTTTCTGCTGCTGTCTGGGATCACATACCTGTTTGTTAGGTTCGCACTGAATGTAGTCCAAGGGCGGATCCAGAACACAATATTGTGGGTGGGCCCCCCCAAAAAAATTGGTCCCCCAAAAAGTGGGTAACAAAAATTACGGCGTGGGGTTCGGGGCCCGCTTAAAGGCCCCGGAAAAATGTTGGATTCTAGATGCTCTGTGGTGCGATCTGAGGCAATTTCTGACCACTTTAACCAATGTTTTTTGAGGAAAAGATGGTGGTGTACTCATTGCCTGCCTTTATTGCGATGTCACATAAAAATTGGTTTCGTTTTTTTTTTTTGGGGGGGGCCATGGCCCCCTTTGCCCCCCCCCCCCCCCCCCTGGATCCGCCCTTGATGTAGTCCTCATTCGTATAGAACTATTGGGTACTGCTGTCTCATATTTTTTATGAAATCTGAAATTTAGGATTTCTTTTTAAGTGGAGCTCATATCATACTGACACTCAGAAATATATGCTCTCTGTGTTGTTATTTCTCTACGTAACGCTCAGAGGCACTGGGCCTGAATTTGTTGTACAGCGTGCAAATTTACAGTTTGATCCTTAAAAAAAGGACATAATATATATATATTTTAAAATATCTTTATTTCCAGATGTGCCAAGCTAACATTTTAGTCCCGAAACAGAGATATTGTCTTTTTCTATAATCGAAATACGCCCCTTAAAAAGAGAATGGCTATCGGTATTAAAAATACGGATATTTCTACATTTCTATTAGAAATATCTCTGTTTGAAATAGGTGCAACAAGTCATAATTAAAATGGGTAACTTAATTGGCAAGTCTGTGAGTATTTATTGAAATGTCTATATTAAGATAGAGATACCTCGATTTAAGGATTAAATGTTAAAGTTGCACGCTATACCTTAATTAGTAAAGTCTATCCACACAGCCTTTCTTTAATCTTCATTTTGTACAGATCAGTTGGCTGGGATGATTGAGTGTACCATTGATAGCAGTGCACCTGTCAAGTACGCCGACTACGGCTGTTTCTGCGGCGAGGGATCGGCTGGTGCTACACCAGTCGACGATACTGATAGGTTCGTAGTTTCACGTGCTACACATTAACGTGGATTAAGCAGAACCTTAGCATTGCAAATACCTTTGTGGCTGTGTACTTTTGTTTCACAGAGACTCCATGACTTTGCGTGTATTCAATGTTTTTTAATCAGCGTAAAAAAAGTAAAGATGCTTGTTGAAAGCCAAGAGTCTGTTTCCTACTTTTTCATTTTCATCGTTTCCAAAAAAAGAATGGCAATATTTTTTGCTACTTCATCGTACTTTTGGTCGAATAGAAATAAAACAAGAACCACCAGTGTCTAGGCCTACAACCTTTTCACTTCTTTGGGACCTTAACTATGTTCGACATAAAGTTGATGACTTGGAAAATGATTTTTTTTTGAAAGACTGCCATCAGCCTACTTTTTGTTAAAGTAAATTTAAAACACGTCGATCTGCTGACAGCATGCCCACAATTAACGTGAAAGTGACTGACTTGATTTTGTTCAGAGACAGAGACATTTGGAATTCGCAAGTGTTTTGTCCTAAACAAAGTTAAACTGAAGGGGCTGACGGTATTTCGTACCATATAGAATAGTTTGAAATGGCCTTTTATATGAAATCAAATAAACAAATGGAAATTTACATAAGGTAAACGAAATTTCAATTGACTTGAAAAAAATCGTTACTGGTCAACCTAAATATTATTTGGTTTCAAAAAAATTGAAGGCACCGTCCATCACCCATTTGTTTTTTTTATCTACCATTAATATTAACATCTCCAGCTGTTGTCAAGCGCATGAGCAGTGTTATGACGGCTCTCTTGCTGCGAGTATTGGCTGCAGCTCGTCCGATCGGGATGACTTACCGTATGAGTATTCAACTCATCATGTCTTCAGTCGATGCTCTGTGCAATGCGGTAAGCATTAGTTTAAGTTGTATCCATATTGGTGCCACCCGATAGTCCGAAGGTCCGATAGTCCGAAGATTCTTTAGTCCGAAGGTTCGATATTCCGAATGCACAAAATTTCCATAAGAGGGGTTAGTCCGAAAATGAAATAAGGTTCGTTAATCCGAACATTTGATGCAATAGTCCGAAGGTTCATTAATCCGAAGGTTCATTAGTCCGAAGGTTCGTTTGTCCGAAGGTTCGGTAGTCCGAATTTAGAATAAGGTTAATTAGTCCGAAGGTTCAATAGTCCTAAACGAAAATAAGATGCAATAGTCCGAAGGTTCATTATTCCGAATTGACAACAAGGTTCGATAGTCCGAAAAGACTATAAGGTCCGATAGTCCGAATCGACAATGAGGTCCGATATAGTCCGAATCGGCAATAAGGTCCGATAGTCCGAATCAACAGAAAGGTCCGATAGTCCGAAGTGTCAGACTGACGAACCGTATTGCCCATTCGGACTATCGAACCTTTTTCTCAATTCGGACTATCGAACCTTGTTGTCAGTTCGGACTATCGAACCTTATCATCTATTCGGACTATCGAACCTTATTGTCGATTCGGACTATCGAATCCTATCGTCTAGTCGGACTATCGAACCTTAAGATTAATTAACCTTATTCTATTTTCGGACTTATGGGCCTTTCGGACTATCGAACCTTCGTACTATCGAACCTTCTATTTCGCAACTGGCAAACCAAACCCAGGCTCATTGCGCGCCTGGTTTATCCCAACCCACAGATCCGGTTGAGGACTACCCAGCGGATCAAGACAAGGCGGCCTGCAGGGTGTACCTGTGCGAGTGCGATTGCCAATTGGCCCAGTGTCTGAAAGATGCTGCAGGTAGCTACAATGGGGACTACGTCGAGTATAGGGACACGGAGGCGGGCCAGGCACAGTGCGTCTAAAGATTTAACTGCCTAATGCTTCAGATCACCATCAACATAGCTTCTTCAGCAGCATTACGCAGTTTGACTGCAGGCTTATTTCAAACACAACCTCGATGCACTCTTGTGTGTATTATCGTTATTACTGTTCGCTATTTTGGAAATGCGGTTTCATGGTAGCTCCATCTCCCTAGCATAACTTTAATTTAAAAAAAAATATTAATTAAAACGTCTTCGCGGGCTCAAGATCACCTCCCATAAAAAAAAAATCGTTCTCTTTTTTGGTGTCGAAACGCTGCAAGATATATCAGCCTAGTTTTGGGTATAATCTGTCTCTGGATAGGATAGTTGGCAAGGCATTAATCAGGAAACATCACACAAACTTGCTCTAGAGATCTGCCATACAGGTGCATTTAGTGTCCAATTAAACCGTTTTAGTCAATTTCACTATTTAACCATGTTACTCAATAATTTAATTCACCTAGAATTGTGAAAAGTAACAAGAGGATTAAAATAAAAACCTCGTTACTTCTCAGTTTACGAATACATGAGATCCTATGTGTTTTATTAAATGTCTGTGCAATACAACTTAATTGTCTACTTACAAAAACGATCGATCACAAAAGAAATGTTTTGGTGCTAGAGTCATGCTCTGTACAATTGCATTACGGTAGTAATGATGCTTTTTAACAGAAGACAGGCCATTTGTTTGGGACTCATTGTCTTAAATAATTACGTTACCTCAACAAGTGATATAACCAAGTGAAAGTAATTATAACAGACAAACTTCAAATTAGCTTTGAAACCGAGGCTCTTAGTGCTTATGAATTGAAGACCTTTGCTTTTTAAATCCTCTCAACAAAAGACAGCACTGAGAATCTCGGTTCTAGGGTCAATTTGAAATTCCTCTATGACATGCATAGCTAAGTGCGACGTACCAGACCAGAAATGCAGCTGCGGCAGGCAGTGTTGCATCCAGACATTTTTTTTTTTGGGGGGGGGGGGTGTCATCAGCAATGCTGAAATGTACACAGCTGCGTGTATGTGTGTGTGTGGGGGGGGGGGGGGAATGGGGGGGGGGGGGGGCTCGTTTCATATTTTAAATGGGGGCGCGCTTCAAATCTGACGATCATGCATGGGGGGAGGGTTCGTTCCATACTTTCAATGGGGGCGCTCTTCTAATCGGACGATCATGAACACTATATTAAAGAATAGTGTACAAATACTCCGTAACCCAGTTAGCTCTGGGTGGATATTTTTACCAGTATAATTTTTCTTGGGTGTCAGAGCGGGGGTCACATTATGTTTAATGTGTTTCTATGCAAAAAAAACAACAAATAATTGTGAGTCAGAGCTGAAGACCCCCCCCCCCCCCGCCCCCTCTGGATCCGCGCCTGGCAGGTCCCTGTGCGTGATGGAAGGCGCCCTCTAAGGTAAGTTATGACTCGACTCTAACTGAGAAAAGTAAAAAGTAAAGTCTGTCACGGGCCAATGTGGCCCATCACGCTGGCGTTTATCTCTGGTTTCAATAGCATGAAACGACTGAGAATATTTCTACTCCCCTTGATTGGAGGCTGATGGTCCATCACAGGTTACTCCCCAGCTAATACCGGTACCCATTTATACTCCTGGGTGGAGAGAGGCAAGTGATGGTGAAGTGGCTTGCCCAAGAACACAACATGACCAGCACTCACCACTGTTTAAGCCTTGTCCGAATTACTTGGCTTCATCTGACCTGAGAATAACACATTGGTCTATGGGAAGTGGCTCCAGACGTGTAATTCACGGAAAGTGAAATGATGTGCAAATCTGCATCATCTTTGTTTAATCTTCCTGGCCCGCTTATTCAAATTTTGCCGCTTGGGAGTATTAGTGAGAATTATTCAAAGGTAAAATGAATAATGATTTCTGATGTATAATTTATTGTCTTTTTTGCCGGCAGATGTTCCTTGAAAATAAAATTATGAATATTGAATAGGGCACAGTTGTGAAAAAGAAACATTTCACAAGGATTTCACATCTTTATTTTGGAATGTTTTCTTCTCGAAAACCTCTCCTCGAAAATAGTCAGAAAACGATTTTTTTTAAAAAATAGAATTTGGCATTGTGCTGAATTGAATGTATGTGCGCTTGTATGTATGTGGTGTTTATGGTGTAAATCGAGGACACGCACGTGCAGCATCATCGATGAATTGAGGACAGGAACCAAATCGAGGACGACCTCGATTAGAAAACGTATACAAAACCAATGAGAGCTGTTGCAAAAAAAGGGTATAAGAGTATAAACAAAGAAAAGGGGAAAAGGAAAAATAGGAACTCGATTTACACCATAAACAAACCTGCGTGTGGGTACTGTGTGTTTGTTTCTGCATTCAATAGGGGACGTTGAACAATAGATGACAACGGGGTCCCCCATTCGGTTCCCAATTAGTGGTGATCGTGTACAAAACATATGGGAGGTCTTCCTCAAAAGTTCGAGTCCAAACAAAAGAGGGACAATAGGAGGTCCCCGATTGCAGGCAATCGAGGACACACACGTGCAATAGAGAGCGCTCGTCGTAAAAAAAAACACAACGCGCTTAAAAAAAAGTGTTTTTGAGGAAAAATTAATTTGCAAGTCGGAGGGGCGTGGTTATAACCAATTATATTGGTTGGAAGGCGAGCTGTCAATGGTTACGGGATACATATAACAGGCAGTTTGGTTAAAACTGCTTCATTGGTTGAGCGCATATTTTGGTTTAACCAATTAGGTTTCGGGGCATGATGGAAGAAAAATATTAAGCCACAGACGACGCGTGCTCTCTGCATTCGCCAGGTGTAATAATTAAGCTTGTTCCAGTTACTCATGGGAATAATAAAACAGACGCAAATTCGGTAATTCTTGTAAATTGTGTAGTATTTTGGCACCTTATGTTCACGATCGATGAGCTGTTGGTAATGAATATACAAAAGGACTAATGATCTTTTTCAACACTTAGTATGCTTATTCTTTTTTTCTCCTCGGATGAATTTGAAGACTTGATACAATATGCATGAAGCAACTGGCCTACTTTGAGTTTCTAATAATATACATGCTTTGAATGGGATCATGGTCTCGCTGCAGGCTCTATAGATCATTACTAAACTCAATATTTGGGTGGATCTTTTTCAACACTTTATTTTAGTATGCTCATTCTTTTTTTCTGCTCGGATGAATTTGAAGACTTGATACAATATGCATGAAGCATTGTTGAGCTACTTTGAGTTTCTAATAATCTCTATGCTTTGAATGGGATCATGGTCTCTCGATGCAGGCTCTAGATCATTACTAAACTCAATATTTTGGTGGAGCTGTATTCAGTCAATTTAAGGAGTGAGGGGATATCAATTGCCTCATTCGTCACTGAACTACGCATAGAGAACCGGCATTGTTCATCAAAGACTTAGCATCACTATCGGTATCATCATCTCCATCATCGTTCGACATCATGATGAAAATTGCCGTCCTTCTGTTGGTAGCACTGATGGGGGCTTGTGCAGCCGGGGAACCATCGAAACGCAGTACGTTTTGCTTTAAATTAAAAAAAATAATGTTATCGTAGTCGTTGTTGTGGTTGTGGTTGTTTCGGTTGTGGTGGTTGTGGTTGTTGTGGTTGTTTTTGGTTGTTGTGGTTGTTTTTGGTTGTTGTGGTTGTTTTTGGTTGTTGTGGTGGTTGTGGTGGTTGTGGTTGTTTCGGTTGTTGTGGTTGTCAGTTTTGGTTGTTGTGGTTGTTTTTGGTTGTTGTGGTGGTTGTAGTGGTTGTGGTGGTTTCGGTTGTTGTGGTTGTTTTTGGTTGTTGTGGTGGTTGTGGTGGTTGTGGTGGTTTCGGTCGTTGTGGTTGTTTTTGGTTGTTGTGGTGGTTGTGGTGGTTGTGGTTGTTTCGGTTGTTGTGGTTGTTTTGGTTGTTGTGGTTGTTGTGGTGGTTGTGGTTGTGTTTCTGTGGTTGTTTCGGTTGTGGTGGTTGTGGATGTTGTGGTTGTTGTGGTTGTTTTGGTGGTTGTTGTGGTCTCAGTACGTTTCGCTCATCAAAACACACGAGTTAATTCTGATCATGACTTTTGTTACAATATTTTCGGATGCTGATGTATTAATAGTTTGTGTTGTCAGGTATTCCACTTTGCAATATTAATGTGTTGCCTGCCTTTAAAGTTCTGTTGCTGTTTCTGCATGCTGTATCGACCGGACTACATGTTTGTTATAAGTATCAAAGAACTTTTTTGTAGTTAAATGTTGGCATGTATTCGTCTAGTGGTATTATTGCATGGGCACCGTTGCACGCCATACCTCAAGTAGAAATGTCTATCTACACCGATTTCGATTATTTTGCAGTTTTCTTTACACTTCATTTTGTGCAGATCTTTTTCAGTTGGCTAGGATGGTTGAGTGTGTCCATGACAGCTTAACTGCACCTTTAAAGTACGTCAGCTACGGATGTTTCTGCGGCAAAGGATCGGCGGGCAACACACCAGTCGACGCGTCTGATAGGTACGCGAATATCACACGATTTTATTGGAGAAACTTTTTCTCCCTTTAGTTTCAAAATGAACTAAATTGAACTGCTTTGCCCCTATTTTTTTAAGAAATAGAAAAAGACATGCGGCATATCACCGATAAAAAGAAATACATTACATATAAGTTTTCGTTCCCATAAAAAAGTAACTTCCACAATCTCAGCACAACCAATTTACTATATACAATGTATATTTTGGCGGTTGTACAACTGTGCGATGTATGTTAAAATTGATTTCATTCTTGATTGTTCGTATGTAAATTAAATACAATTTTCCCCAGCTTAGGCCTACAGCTACAACTTGCTTGTGAATAAAACTATAAAACGCGCCCGCCCTATGTTGACGCACAGTTTACAAAATAATCTCTGTATACGTCCATTTGTACACAGCCATTGTGACACCAATAATGACAGAGGTTGTTTTTAATCATTCTTTTTGAAACCATAACAGTGTATACACTGCAATTATTTGTTGTTCAGAAAATCGAAAAGCATTAAGCATTACTTTTCGTCTGTAACGCGTCACGTCCAACCAAAATAATTGGGGGAAATGCATTATACGGTAGTTGAATTAATCAAAGAAGAAGAAAAAAACGAAACGACGTAAAAAAAAAACAGAAAAAAAAAGAAAAGAATATCGTCCGGTATAATTCAACAGACTGAATTTAAAATAAGTCGCGTTTGCACTTGCTGTTTTGACCATCATTAGGTGTTGCCAGGCGCATGACCACTGCTACGAGGCTGCTCATTCGGAGTCTATTGGTTGCAGCTCGTTCGACGTGTACGGCATACTGTATAAGTATTCAACTTCTCATGATGCCTCAGGCCAATGCTTGGTCCATTGCGGTAAGCATTGTTCCTAATTGTCAGTATATGGATCTATTAATCGGTATAACTTTTGTTAACTTATGATTTTCAGGAAATTAATTAAAACGTTGCGTATCTCACTCGAAAGCCACCATTAAATCTACTTAGGCTAATTCCCTTCCTCCTTTTGAAAACAAAAAGTCTTCTTGGCGCCCCCCCCCCCCCCCGCCCCCAAATGATCTGGATCCGCCCTTGGTCCATCATCATAATTCGGGAGCCCTTTTTACACTATATAGCAAGATAGCAAGATGACTTCTATACAAAACCTTAATGGTTTGGAATCAGTGGGTTAAGAGGTTCTACCCGGGTAAAAATCCAAAATCTATAATCGACCCGTGGACAACCCAATGTGAACGGCCTTAGCCTTGAATGACGACCACGCGTTGATGGAACCCCGTTCGGCTCGAGATGTGGATTGACCCATGTCAATTTTAGCACGTGTAGGCGAAACGAAACTTGGGAACTGTCTGAGGTCTTACAACTGAACATGATTCAATTTTATTGCACAGCTCCGGTTGCTGACTACCCAGCTGATCAAGAAGGGGCAGCTTGCATGGCGTACTTGTGCGAGTGCGATCACAATTTGACCCAGTGTCTGAAGGAGGTTAAGGACAGCTACAATGCGGACTACCGCGAGTATAGGTACTCGGAGGCCGGCCGAGAACACTGCGTATAAAACACTGAACTACCTGCAACTCAACAAATATGTCCAAGCTCATTAGAGATACAGTTGATTAATTTGGTGTTTAATGAAGCAGCTTTAGACAGTAAGGTCTATTTCAAACAAAACAGCACATATGTGTGCGACTGTTTGCTAATTTGGGAAATGCGGTTTTGTTGTAGCTCCATACCTTGCAAAACTTTCATTAATCTTGATAAACATAACGAGAAACGAGAAAGTTCAAACGAGAACTAGTTTAGTTCTTTCGCGAGCTCAAGACCCCCTCCTATAAAAATAAAATGTTGCTTTTTGGTGTGAATAATGCGCTGGTTGTCAAACCGCTATACTAGACTCAATATATATCTGCCAGGTATCTATCCCTGAATAAAACATCATGCACATCGATCGATCATTTGCCTCTGTTTAGTGTATATTAATTAGTCAAGTTTCACTGTTTGACCGTTACTCAATAATTCAGTTCATCAAGCAAAATAATTATAGAAGATTAAAAAAATACCGTTACTTCGCAGTTAACGGACCCAAGGGATCCAAAGTGCTTATCTAATGTATCTTCAAGCTAATTAGGCCTAGCGGATGGTCTCTTTGAACGGTCGCAGCATGAAATGTCTTGGTTCTGCATCCGAGGCTAAAGTCATCACTGTAAAGTGGCGTTACGGTAGTACTGTTTATTTGTTTGTTTGTTGTTTGTTTGTTTTCCAAACAGAAGACAGGCTATTTGTTTTGGACTCGTTATTGTTGTCTTGAAAGATTTCCTCAAGTGATGAACCATGTATCATGCATAATATCATGGACTAGCGCTGCATGCGTTCGCCTCAATCTGATCAGTGCGTGATGGAGGGCGCCCTCTACAGCCACAGTTTGGACTTCAAGTTGTGTTATGTGTTATGCAACTTGCTTTGGACTTGATAAAAAAAAACACCGTGGGCGGACGATCGAAACATCCACAACTCGTGACCAAAGTAAACAAAAAAAAACATGAATGCAGTTTATGATAAGGTAAGACGTACACGTATTTGATTTTACTTCGATATCCACATCAACACAGCAAAGAGTTAAGGCCCTAGGCTGTTTAAAGTTGTAACAAATTACAAAATAATTTAGGCCTAGGTGACGTCTCTTCCGTTCTTTTCCACGGATGAAAAAAACCACATTGCATTTCATTATTAAACCATTTTATGTAGGAAACTGCCCCCCCCCCCTCACCCACCCATGTTCAGATGTTTTGGTATGCCTTTAGTCATGTGTTAATTTTGTATCTAAATTCCTGTGCCATATCTTAACTCAAAGGATCTGGACTCAGTCACTACCATCATGCTTGAATGCACACATAAACATTAGCCCAGGTTGGACGAAGTCTTCATTGCATTACGTAGGGAGGAATTAAGGGAGTCCACCTGGGCTAACATAAACATGATAAATGTGTATGCACTGCCACGACTGCAGTTAAGCCCTTTTGTAAGTCTTACCGCGGAGGAACAGATTAAGACCAAATTCAAAAGAGGGCCATTTATTTACAGCCCTATTTGTACGTGGGCTTATGCATAAATCCCCATTATGGGCATGATGGCACTGGCTTAGGCAAATGTTGTTACTGTACTACTGGTGAGGCGTTCATGTGGCTGGGGGGGGGGGGGGGGACACTTGTTCTAATTCCAAGGCCAACAAAACCCCCAAGATTCCTGCTTCCGATTACATGCATTGCAAATAGGGTTGGTAGGTCATTGTACTGTAGGTAGGTAAATTTTATTTTTGTTGCCATTTTGTTTGTGTACGATCATATGGAGGCTAGGCGTCTGCATGTAGTTAAAGGTAAGGTAGTTTTGATGTTTTTGGGTGTTTGTTTCTCATTTCTCCCATAAGAAAATTAGGGTAGGGGCTAGAAATGTACACTCAAAATAGGGTAGGGAAACCGGAAGCAGAACAATTTTTTTTGGGCCTTAGCTGGGCGCTACAAGTAAATTGGCGGGTGGCGGTTCTTTATTTTGTATACATGTACATGTATGATGTAGTCGCTACCCAAGCTGGTATAGCTATTTATATAGCTCTTTATTTCCAGGAAAGAATGTTGCAACCTGACGTCTCTTTTTTCTTCATAACATCATCTCAATAAAGGTCATCAGTCATTGCAAAAATGTTGAAAAGACATTAATCTGGAGAGTGGGAAACATTTTCAATTTTGTTAGGAAATACTAAAAAAAATGCTCTTGACTTTCCATAGACTTTGTACACAACCGTTGGAGTGGCATCAGGAAACTATTTCCTATTTCTGTATAATTTGTACCCGCCGTCCGTCGAGCTCCTCTACACTTTATGTAAGTGTGTATTTCTTATACTTATTTCATGAATTATGTTGAGCATCCTAGCTGGCTCCTGGCCAAGCTGCCTTTACATTTTACTACAGGTACATGGGCTAAATCTGTGTCAGTCAGGTCGTGATCTGTTTTAAAACGCCCCAAGTCGAGCAGCTCACCCGGATTGACTCGGGAAAAGGCAGATGGGTAAGCCACGACAGCTGGGCTGATCGAAAGCTAATTTTCCAAAAATGCGTCTTTAGACACATCGTTGGAAATGTCCTTCTTTTATTGTTTTATTCAAAATGACAGCATGCCATTACTATCTGTAAACCCAGTAAGCTTTTGAAAAATAATTTTGTCAGTTATTTTTTGGATAGCTGCAAATGATGTACTCTTAAAGTTTTGGGACTCTCATACACAGTATCGAGAGTCCCAAATGTTCGGACTAGCCTATAACGTTCGCACCATAATGCCCATGCCCTCCAAACAATACGCTGAGCCCCAAATTCTAGGGGTACCCACTACCCAAATATGCTGGGTCTCACAACCAGCCTAGTTTTGAAGAAAAGACAATGGCCAATTGGTTTAATTTCTGGATGTGAATAAATATTGTAAGTTTTTTCTCATGTGTCATGTGTTTGTAAAAGTAAAATCTGGGCATTCCAAAGCTCTGTTAAATTCTGTGAGTCTCAAAAAATGGGGTTATGTGTTTCCTCTGTTACATAAGGATGAAATATGACAATTGAGATAACATGGATATTTTGCCCACGGGCTAACACTTCCAGTACATTATGTACCTTAATAGGGAAATGAAATCTGCATATTAAGCAGAGGTTCAGTGCTACCAGCAACAGTTCATACCTGCATATATCTACATGTACATTACCGTGTCCGTGAGCATATATAACTTAGGAGTGGTGACGCATTCAGTGGTGACAAGTCTCGTGCAGTGATCTGGAGAAAAATGCTGGTAGGTTTCTTGCTTAAGTATTCCTTTATTTTCACACTGCATTAGCAAACGCACCAATGCATTTCATATTTCATCTTGACCAACAGGTATCATTGGCAACCTTTTTGCTGTCTACTCGTCTGAGATTCTCATTACATGTTACTCTAAAAGACATCATCAGTAAGCCCCCTCTGACAACCAGGGAAATGGTCAGTGCTGGCAAATTCTAGTAAGAAAACCAGAAATTTGGATTAGAAAAGCAGCAAGATGGATGGACCAGACTTTGGAAGCGACGTGCGTGATCGTCGTCATGATCCTTTGGCCATGGATCAAACAGCCGGCCGACCTGAAAATGGCTACGTAGATATAACCGTCCCGCAGAACACCGGTTGCCCAGCAAAGCTTAAGAGCTTCTGTTTCAAGAACATGGACTGGGTGAGGCGTGTAAGCGTAGAACCAGCACTCCTTATTGTCATGATAACAATGGGGTTAACGGGTGGCGTGTCCATCCAGTATGTCCAGCACCGCATCTACGAGAACTACAACATCTCCGGAGGGTCGGGGGGTCCTTGCTCGAACCAGTCGGCCAATCAGTCAGCAGCGGAGAAGGATGCGGCAGATCAAGCAGCATCTGAGTTGAACGGCTTCAATGTCATATCGGGCTTTGCCGGGGGACTGCCGGCACTGTTTGTGACACTGATCATCTCTGCAGCTAGCGACCGAGTCGGTCGTAAGCTGCCGCTCCTGTTGCCCGTCGCAGGCATGCTGTTGGGGACTTGTGTCTTCTTAGTTGTCTCCATCCTCCATCTGCCGATTGTCGTCATCCTCATCTCCAACGTGGTTCTTAGCTTCACAGGGGGATACCCTTTGTTCTTTAGCGGCTGTTCTGGATACGTGGCAGACACGACAGCCAAGAAAGACCGTACGTTTCTGTTTGCCTTACTGTTCACACTGGCCCTGGTTGGTTCGGGGATAGCCGGCATCGGCGCTGGGTATTGGATCAAAGGTGGTGACTTCACTGATCCTTTCTGGTTGGCGTTTGCACTGCAACTAGCCATTTTGTTGTACCTCATGTTTTGGGTTCCAGAGACTGTTGACACTTCGAAGTCTGAGTCCGAGTCTGAGACCACAGAGCCAAAGTCTTCCAAACTATCAGCGGTCTGGAAGGGCCTCTCGGGTATTCTTGGGGTTGCTGAGGAGGGTCGTCGAGTATGGCTCTTGTTGGCTCTCACTGTCCTGTTTCTTGTAATGGGGGTATTTGGTGCCATCAACAGTATTCTGTTTGTGCGACTTCTGAGCTTTCCGTTCTGTTGGACTTCTGTGCTGATTGGGTATTTCAACGCATCCAAGCCATTCATCAATGGACTAGGTAGGACTGTCTTTTCATTCTGTCAGTTTAATTTTTGGTTCATTTTTTTCATGTTAATTACTTTATCACAATCAAATGTGCTTGAGGAAATTGGGGACTTAATGTGTGATTCTAACAATTGGCCTCCAATAGGGAAATGTGGTATAGTGGTTAGATGTTTTACTCATGATCAGAGGGTCAGAGGGTCTTGAATCAAGCTGTCCATGAGCAAGCAACTTTACTCTAACTTGGCTATGAGTAACCTGCAATGGACAGGCATCCCATCCAGAAGGAATAGAAACATTCTCACTTATTCTTAAGAAATGATGGAGATTAACCATCAGATAAGGCAGTTGTATTAACTTGAGACAGACTTGATGACGTTCTGTAATTTTTGGAGAAATGTACATGTAACTCTGAAAATGTTTACAAATTGACATGCATGTACATTTGTATATCATTATGTACACTCACTAGCTAATTCTGCTTCAACAGTTGATGAATTCCATTACACTTGTTCTATTTTCCAATGAAGCAGAAATCAGTGGCCATATTTGTAATAAACAACATTAGTTTTAGGAATTTCATAGTGAAAATATTTCAGATTTTGCATCCTGCATGAAAACATCCTGACTGTCTGCCAAATCTCATCTCTACAGGCCTTACACTTGGATCCCGCTACCTGACCAAGTGTCTTCAAGACTACGCAGTCATTCAGCTGGGTCTCCTATCTACACTGGGCATGCTCATCATCATTTGCCTCAGTACAGAGACTTATGGCATGTTTCTGGGTGAGTCAGGTGGTAGTATTGATATTTTTGCCACAGTAGGAGCCTTCAAGTTCCAGAATCCTTCAGAATGCTCCACTGTCATGAATTGCACATTCAACATGTTCAAGGAAACAACAAAGATACATGTACATGTAATAAGGAGAAAATATAAGTGTTTTAAGACTCACATATTTCTTGCTAGCTTTTTATTAACATCCATTCATAAATACATATACATGTACATGTAAGACAATTTACCCATTTCCATGATTTCTGTTGGTCGAGAGCCCGTCACGTGGCCGGGTTTAAACGGTTGATAAAGACCGACTGGCTCGTCTCAAACACTTTTCCAATGTAACATGAAATTTGGACTCCTATGAAATCCGTTGCCTTCTACTGTTTTAGTGGTTTAACGTTCACATGCTCAATACTACATGTACCAGTGAGTCAGTATTTCATAGTCCTGAATTCACACTACACCGGCACAGCTGCGTTCTGTGTCACATCGTGCAGTACGTGTGACGCATGCGCCAATCTCCATATAAGGAGTTGTTTGTCTACTGGACATATTTTATAATAAAGCCAGAGGGGTGTTTCAAAAATCATGAAGTAAAATTGTTGAACAAAAGTATTCTGGAGAAAACGCATGGAATCAGGGACTGAAAAATCAATATCCACATGTTGGCCAGGATGCGATTTGAATACATTTTTGTAAAATATGGAGGGCAAGGAAAATACTGTGCTAGTGTGACTCATGATGTTGCTGTTTGTTGCAGTGAACGTGGTTGGATGCCTGCATGCACTGCCGCCTGCTATCCTCATGGCCAAGATGTCCAAAATCATTGAGCCGTCACTGCAAGGTATTGTTAAGCCTAAACATTTTGTGTAGTTTCCCATGCAATAAAACAAACCACAAAGAGAAGGTCCACTTTACTTGTACCAAGGATTGACCAGAATGGCACCTGAGTCCTGCGCAATGTTGTGTCGGCCATCTACCAACCGATGATCACTCTAGCCCTGAATGTTTCAATATTGGGTTTTGCCCTAAACTGATCTAATTTGTTTGTCACATGCTTTTAGAGAGCATGAGACAACAGGATCACAAGCTTTCTCAGGTGGGCTTCTACCTCTGACCTCCTGCTTAAATCAACTTATAAATGTTGCATGTTGGTAGTCCTCTTATAATTATTTTATCAATGTCAGCTGATGTTGCTACTTTATACTGTCTGGCTTGTGCCTGATTTGTGATGACTCGACCAGCAATCAACATGTGTATTTGTTGTGAAAGATTTGAATTGTGCTTGGATTTTTTGTTCCCCAGGTGCCTTGTTCTCACTGACCGGGACCACAGAGAGTCTCGCCAACCTGCTTGGGCCGTTCATGCTGGGTCTCATCTATCAGGGAACCCTGAACACATTCCCATTGACCGTCTTCATTGTCATGATAGGCTTGACCGCCCTCACTATGCTCATTGTTGGGTATGTACACCTGCTACAGGTGTTTTCCTCCAAACATAACGAAACGTTAATGCTCTTGCTGTACGACTTTATACAAAGTTTCAATAGTTTAAACATGTGTAAAGGGCAATACATGCAACAGACTCAAAACAGACTGAAATATACTTTCGGAATGGCATCTTTAATCCTCACTTCCTAAGTCCTTTACAATCCACTAGGAGGTTATGTAGGATTTTGTAGGATTGACGAAAGTAGAGCCCAGCCACTAACAATTAACCTAACTCCCTAGCGTCTTTTACAAGGAACTGGACCAAGTCCATCAATCACTGTGCTTCCAATACAAAACTGTACATGACATAATGGGATCACTACTGACGCACTGGTTGACATTCATGGACTTGCTATAATGGCTTTTATCACAACAGCAGTACAGGAAGCTAGGCAAAATCAATCGGATACCCCTAGCACTGCTTCAGGCCATTAGGCCCAAGTCCATCATACTCCATCAATATATAGTAACGCCAGGCCTCCTGGACCAAGTCCCCCAAAATCCACCAAAATGGGGGGATGGATTTTGATAGAGTTGGGGTGGTTAGGGTTAACCTGGGGCTTGATGCTGTAAATTAAAAAGTGCAAAGCATGTGATATTTTGGTTCTTGCATAATGGTTGAAACTCAGAAATAATTTGGAAAACTGATGGGGTCACTGGGAAACTCAGTGTCTCAGTCACGATACTTGTGTTGAATTACGGATACGTCACAAGTCTGGTTGCAAGTAGGTCGTAAGTCAGTTCACAAGTAACTGGGGATAAACAATGACTAAGAAATGCCTTTATCACATTTGAGTCGACTTTGGGCTGGCTGATTTGTGATCGACATGGACTTTTGATGACTTGATTTTACCACAAGTACATGTACTTCGACTACAACACCGTTGAAACTGTATTTTATTGTAGTTCAATTAAAACAGTCAAATCCTTTTTTTTCAGGGTACTGATGTTCATGGAGTCTCAGTCTCCGAACAAGCTGGTTTATGAACAGCTCCAAACAGACGGCGAAACGGAGGACGATGAGGTGGTAGGTTAATGTCAGTGACAAGAAAGAAACGAGCAAACTTGAGCCAGGTCTGCCTAGCATCTCATGCCTGTATGCTCAAGGGCAGGGATGTAGCCGAGTCCATCACAAGTCCCTGCAAGTCCATCACAAGTCCTCCAGTCCCACTTTGACTCACAAGCTATTCAAATGAGCTTTGACAAAGGCATTCCTTTGTTATTGTTCATCCACGGTTACTTGTGACTGGACTTGTGATTAACTTCCGATGGACTTGTGACGGTCTCCCCTAGATCCCTGCTCAAGGAGCCACCTATTGTCCAGAATAACTTTCATGGTGTGGTGGTTGTTTGTTAGTAGGTGCAATGTTTTGCCAGTACTGAAATGGCAAAAGCTTGGAGAAGAGGAATTGTATTTTACCATATTGCAATGAAGTAGATGAATTTTTTATAGTTGTGAATACATGTACATGCACATGTAGGTGATAATATGGGATAAATAATAATAATATTAATATTTTAATAAATTATAACTGTGCCCGCCGATACATTTTATCAGTACTACACAGCAACCATTTTACTTGAATTTTAAATGTAGATAATATCTTGATTGAAAATGGGTTTATCAAATTATTCTCTCTTTCAGTGAATTATCACAAAATATTAACAAACAGGTAAGAAATGTAAGATTCTGCTATGAAACTACTTGATGTTCGAAACTGGTTCAAGTATAATGGGAAATACAATATTTCACATAAATGTAATTTAAATTTTAAGGTATTTCAGACTTGAGGGGGAGTGAAATATTTTTAGAAAAGGACTTGTCATGGACCTCAGCCAGAAGAACATTCTTCACAGCCTGTGATTCTGATAATTTTACTATACCAAACAATTGTTGGGCATTTTGTAAATATAGACATGTACAATTGTGAAGATACATGTGAGAATTAATTTTTGCACTTCACTGCCTTATATTCTTCTTTTTTTTCATTGATGTGACATGTATTTTTTAATTGATTTATTTTACCACTAACATTTTTAAAACTGCTTTTTGCAATCATACATTTTTTTTTTCAAACTCTGTGAAAATACACGTTCTTTCCAATTTTTTTTTTATAAATGTGTGATGTAAAGAAAGTACATTGTAAATAGTCTTTCATGTTCTTTTGAATGAAATACTGCAGCCAACTAGAGAAGTACATTTAGCAACAACAACTCATTTGATTGAGGTTGAACAGTGTATTTGCAAGGGAAAAAATATCAATGCATGTACATGTATACATATGTGTATATGTAAATATTGGTTCACGGGTAATGATTTTTTTTCTAATATAGTGGGTATATTTTTGGTAACAAACTAAATTTTCTTTAATTTGGTCATTTGGTCAGCTGATAAAAGCTTTATGCGCAAAACACTATTTTGCACAGTATATTCTGAAATGCATGCATATTTGTTAAATACTGTAATGTTAAGTATTTGTTAAATACTATATTGATTTTAAACATGACGTTTTCAGGTGTTAATGGAAAATGGGTCGACTAACTTGACTTAGGTTACCCACTTTTTTTTATTTTATAGAAAGCACAGTAGCGATGTAGATACCAATCACATTTTATGCTTGACAGCCGTGACAGAGTACACAATTTAATGCATTTAGTTTCTAGGTGGGCGGAGTCATACTGTTTACTTTGACCTCAATTTGCATGTTGACCCAAAGTGCCAGTAATAGTTAATGCCAGTGACAAGAAAGAAACAAAGCAAGCTTGAGCCAGGTCTGCCTAGCATCTCATGCCTGTATGCTCAAGGGCAGGGATGTTGCCGAGTCCATCACAAGTCCCTGCAAGTCCATCACAAGTCCATCACAAGTCCATCGCAAGTCCCTGCAAGTCCGTCACAAGTCCTCCAGTCCCAATTCAACTCACCAGCTATTCAAATGAGCTTGGACAGAGGCCTTTGTTATTGTTCATCCACTGTTACTTGTGACTGGACTTGTGATTAACTTCCGATGGACTTGTGACGGTCTCCCCCAGATCCCTGCTCAAGGAGCCACCTATTGTCCAGAATAACTTTCATGGTGTGGTGGTTGTTTGTTAGTAGGTGCAATGTTTTGCCAGTACTGAAATGGCAAAAGCTCTGAGAAGAGGAATTGTATTTTACCATATTGCAATGAAGTAGATGAATTTTTTATAGTTGTGAATACATGTACATGCACATGTAGGTGCTAATATGGGATAAATAATAATAATATAAATATTTTAACAAATAATAACTGTGCCCGCCGATACATTTTATCAGTACTACACAGCAACCATTTTACTTGGATTTTAAATTTAGATAATATCTTGATTGAAAATGGGTTTATCAAATTATTCTCTCTTTCAGCGAATTATCACAAAATATTAATAAACAGGTAAGAAATGTAAGATTCTGCTAGGAAACTACTTGATGTTCGAAACTGGTTCAAGTATAATGGGAAATACAATATTTCACATAAATGTAATTTAAATTTTAAGGTATTTCAGACTTGAGGGGGAGTGAAATATTTTTAGAAAAGGACTTGTCATGGACCTCAGCCAGAAGAACATTCTACACAGCCTGTGATTCTGATAATTTTACTACACCAAACAATTGTTGGGCATTTTGTAAATATAGACATGGACAATTGTGAAGATACATGTAAGAATTAATTTTTGCACTTCACTGCCATATATTCTTCTTTTTTTTAATTGATGTGACATGTATTTTTTAATTGATTTATTTTACCACTAACATTTTTAAAACTGCTTTTTGCAATCATACATTTTTTTTTCAAACTCTGTGAAAATACACGTTCTTTCCAATTTTTTTTTTATAAATATGTGATGTAAAGAAAGTACATTGTAAATAGTCTTTCATGTTCTTTTGAATGAAATACTGCAGCCAACTAGAGAGTACATTTAGCAACAACAACTCATTTGATTGAGGTTGAACAGTGTATTTGCAAGGGAAAAAATATTAATGCATGTACATGTATACACACGTATTTGTAAATAGTGCAGGTTCACGGGTATTTATTTTTTTTCTAATATAGTGGGTATATTTTTGGTAACAAACTAAATTTTCTTTAATTTGGTCATTTGGTCAGCTGATATAAGCTTTATGCGCAAAAACACTATCTTGCACAGTATATTCTGAAATGCATGCATATTTGTTAAATACTGTAATGTTAAGTATTTGTTAAATACTATATTGATTTTAAACATGAAGTTTTTCAGGTGTTAATGGAAAATGGGTCGACTAACTTGACTGAGGTTACACACTTTTTTTTTATAGAAAGCACAGTAGCAATGTAGATACAAATCACATTTTTACGCTTGACAGCCGTTACCGAGTACACAATTTAATGCATTTAGTTTCTAGGTGGGCGGAGTCATACTGTTTACTTTGACCTGAATTTGCATGTTGACCCAAAGTGGGCGTGGTAAACCTTGAAGAAGTTTTCCATTTGGGACAACAATGGGACCAAAAAATTGGACTGGTATGTGTGTAGGTACATACACTCTACATAAAAAAACTAGAATAAAGCGCCTCATCAGACAAAAAAATACAAAAAAATGCTGCACAAAATTCCCATATATACATATATAGGGTGATGATAGCCTTTAATTACAGTAAAAAAGATTTTCTTTAATTTAGTCAACTTATATAGGCTTTATGCACAAAAACACGGTTTTGCGCAGTATATTCTGAAATGCATGCATATTTGTTAAATACTGTAATGTTAAGTATTTGTTAAATACTATATTGATTTTAAACATGAAGTTTTCAAGTGTTACAAGTTAATGGAAAATGGGTTGACTAACCTGACTGAGGTTACACACTTTTGTTTTTAAAGAATGCACATATAGCAATGTACATGTAGATACCAACCACATTTTACACTATGCTTGACAGCCGTGACCGAATACACAATTGAATGAATTTTAGTTTCTAGGTGGGCGGAGTTACACTGTTTACTTTGACCTGAAGTTGCATGTTGACCCAAAGTGGGCATGGTAAACCTTGAAGCAGTTTTGACACAGTTTTCACCGGCAACGTCATGTTTTGCGAAATAGCGATACATTTTGGAGTGTTTTCAAAGAGAAAATGTAATATTTAACTATTGAAAGTGTGAAAAAAAAAATTGCCTAAAAAAAAGGCCTAAATAAATCATTTATTCACGTGCATGAGACCTGCATACCTCTCCATTAACCGTTGCATTTGTGCACTGGCTCCTTAGACCTTTTGCAAAAAAAGTGACACACAGACGGACAGCATAGGATCTTTTAATATAGGATTTTAATGATACCATCAATACATGTATGTGAATATTTCACTACTATTTCATATTTTAAATCTGAAATGATTAATTTTCTTAAATACATTCCATTCATTGAGACATTTTTAAGTTCAAATAAACATAATAAATCAAAAGAATAAATAGTAGTTAATAAAATTGTATTTTAAGAGAGTAAAAATTACCGGCTCTTCTCAGAACCTTCACAAACTCACAAAAGAGATTAATTCTGCCTGGTGTTTCTGTAAACTTACATCTCTCTTTTGTGCAAAAAAAGGTGAAAAGTTTAGAAGTATATTGTCAAAAGACATCCCATCATGTTAAGATCCGGGTTATACACGCATGCTAAGTAATAAACATTTTGTTTCTTGTGACGCAACAGAACATGTGTCAGATGTCTTTAATATACACTAATCTTTAAAAGACATATGAAATGCAAGTATTTTCCAAAAGAGAGCTGTTGACTTATACATGTACATGAAGTAATAACACAACTAAGGCACTTAACAAGAATCACTCCAATAAAAATATAATAAGTTAAAGACTCAATACATGTCCTCTCCCTCCCCCACCAAAAGTGAAAGAAAAAATGATTGCCACAGATGTTTTATCAACTTCTGACTAGTGAGATCCCATTATTTAACCCCTTTGTCCCTGTCTCTGCAACAACTATGTTTTGTTTTCCCATGCAGCCTGGCTTTCATTTTGAACATTCCCCACAAATGACATTCAAAACCTTTCTTTTTTATTATCTGAGAAATTGCCAAGTAATTTGTAAAGTTGGTTACGGGCAACTGATACCATCGTCTGGAACCGGTTTCCGACATCGCAGTTTCAAGAAGAATCTCTTCTAGTACATCAAATGTTAATTGCTGATCACATTTATATATTTATACAAAAAAATATTGCACGAATACTAAGTTCTAGAGATCTATGCCTATATTACAAGCTTCTAACGCTGAATAAGTTTTAAAAACTAGAATTGACAAAATATTTGGAATCTGTAAAAACGAAATCCCCAGAGACAGAAAGGGGGACAGAGCATGTATAATTATAAGAAATACATTACCACCACACGACATCGGGCTAAACGAAGTAAAAAATAACATGCTTAACTTAAAATGACATTTTCAGAAACAAAGCACTTCAATTTCCAATTGAGATGACTTTTCCATTTGATTCTATACCTTCTAGTCTAGTTTCAAGACTCGGTCTTGTTTTCTTTCATGTCTTGCGTCCGGGTATATCGTCCGGAACGTCAAGTTGATACGCTTCTGTTTGTCATGGTACTCCTTGGGTACTTGATGCTGCAACAGGATCACAGAAGGAAAACAATATCATCATAGTGCAACGGAAGTGATTCATGGGCAAAATATAAGCCCTCTAATATCTCCAGGCACATTTTTGGAAACACAATGAACCATTTGAAAACACAATGAAACATTTGATACATTTACTTTAAGTGTAACAAGATTAAGTATAACAACCCCCCCTCCCCCCTTGGGGGTGGACATGGGCATCACCAAGAGTTTTAGCTGCCGTATAGCAACTCAACAAATCGTCAGTCTCTCGTTAGTCCGTCAGTTAGTAACAAACATTGACATTGTCTACTGCTCCTACATATTTTGACCGATTTCAACCAAACTTAGTGAAAATTATCGGTAGCCCACATGACAAAACCAGGGTAAAAGGTCATCGTGGGGTCAGTAAGGTCAAAACCTGTATTTGTTTTAATCAAAATACTACTCCTTCCAGAAGTTTCATGGCACAATCATGCATGAACACATTTGTTGGCCCGTAGCTTCCGAGATATTTTCAATGGAGCTCCTTCTTAGAATTGGGCAAAACCTTCACCTGAGGTCGTGGAAGGGCGGTGGGGGTGACAAGGGGTGGGGTGGGGAGGCAAGGGGTGGGAGGAGCCTAGGTACAGGTGGGGCTGGGGAGGAATTCCACTATTGCCCTTTTTACCTGCCAATCATCCTGTGTGTGATCAGTCATCAGCAACAGAGCACCGTGAGTCAAGGGTACCGTCAGCTTCTCACTGGTGGTGTAGTCAAACTCGTATGGGTTGATCCCCTGCACAGCGAAATAAAATGGACACAGAAGATGTTGCTGCTGTTACAATGGGAAGATGATATGCATATCTGCCTTCAGGGCACTAGCCTGTGGTATCAGCCATGGAGGAAAACTGGAAATAATCCCACAAATGGAGTGCCAAGGCTGGAGCATTGCATTTGTGGTCTGCGGGTAATTCTGCAGGTTGTGGGTTGGAGTCCAGCCCGGGGTTATAGTGCGTGTGCCCTTGAGCAAGGCGCTTTGTCTCTCATTGCTTCTCTCCACCCAGGAGTAGATGGGTACCTATGAGGGCAGTGTTGGTGACTGTGAGAGGTTGATTACGGCCAAGAGTGCCGAAATGGCTGCCTATACCAGCCGTGCATGCTCAGGAGTGTTTGCCCGTTGAAACAGGGAAAATAATAATTGTTGAGTGCTTTGATACCCTGTTGCACCGTAAAAGCGCTATACATTGTATAAATGCCTGCTATTATTATTATTATTAAATGAGTTTAATGGTCTGTGTTCAAGCCAGTCTTGACTAGCTTCAAGGTCGCCTACAGGGGCAACCAAACATGCATGTCCCTCAAGACATTATAAATAATACTACGTAAAATAAATATGGGGTGGGGGTAATCGTTCTAACTCAAAACAGAAACTGAATTGTGAATGAAGCAGTTATTGTGGTCGAGCCGAAGGCATGTAGAGGCGCCTTAGGCAGCCTCCATACAACCCATGCCCGACCACGGATCACAGCCAAAGATCAAAAGTGTTGATTTCTACGGAGGGAGGGAAACCGGAGAACCCAGAGCAAAATCCTCGAGGCAAAGGAGAGAATCAACAAACACTGCGCACACATGTCCCAAGCTGGAGCTGGGCCACGGACGAGCACATTACACATGCCACCCTAAAGTTCAAGTTTGTACAATCTGACCAACACATGCTACAAATACTGGTTTGCCAAAGACCAAAGCTTCAAATGTTGGTTTAATAAATTATAGCAAGTTATAAATAGAATTGACTTGTAATCTAGAATAAAACAAAAGAGACATCTGGCAGCCCCAGATAATATAGTTTCTATCAAAAGTCACTCACCTTGGGTGGTTTCTTGCGCATCTCAAACATCCTAGTTTCTCCGAGTGACAAGGATGCAATCTTGGGTTGCTCTCGCAGGCCATATTCATCATCGCTATGCCATGCCACTCCGTCTTTGCCGGTGCGGTACAGGTTAGCCAGCACCGAGTTGAAGGTCAGGTCATTTTTCTTTTCAATTTTTTCCTTTAATCGCAAGAGTGCAGGAGGCCACTGTATGGATTGAACAGAAACATTACCAAACGTATGAAGCAGTGATCCTGAATGTTAAATGGGGGCCTTTTCAATTATTATCAGAATTGTCTGAACAGGGCAAGATTCAAACCCCCTCCCCCCCAAAAAAAATTTCTCCCCAGGATATGCCATCAACTGATTTTATTATGAGTTTGGACCAGGGGCAATAATTTATCTCAGTTGGCACAAAGAGCCTTAGTCTGTAAACGAACAACCACAGGCATCGTGAAGGGTGCCACCTATTGACCGCTACTGTCAAAGTTCTTCGACTTTGAACAGTGCCCTTCAATGGTGTCCAGTTCCCCCCCCCCCCCCCCCCAAAAAAAAACAGGCTACCTTCCGGCACGAAGGGCCAGTCTACAAATTTGCTTTCACACCTCCCAATCAAAGCGGCCTTGCTATGCCCCCCTGGTTGAGACAATTTCTTGCAAAATCCTACCTCTTCATTAGCTTCCATCCTGACTTTAGAGTAAGCATAAGGGTGCTCCCCAAACCAGCGGACAAGGCGCGGCTCTAGATAGTCCTTCCCTAAAACAAAACAAGCATGGATTCAGTATTTATTTCGTTCAACCACAAGGACAAAGGCCACAAATCACAGATATATACATAATTGGCGAATAGGAAAATCCTTCGATATTTCACCTGAACTGAGACAAATCATAAGAAAGGGGGAAGGGGGAGGGGGCAGGATCCTGGCAAAGACTTCCACCTTAACGGCGTATTAACAAACTTGAGAAATATTTCACCGTACTAGCCCTTTGAAGACAGCAGTTGAATGTCTTGCTATCAAGGTGGATAACTTCCTCCTAAAAACTGGAATTTCATCCTTTGTAAGAATTACTCATGAGGCCTACATGTACAGTTAAACTACCTGCTCTGTTTTTGTTGACTTGTTGTTTGAACTTGATTTCCTGTTCTAGTTGGCACAGAGCCTCATCTGCTTCCTCCTGACTTAAGAAATTCTTAAACAGGACAATCCTGGAATCGAAAATACAAATTAACAAGAAAAGGGTTTTTAACACTTTATATTTCTTGCAATTTTTCAAAATTCATGTTTAACCTGAAGAAAGGCAAAAGAACAAAAGCATGGTCTTCTTTATTTGAATAAAAATCTATTTTATTTCAAAAAGAACAGGAAAGTTTTCAAGCCTCATAACTCAAAACATACTGGCTTATTTACCTAACTGAGCTTTCATGTCCTAATTGGTTGACTCTGAATTTGTCTCGCAAAGAGATTTAGACTTATCGAATTTTTATATCAGTATAAAAACAAATGCAAAACTTTCTGAAAATGTAGGCTTTGGGTGTCTCGTTTGTTGGCCCTTGTAGGCATCTGTGATTATATTCATTAATAGATTAGTTAATTCTGACCCGCAATCTATTGATCTCAGTCATCTTAAGTCAATCACAAGTCATCAAATGGACTAGAACAAATTTATGCATTCCTTTGTGAGCCGTTTTACTTGTAACTTGACTTGTTGTGGACTTGTCATCGACTCATTAATAGTTTAGTTTTACAACTTACCGTGACTTGCCCGATGGTTCTTCACTGATTATATACTCCCCATCTTCCCTGTAAAATGATTAGGAAACAAATTATCCCAAACAAACTGAACATCTAAAAAGCACCCACACATGCAAATAAAGTGCAGTTTTTGTCAGGAAACCCCTGTACAGAAACCCCTTAAAAAAAATGCCGTCAATGGACCCTTCTACATGTACCTGTCGATCAGTGTGTATTGACCAATCAGATCACGAATGTTGGTCAGGTGACCACAGTGGCCTAGTTACACTTGATCACAAGCACTGGGATATGTACACAAACCAACGGTGGGTGAGGTTTATGGCCAATTCCAAAAAGATAGGAACATATACATGGATAAAAATAACAATTCTTACTCTATCATTTTAGGTTTTGTTTCTTCTGGGACGCTGACTTGTTCTTCAGGTGCAGGTGGGATGTATTTGTAACCTTGATGCATCAGATCATGTGGCTGGCCGAAGTAGCCCTGATGAGGGGTGACAGTGTGCTCCGGATATGGCATATCTTGGGACTGTTCCTGCTTAGGCGGACCACCAGCACTTTTGAATTCTGGGGCATAAGGGTTCAAGCCAGGGGGATATTCCTGTGCTTGAGGGTTGGGATCGCTTGGGGGCTCTTGGGTGGGGTCAGGGCCTAAGTTGCATTGCAGTGTAGGATGGTAGCCCCTCCCTCTAAAATTGGGCTGGCCCCGCCCTCTAGCCTGCACTCGCCCTCTTGGCTGATGAGCATCTGCTGCCCAGCCTCCTTGGATCCGTGACTTCTGACGATTTCCGCCGCCTCTGCTTTGCTATGAAGATCAAATAACAAACAAACAGTTAATGGTTCTTGAAATGAACGGCATACTGTAAGAAAGACAATTAAGTTATTTCAAGTTCAAGGAGGTATCCATGCTCACGTGCATTCCTGTCAGGTGAAGATGCTAGTACAGGTTTGTAAACATTCAGTTGAATAGTTTTTGCAAGTGAGCAAAATTGCGAGTTCAGCTACTTTTCTCCGTTGTGACCCCTCTCATCCAAAACTAAAAAAAGAAAATATCTGGGACGTACAGCATACTTTGATGTAATTAAATGTGTTTCCGAGGGTTTCCACACTGATGCAAGGACACGAAGGCAGAAACTTACCGTTCTACCATTTTGAGATGATGGGTAAGGTGCTCTACGAGCCTCCTGTGGATGAGCTGCCATGACTTCTTCAGCAGCAGCTGCTCTTAAATTAAGTCTTCAATCTTGCATGGAGAAAAAAATCAGGGTTATTGCACTTATTTTGAAAAGGTTAAACTAAAATTATGTTTACACCAGTACAGTTTAGCTTGATTGTTAAAATGTATCAAATTGATAATAATAATACAAATGCATATGTTTTTGATTTGGGATTTCGCTGCTTATATTATTTCATACATTATTGTAATCAACTACCCTACCAACTAAATACTCTGGGCTGAGTCTGAGTAGCCATGGAGCTACGTCATGTACTATATAGCTCCATGGTATTACAACAGAATATGTAATGTAGGCCTAGCATTGCCTAGCCTGCTAAGTGGATAGAGCTGTGATTAGACAACTGTCATAAGCAGTACAGGGTGAGTAAAAAACAACGAAACCCAAATGTCGCGACTATTCTTTTAGCATTGTTTAGTGAAGTTCTGCATGTGGCACTTTCAGAATCTAGGAAGTAGGATATCAACGCCCAATTTATAAGGCTTTCTCTTTAACTAGTCATGTACTTTCTAAGTTATGGAATTTTAAACACAACAACCGTTTTACCCTAGAACTATTGAGGGGGTAGCTCATTCAGTGATTTTATGAATTTCAATTAGGCAACATATTGAACATGCCGAGAACATTGTTTTCCTCCCTGCACACATGCCCTGATGCCATTTGAACATGTTGAATGTACATGTAAACATACACAAGTTGTGGTACACTAGCCCAGGTGGACTCCCTTTCCTCCCTACGAGCTACGTAAGTAACGCCGTTACTTACGTAGGGAATGCAACCTGGGCTAACCTGTACACGTACATGACGTAGCCTGCCTACAAAAATGAAATTGAAGATCATCTTTTGAGTTTACTTACTTCTCTTTCAATGCTCCTTTTGTGCAAAATCGATGCTAAGCTGATCACTGCAGCTTGGTGGACTGTAAAATGCTATTGCTAAAAATAAATGTATCGCGATTGCTCATCATCACGTTGTAATTTTCCGGGAATTCCCCGATTCAAAAGTACACGACACGTCGCAATACGCTTTTGAGCGAAAGAATTCCCAAAAGAATTAGAACAACGTACGTGTACGAAACTACAGCGCCCTCTTTTGACAGTGTGAGAAATAAGTGAATGATAATTATCGATTCTTCCTCCATATTTTGACAGAAGATACACAGAAAAAAACGAGTAAGTAAAAACATGGAGATATAAAAAAAAACCTCCATCATGTCCATGGGCAAATCACAGCAAAGTTTACATGATACTAACGCTGCTGGTCAAGGCCACGTCCGGGCCTGATGAGTGGGTCATGTGGGTGCGCCATTCCACTTTCCAGTGGCTTGTGAATTGTGTCAACAGTGGTCAAGGCTGTAGCCAATGACGCGGTAGTGTCTAACCATTTAATATTCCATGATGATGTACACTTTTCCCTCATGCATGCAATTGGCCGTTACGGTCAGTTAATTCTTAATTGTGAGGCAGGCATCCATGGCCGGCAGGGCCGGGGAAGCAGGGGCACGGGGCCGGCATGGCCGGGGGGGGAGGGGGACACGCCCCTCATAAAAAAAATTGTCGCCCACTTCGAAAAGGAAATTTGTTAGTCCTAACTGTTATCAAACTTGTGACCATGGTAAACGAGTTTTTAACAGAAATTGGGGGCCATGCACCCCCTTGCGTAGTTGATATAGGCCTAGTAAACATGGTATATAAAGTGACCCCCCCCCCCAACAATGAGAATCCAAACCCTGGCATACATGCAGCTAGAGTGAGGGTATGTTGGGGGGGGGGGGGGGGTGGGGGGCGGCTGTAGTGGCAATGCCAAGCTGATACTGATATGTGATAGCCGTGCCAAACTTGGAAAACAAAATTGTGACTAAATTCCACTTTTGAGTGTCACTTTCAATCTTGATAACTTTTTGTCTATTTTTTTCTTAAAGCCAAAGAAACTAGGTGGCCCTCATGAAATGCATTCTGCAAGTTTTTACATGTACTCGGTAAATTTGTCAGCTGCACCGAGTTTTGAACATGAAATTTGGCCCCTGATCATCCGATCACATCTGCTTAATTTAAGAATTTACAAGCAAATTTTTACTCCTGTTTTTCTTTGTTTGTTTAACAGTGTCAAACTACAGGCTGCTGTACTTCAACATCAAAGGTTTGTTATAAATACAGTGACTTCAAACATTTCCCTGCTGTTCATTAAAAAAAGGAAAGATTTTATTTTACTACAGTCAACATCTAGATTTGAATCGCGCATACAAAAAAACCCTGATTCATAATTCAATTTAGAGGGTATCACTTCCGCTTTTCCGCCATATGGCATAGCGTTGACAACATTTGTGAGGTGAACACGCTATCGCAGTCTAAAGCTACATTTTGTACTTTTCCAAGCATTGGCTTAACCTCGCATTTGACCTGAGATCACATAAAATTGTGTCCGCCTATATATACACATTTGCGTCTGCCTATATACACAGGGCAGTTCAGTATAAATACCTCTGCCAATGAATGGGCTAAACCTCGCCCATAGTGTAGACCAGATGAAAGAACTTGCATTAAATGGCCACTTTGAATAGAATTGTGTGCACTCTGGAACCAGCTCTACTAGACTTAACTGACTGGAGTTGTGCCCCCGATTACTGGGGGAAATTAGTTCAATTTGATGACAAAAAATTTGCTAAAACTTGCAAATAGTGTTTCTTTGTTTCGGTTAAATTCCTTTCAGGCAAGGGTCAGCTGATCCGGCTGTTTCTGCATGACCATGGGATTGAATTCACTGATGATACCGTTCCCGATGACGGCTGGGCCGCGATCAAACCAACCTTGGTGAGAAGGGTTCTATGTCACACTGGAGCACACTTGAATATTGTATCTGTTTGCTTTAGTTTCAGCTGCCAGTGTTGAGCAGGGACATATCTTGTTCATTTTTTACTGTGTTTTATTGACCAAGTGAACAGATTAAGAATGCGAACATTTGAACAAAGAAATTGACTTGAGCTGGGCTTGACCCTGCGACCCTAGGAACCGTTGCAGTGGTCTTACCAACTTGCTAAGAGCACAGAATGGTTCCGTAGGTCGCAGGTTGAAGCCCAGCTCCAGTCAATTTCTTTGTTCGACTTTTCAATTGTTATAATTCACCTAGTCAGTTTCCCTTTTGTGGTTCATTTGAAAATTGATCATGTGATTCTTGAGGAGAAAAACCTGATTTCATACTTTTTATCCAAGTATTATTTTGAGGTTTTTTTTTTTTTTTTTTTTAGCCATTTGGCCAGGTGCCTGCATTCTGGGATGGTGATTTCTCAATGGTTCAAACAGCTGCCATTATGCGCTTCCTGAGTCGCAAACATGGTAGGTGTTGGTGCAGACCCATCCAGATGTAAGGCAATATTGCTGTCATTGGCAAGGGATCCTACAATGTGCTGGGGAATTGTACAAAGAAAGAAAGAAACAAACCAACAACCCAAACAAACAAACAAACAAACAAACAACCCAACAAATGATATTAATTTGGAATATTTTAGCCTATAGTCTGTTATCCCGTGCGCAGATTGTCAATAATTACAAATGTATGTTATTAAGGGTTCAGAGTATTGTACTTTAACCCTATCTCACATCATTGGATCGTCCTTCGCACTCCAGATTGCTCAATGAATCAGTTCAGCATATCACAACTGCTAACTCTGACTCAAACAAACCCTGATAGCCTTGAAGACCTAGGTTGCTACATACAGTATCAACAAAGCTTAATAGATATTGGCCCATATTTGATTTTTTTTTTCATTAAGTATGCTTAGATTAATTTGTTACACAGGGAGGTTTTTCCCCTTAATCCAGGATATGCCTGTGTCCCTCAACATTATCGTTTACCAAGTTATACTTTGTACATTGAGATAATATATTCACAAAACTACTTTGAGTGTTTGTACAAGACATCTTCAGTATTGCATATAACCTTGCTATATTTCTGTTTTCTGGATTTGACGTGATTTTTTTGTCTTTCTTTGTTATTCAAGGAGCCTATGGAACCAATGACACAGAAAAAGCTCAGATTGATATGGCCTATGATGGTGTAGAAGACTTCTATGTTCGCTACATCCGTTTCATCTACGATGATTTTGTAAGTTATTGGCAAAAAATACATAGTTGTAATCGATTAGCAAATCACAAATCAACAGGGCACAAGTAACATGGGATGAACATCCGAAAGGATTGCCTTTGCCGTCACGGTTCATTTGAATAGCTTGTGACTTGACTTGGCTCTGGATGACTTGTCATGGACTTATACTTGTGATGTTAAACTTTTATCATTTTGTTATCTTATTTGCAGGCAGCTGGAAAAGACAAATACTTGGCAGAGACAGTTCCCGAGTCGGTTCTCCCAACCTTACAGGTAACTTATATGAACTAATCTGTATCCACGCTCAGGTACACACAGTCCTGTTTTACTATACTCTCGAGGACAATGCTTTGTCTTTTCCTTTGTCCCTGTGATATAACACTCTCCCATAGACTAAGCACACAAACGCACGACCGAGGACCGATTTCAACAAAAGATGAACTCTCGAGGACAACAAAGAATCTGTTGTTCTCCCTCTGTCTGTCTGTCCTCGGGGTGTATATAGTTCACGTACACATGTACACAATCTGCATGACACTGTGGGCTGTGTAATTCAGTTGAATCTGTCGAGTTCACTCTGTGTATTTTGGCACAAGAAACAAGTGTGCACACGTGTAATATGTCAGCAACACACCACCATCTTCAGTCAGTGCACCCAGATTGAGTCCAATTCACTCAAAAGTTTGACTTTTTTTGGTCTGACCAAAGACCTAAAACAGAGAACAAAATGTTTCCAATGTTATACTTGAGTTTGAAGAAATTTGCAACCAAGGGGTTAATAAGTAGTCAAGAAAGCCGATTTTGTTTGTTTGTTTATGAATTGTCTTCTTTTGTTTTGGTAGAAATTGCTTATGAGGAACAAGAATGGTGAAGGTTTTCTTGTTGGAGACAAGGTATGTGCTGCACAGTATTTAAACAATCTCTCTGCTTTGAGTTTTGATAAAATATAATCGCCAACTGCTGATGAAACACAATTACAAGCCAAATCCCAAGTCAGGTAGCAAAATGACGTGATGCAAAAGAATGTCATCATCATAGTTCATTTCAGTGGCTTTTGCTTGAGACATGACTTGTGATGTCAGTTGTCTTGTCAATCACAAACCATTGACAGGTTAAAATCACAAGTCATCACAAGTTAAAACACATGTCATCACAAGTTCAAATCACAAGTAATCACAAGTTCAAATCACACAGAGTCCCAAGTTCAAATCACACATCATCACAAGTCACGTCATAAGTGTCAGGGGATGAACAATGACAAAAGAGTGTCTTTGTTATGGGTCATTTGAATAGCTTGTGTTATAATGTGAGATGAATCGGGATTCACTTGTGACGACACAACTACAAGTTTATGTGGAGGGCTGTGTCTGGCGCATTGAACTCATGGTCTGTGGGGAAACCTGCAGGTTGTAGGTTCGAATCCAGCCTGGGATTATGGTACATGTGTCCTTGGGCAAAGCACTTTTCACTCATTGCTTCTCCCCTACGTGTGAGCCTTGTGAGGGCAGAGATGGTTATTGTGATTTGATTTGAGCTGCTTTGCGCCTAAATGACAGCATCGAGCTGTATACTCCCCAGGGAGCTGAGATTGTCTTTGGAATGTTTCATTAGCCCAATAAGCAGGGTAATAATGATGTAGCGCCTTGAGTACCAATACTGTTGGATATGAGCGTATTATAAAAACATATTGTTTTTATTTGATTTGTTTTCTCTGCAGATTTCCTTCGCCGATTACCACCTGTTCCAGTTCCTGGATGCTCTGATGGACCTGTCTGCATTAGCTTGTCTTGAGGCTTTCCCAGTCTTGAAGGCCTACTACGAGCGCATCAAGGCTCGACCCAACATCAGCAAGTTCCTCGCTAGTGACCTGAACCAGAAGCGCACATTCAATGGGGCAGGACATTAAATGTGCTGTCAACGGGTGTCATGTGAAACTTGGACCCTTGTAAAATATGGTCTCTTTTACCTTATATGGCATTTAGCACGCACACAAGACTTGTTACTGTCCTAATTATGTTCACTAAGGCTGCGTAAACAATGGGTCCCTATTTTATAGAGTTCAAGTTTTACACTATACACCAGGTTTCAGGTGATTCAATGATTTTTTTCTAAAGGAAATCGACAAATCGTTTAATAGGCCACAATTAAAAATCAATCATGATTCCTTTTATGACAGTCATCTACACACTGTCTTATGATTTTTAAATGCTTTTAGAATGCTTATGTAGTGAGCAGTAATACTCAGTGTTTAATAATACCAGCGATTTCATAAAACCCAAAGACAAGTATTTTTAAGTAATATTTTACTGTTTCGAAATTATGTCAGTGGAAAGCAAAATGAACTGATCATTGCTGAAGTCTGTTATAGACTTCAGCAAACTGAAATGAATTATGAAATGAGTTATCATTTTATGAGGTTAAAATGTTGCTGCAATGCTAAAACAGATTATTATTAAACAAAAGATAATAATCATTACAAATGTGAATCAGCGCATAAAATGTAGCACATTAATAGCAATCAGAATTAATAAATAGCTAGGAGGATTATATCGTCAATCACTGTATAAATATTGTGACCTATTTCTGGCTTTTTTTCTGCTGCTGGCCGCGTAGCGGTGTTAACATAAAAATGAATATTGTTTTTCTAACAGAATCATGTTTGTCTAATATAGACTCTTAACCTCATTGAAATTTTTTTGCAATACTCTCAAAACAGCCAATAGTTTTACATTGAAGTTAAAAGCTGTCTATTTTGTTTTATACGCACATTTTTCTTTAAGCAAAAGCTGAAATTGTTTTCCGCAAATCACTGGTTAATTTGTTTATTTTTACTGTAATTCTTTAATGCATGTTTATTGCAACTGTTCTATCTTTGTGTTCACAGTGCATCAAAAATAGTTCCAAAATGAAATCATCTTCATGAACTTTGTGGCATTAAAGTGACGAAAACAAGTCAAAATTCAATAGGAAAGTACTATAGCCAACTAACATATTTACATATAAGTCTTAATTTCATCGGCTCTGCGTTTTGTCGCTTTTAAAATGCTTATGTAGTGAGCAGCATTACTAATGGTTTATAGTACAAGTGGTATTCATGAAAACCTAAGACAATAATTAATTAATATCCTACTATAAAAAGTCTATTTCGAAAGAATGTCACTAGAAAGTCTGTTTATAGAGATAAGAGCAAAAATATTCAAAGAATTTAAATATATTAAAACAAAAATGAAACGAATTATCATTCCGTGAGTTTAAAAATACTGCCGTAACACTTAAGCAGAACATTATATTACAAAATGTGAATCGGCCAATTATTATTTACAGCAAAGTGTAACATTAACAGGAATAACAGCAGTCACAAGTATTACGACAATGATTTGTGTAAGCATTTTCGTCAGTCACTATGGCGGCCTTCTAGCCGTTTCTGCTCTTGCAAACTCAGTATTTTACAGCATTATGTTTATGTTTATACTCCAACCTTCTTTGAAAAATATCGAAATATGCTTCAAAAGCATAAGGCGTTCGATTTGTTTTACATGCATGTTATCTTTAGGCCAAAGCTAATAAATAAATGTCATGTGATTCAACTTGCTGATTTTTCTCAACAGATTGATGATTTTCACCAGTCGCTGATTCATTTGTTCATTTTTAATGTAATTAATACATCTGTTTCATCATTTTTGTCCTTTAAACTCAAATAACTACATCATGTTGCATCAAAAATAGATGCAAATTATTATCTTCCAAATCGTTTTTCACATTAAAGTCACGAAAAACAACTCAAAATTTAATAGCCAACGCAAATTATCCATATTCGTCACTCTATCCCTATTAACGCTAATCGTCCTGATGAATTTTCCCCAAAATATCCGCTATGCGCTATCCTGCCGTGCCGTGCGCGTATTTTCGCGAAATGCAAGCCATCATCCATGAATGACGGTATTTACAAAATGCTTTGCTAGATTGAAGTAAAATTTCTGCAGATATAATACGTGCATTATAGTAGGTATATACGTGCTTTTTCAAAATTTCGATTTTCTTTTCCGACCGAAATTTAAAGGAATATAATGTCCTGTAACAAATAAAACTGCTTGTATGCATTTGCAGGCCTTTTTACAATTTTTAAAATGGTTGTTTATAATAGCGCGCTTCGGTGCAGAAAGTTTTCAGCGAAATTCTATAAATATTCATATCTAGTTACATTTCAGCTATATACATGTATATGTTATTTTTTTAATCACGTGTTTTGTATTCAAGGTCCCACCTGACCTCGTATTTACATTGGGGATTTTTTTTTTTTCATTTTGCTTTGGAAGTTGAGAAACTTGTTCTATATAATCGCCTTTTCAGATTTCACTCCTTTACACTGAATCCGCTTAAAATGATCCAAAGAAATAGGCTACACGATGTCGTTTTATGATATAAAACAGGGACGTTTAACTGAGTTATTAAGTTGTGCTTGACGGTAAAAAGGAAATCGCTAATTTAAAATTGCATTAAGAAATATTTCGATAGACATAGGGCCTACATAACCAATTGCTTATTCTTTTAAAAGTGCAACCATAATGGTGCAGTCCAACGTGAATCATACATTTTGGAAGTTGTTTTGTTTTCTGCTATATATAATTCTCACAGAAAATATTTTTATCTGTTTTGATCTCAATTTTGTAACCAGTTACTTTTCTCCGTAGATACACACACCTTTCTTGCCTACATGAAACTGTGGTGAATCTACATCATGCCTTGTTGCGCTGTTGAGCTGACATAACTTCTCTCCGTAACCACGATGAACGACATTGAACGACCGACATCCGGGATCTTGGGAGCACAGCCAGGCGCAGTGGTCGAGACTGCTGATTGGATACTCCGACAACACGTGGCCAATCAGACACGCGGAGAGGAGGCGCCAAGAACGCAACAGACGGCTGTTAACTGCCACTCGGCGCTTGCATACAGCGACGAGCCGGTAGTACGGGCAATAGTCGTCACCCCACTGTCCGGAATATCGTATCATATGAGCGCAATCTTGCCGCTGAAGGTCATCATCAGGTTGCCCCCCTTGCCAATTCCTATACCAACGATTCTCGTCGCAGAGCCATTTTCCTTCTTCCTCCAGATCGTTACAGGCGATCCATGCGTGTTGAGGGCCGATGAGACCGCTGACGAACGCGTTCTCCTCAGCTGAACGCGGTGCAGCCAGTTTACCGCCCAATTGTCGGCATCTGTCGGCCGAGTCATACCAATTGAGACTGTATGTAGTTATCGCAAAGCACGATTCGCCCCAGTTCTGCCAACCAGGGGGGCAAATGCCACCCGAAGTGTCACCACAGCTGAGGCAACTTGCTCTCCCCACGAACACTGCGAGTACTAGTCCCACGAGAAATGTACAGCCGGCCATCATTCAAGCAAAGTGTTACTGTAAAATCCTAGAATGGTTCTTTTTATGATGCCAGAAACAAGTCTTTGGAATTTGTTATACAGAATGTATAACCGATGCCACACAGTTAGACTTGTTTATTTGTTTATTTGTTTGTTTGTGTGAAGGTTTACAGCACTGCATATTTCCTCGCGGAGCTACTGATGGTATTTGGCATAATGATTTGATTTTTACATCTATCACGATATTATCCACGATCGAACAAAGGTCCATTATCTTTCACTGTGCCAAGTTCTGTATTCCAAATTTCCAACTGCGCATGTTTTACATCAAGAATTTGACGATGTGGTATCGTTCAAATACATTCAAGAAATGTGATGTGGCGGCAGTGGTACATGGTAACCGATTCTGCCAGGTATTGATACGCGCAAGCGCAGTTGGGATATCTTGTTGATAGAAAGGTAGCAATTTTGAAATCGGGACAATGATTTGTCATGCAACCTTCAGTTACAGTTTGTTCCGTTTATTGGCCTGGCAAGCGCCGCATTATGCCTGAGTAGGCCTCAATAATAGCCAGCATACAAGCTTGAAAAATAGTATGACTACATTGCAGCACAGGCCTAATTTGCTTTTTATTAAAATGTTTCGGTCATCGAAGATAATTGCCTGAAACAATTGAGGTTGATAGCTTTGATTATTACTATTAGTAGACAGTCTGGAGTGTAATTGGTACGGAAACGTTCGCATTATTACGTCTACAGTGTGAGTCAAAAAAAGCGTCGGGACTTCTGTTTTAGTGAAGTTCTGCATGTAGCACTTCCAAAATCTAGGATATAAAAGCCCAAATTCAGAAGCTTTCTTTTAGTACAAGAATCATTCAAATCACTTATGCACTTTTAAAGTTAGGGAGTTTTAAACACAACCACCGTTTTAAAGTTCTGTCCACAGATCACAAAAAAGTGGGTGTGCGTTCTTTCAGCAAAACAAAACAATTCACATACATCCCTATGTGATTTGTTTTCGTTTTGCCGAAGAGCACTTACCTTCAGTTGCCGTGGACAGAACTATAAAACGGTGGTTTGTGTTTAAAATTCCGTAACTTCAAAAGCACATAAGTGATTTGAATGATTTTTGTACTAACAGAAAGCTTATGAATTTGGCTTTCATATGCTAGATTTTGGAAGTGCTACATGCAGAACTTCACTAAAACAATGGTCCCGACATTTGGGTTTCGTGGTTTTTTTTACTCACCCTGTATACTGCAGGCGTCGCAAGACAATTGGGCGCTAGGCAGGCGTCGCCTCTTTTGAAGGAAGCAAACTGTAAGATGCTTTAAGCTCCTAAAAGTTTTGACCTTAAAGCTGCATTCCACATGCCCTTTTCGAGTTTCATCCCGAAAAAAAATGTATTCTTTTTCTTATTTGCATTTTTTTTAGCAATACAAAAGATTCACTTTTGAATGAGACATCGATCGAAAAAAAATCGGCCCACGTTTAGTCTTGATTAACAGACTACTGAAAACATGCGCCCATCGTTCTAGCTTTGAGATTGGTATGATGAGAGGTAAAGGAAATTAATTTTAAAAAAGTAGTTATTCAGCGAAATTTCAGTCAAGTTAATATATCCCAGTATGTCCTATCTGTGAAGAAGAGAAAAATCTAAAATTTATGGAAACAGTATACTTAGAGAATAAATATTTCCCCATTAATTAATACTTATGATGTTTACCGTCAATGTTTTTTGAAGATGTATGCCGTGTGTAATTTGATGGTTTTGCGACTATTGGTAAAAAAATGGATGCCACTTAATTTTGGTTGCGCGTACGGACCTTGCATTTGATTATTAATCAATCAGAACAAAAAGTAACAAACATTTCACACAAAATAAAATGTAGCGCAATGAATGTGACCTTCACGACAAGTCTTTTTTTAATTTTATGAAGTTCTATACAGTGCCTGTACATTTTGTGAAAAACAGATCGATGATCATTGTTAAGGTTTATTGAGGTGCATCATCAGAAATTTACTTCGAGGCAAGGTTGAGATGGCAAAGGGCTCATGCAATGTAATTGCTATCCTTGAAATTGCACATTTGTGTCGCATTGAACGTCGTCACGGTGTTCAATTTTCGTCTGCCATTTTGAAGGGTATTTTAGTGACGCAACTTATTAAGTCGCGGCCGCGAAATAAATAATTCGCGGCCGCGAGTTGGGAGTCGTGGCCCGAGTAAATAACCCCCAAGTCAAAGAGATACGCACACGTTCTCAAAGAGAGGCTAGCTACCATGAATGAGAGAGCCACATGCTATGAAAGCGAGGCCGGCTGCCATGAAAGAGAAACGCACCTCTGTGAAAGAGAAAGACGTACCTGGCCCTAATATTATACTGATTAACTGGTTGCGTACAGTAAATCAGGAATATGGGAGGTGCACTTTAATTACCCCAGCCCGTTAAGCGAATTGTTTTTTCCCCAAACAAGAGTCGACAATATCAAAAGAGGGCGCTCTCTTTGTGTTATACATATTCATGATGTCCAGGGCTTTAGAGAATAAACGATATAACAGAGAATAATGCTGTTTAAGTCACCGACGATTGGCAGCTGATTTATTGGAAATATAGTCCTGACTTCTAATCAGGTGATCCGCCGTCGAACCCCATTGAGCGTTTTTCACTTCTCAGTTTACCTTTAAAATAAAGTGAGGAAGGAACATTTCTCACAAAACGTAAAGCTATCTTGGGTTTGTGTGTTTGTGTTGTATACATGTATGTAGCATATAATGAATTAATCAGAAGATGGGAAACGTATGTCGTTTGGGGAGAAAAATCGAAGCCCGGAAGGTCTACACCCATTTCATTTACATGTTCACAGCCTGCTCAAATGATAAACACAATAATACAGTTAGTGGGCGTGTGGAGCCCACGTTCATTTTTGTTTTGGTACACTCTTTGAAACTCTCAGGAACACGTTATGGATATCTCAACAAGTTCAGAGCCGCGACTGGACCCTTCCTGACCATTCTGTGGGCGGGGCCACTGGATGTGGGGGGGGGGCTTCACGCGCAAAACTTGACGATTCAGAAATTTTTTCTTCGCATTTGGACAGCTCACCAAAGTACTAAATCACAAGAATAAAAAAAATCAACAATTATGCCTCTTTTGGGGGTGGGGCCACATTTTATATAAGTGGGGGCAAATGACGTAACAGAAAAACTAGCTATATAGGCCCTAACAGGCAATCTTGGTGTGTTTTTGCTTATCCCGTGTAGTGAACGGGGGTGGACAGAATTGTTCCCGTTTAGCTGGTATGTCATTGTTTTTAGTTTTAAACTAAAAGTATTTTTTTTAAAGCAAATTTGCGACTGAAATCAAGCCTAATACTAATATTCAGGCCCTCAAATCAGCACCCTGACTCTACGTGTTGTATGAAAGGCACGTACAAAACGTACACGTGTACTGCATGTACATGTACATGTACATGCGCGTGGTGCGTAAAAACTAAGTACATGTACATGTACACATGCATCAGTAGTATAAGTTACATAGGACATGTAAGAAGCCGACTAGCTAGCGCATCGTCATTTGGTGATCTGTTCAAAACCCACAAAAGGCTAAAAAGTAAGATGTTTTCTCTTGGATGTGTACGTGCATGTGTTTGTCGTAAAAAGGGGGAGAAATAAATGAAGATCATGTGCATTCAGAAAGGCGTTAACTTGTAACTTTTCATGTAACTTAGTTGTTGTAGCATGGAGCTATAGCTCCATGGTTGTAGGCGTGGCATTTACAGCGCATTCATTATGGAGGCAGTGTGTCCATGATAGAGCAGCACCGGCACCGGCGTGAAGTCAAACTGGATGATGATGCCTAGCGGCGATATCCAGTCAAGTTTCTGAGATTCTGAGAGCAAGGACATGAATAGCTATTGCACAGCTAGGACATGAAGGAACTTGCATTATCTATAAATGTTGGGCCTGGCAAGCGGGGGGGGGGGGGGGGGGGGGGGGGGGGGGACTATGTAAGCCATGTACGTACGTAATTAGGCACCATCATAAACTTAAGCATGTCTCCTTTTCGTATAATTTTGATCGCCACGATAACACTCGGCTTTACTGTTTTGTCTCATGCGCAGTGTCAAAGTGCAGAGTGCTGTATTTCAACATAAAAGGTACGCTACAACTAGTACAAGTACAAGGATTGAATTCCTTTTTCATTTTTACCATGATTGCAGCCTTGTTTGAGGTGTTTGTTGTTGTTCATGTTGTTCCACCGGGATACACATGAGACCCAGTAGACCGCTGGTGTAGTCATTGTTATTCTAATTAAAATAATGTTGACAATGAAAGGAACTACTGATCTACACATCCCCTATACTATCCTGACTATAGTGCTTCCTGATCAAACTGTAAAAAAAATATCAGTTTAAACACAAGCAGTGGTCACACAGGAAATTTATCAGCTATATTTTACATGATTTTTTGCAAATTATAGCTGCTGACCAAAAATCTGTTTTTTAGATGTAATTTTAGCACATTATTCCCTTTTAAATTATGTGCGAAGATTATAAAAATTAGATTAATGTCAGGGTCTGTGTTTAGACATGATTAACTTTCTTGTGTATTTTTGACACCCCACCCCTACCCGTTGCCTATTTAGGCAAGGCCCAGCTGATCAGATTGCTGCTACATGACCAAGGCATCACTTTCACTGATGATGTCGTCGACAAGAAAGATTGGCCAGCTATGAAACCTACCCTGAATTTGGTGAGAACCCCTAGTCTTGCTATTTTGCCGTCATTTCAAGACGATAAAGACAAAATCTGTGCATACAACTTACAAGGTTTACCATTTCCATTTTTGTTTCTTTTCAGCTATTTGGCCAGATGCCAGCATTCTGGGAGGGTGATTTCCATCTGGTTCAGACTGGGGCCATTCTACGATACCTGAGTCGTAAACATGGTTAGGATTCCATCCAGCTACTCAATTTATTATGAAAAAATCATCAAAAAATTCCACATTATATATCCTCTTTATGTTCCTGCAGGGAAATAGACTCACATGAAAACACTAAAGCCCTTTTCACACTAGAGCCTCTTAACCTGGGTTGAGCTTTACCCTGTGCAAACCCAGTGCTACCCTGGGTAGAGTTTATTTATTTTTCAACCCCTCGTTCCACCCCGCATATTTCACAAAATTCGTTTCATGCAAACCAAGCTTATTTCGCTCGGTTAGTGCTGTCTTGTACGCAGGAGAGAGTTTCAACCCGGTTTGAAAATCTCACCCCTGGTCTGGAGCAGGGTTGAGTTCAGCCTTGGGTGAAATCACGAACCATTTGTCCGTGGTGAAATCAGTCTCAGGGTTGACACAGGGTTGGCAAGTGTGAAACGCAGCATGTTTTCAACCCTGCGTCAACCCCAAGATTTGTCTCTAAAACTAGGCCTGAATTATTAGGTTTGTGCACATTGAGAAGAAAATGGATGTACGCACATGAACTAGTGTGTCACACTGTTTCCAGGTTTGTTTGACTCGTCTTGGATCTTTTCCTGCAGATACATATGGATCCAATGACACTGAAGCATCATTGATTGACATGGCATATGACGGAGTGGAGGATTTATACCAACGTTACATCCGCATGGTGTATGGTGCTGACTTTGTAAGTTGAATTCAATTTGCAAGATCATTTCTACTTGGCATAATTTCCACTCCGATGTTTATACAGTCGAGTCTCGTTATAACAAACTCGTTCGGACCTAGCCAAATTGTTTGTTATATCGGAATTTTGTGTTAAGAGGAACATCTGTCCCATTCATTGTGCACATAAATGCACATTCGGGACCAAGGCTTTATGTTTGTTATAACCAGAATTTTGTATTAACAGAGTTTGTACTAACGAGAGTCGACTGTAGATGTTTAGTGGAGCGCTGTGGTCCAATGGTTACGGTGTTCGACTCACGTGCCATGGTACGTGGGTTTGAACCCTCACGGGTAACATGGTGTTTGTGTTCTTTGGCAAGACACTTTACTACAATTGCCTCTCTCAACCGAGGTGTATAAATGGGTACCTGTGAAGGTGGAGACTGGAATGCGCTGATCTCGAGCTGCTGCAGGGGCTGGTCTCCTGACCTGAAGTACAGGGGTAATAATTGTGAAGCCCTTTGATAGCATAATGTGCTATATAAGCATATTATTATTATTAGACGAATTCAAAGGGCTGGCCTAATTTCACTGACTAAATCACAATTGACTGACTGATCTGCTAGCTAACTGACTGACTGACTCCCCGACTGACTGAGTCACTCGGTGTAAACAACGTCGTTGGGACCAATTGGGACCTTCTGGTCCAGGTGGACTAGGCAAGCCCAATCTTGTTAAAATCTCACACAATTTTTATTTGAAGTATCACCTTACATGCTGAAGGCAAGAATTGCAAACCCCCCCCCCCCAAATGGCTGTAATGGTGACACACCCATCCAAGGGTGCAGCGTATTCTGTACGCTATTATACTTCCCATTATAACCTTGAACATTCAAGAAACCTACACATAAACAATTTAAAAAGAAACCCTTTTAATACAGAAAGGTTATTTTGTTATTGTATTTTTTGTTTTCACAGGAAAATGGAAAAGCCAAATTTCTGGCCGAGACACTTCCTGATCTGATCCTTCCAACTTTACAGGTAAGTTCATGGTCATCGGCAAGGCCGGCTGTGCTCTTATCAATGTTTGAAATGCCCACTGGCAGATTTGTTATAACTATGGTCAATATGGCCTGACTGTGTCCAATTGGAGCACATTGATATATTTTGTACTGTCAACTAAAAAAACAAACCAAAAAAAAAAAAAAAACCAATCAAACAAATGTAAAGTTTAGTTTATCAAATAATGCAGTGAATTAATTTGACAGTGTCCTCATTTTCTCTTCCAGAAACTTCTGAAGACAAACAAGAACGGTGAAGGTTTTCTTGTTGGGGACAAGGTATGTAATGATGTTTCCCCTGAAGTTTAGTTGTTCATGTTACATGTGGAGTTTTCAACACATATTACTTTTTTTGGAAATATTCTTAATTCATGATTTTTGGTGTTTTTTCTATCAGATTTGGTGACTTTTTCCCAGAGAAATTACATTAACCTATATTTTTTCACGAATCTACAGTTTACTGTTGATTCGTAGCTTATCTATAGTAGATTCATAATGAATGTACACCTAACTGTAGAATATTTTAAGAATGCAGTTGTTATTGTGAATATCCTCTGCAAACAATTCCATGTATAAACGGCAGTTAATCGATTTTTTAAAGTTACAGTCCATTTTAAAATGATAAGAAATATACTCAAAAATAAAAAAAACAATTTGGGGGTTTTTTTTCGAAAGAATTTGACATAGAACCGACTGTTAAAAAGTCTACTATTTGAGATCTTTTATTATTTAGCACAAAATGTTGTGTTTGGATTTTTAATTTGCAGCGCTGACATTTTTAATTTAATGCATTACATTATAATGTACAGTGGTGATTACAAATTTTAACCTAAAGTGCAGTTTAAAATATTCTACTTTATTTTATTACCTGTTCTCGTTATTTTTATTTTGTCTTATTTTTTTATCTTCCTATTTATCTTCTGTACATGTATTTTTATGCTTACATTTTAAATGGAGTTTTATTTTTTGTCTATAAATTTGCATGATACAAAATTTAGTGGCTATCCCTCAATTTAAGTTTAGTACACATCTATTCTTAACCCATTTAGTTTTATCATTATTTCGTCTGTCATTAAATTACTGGCCTGTGCAAAAAAAGACCATTATCAAAATGACTATCATAACCAGAGAATGGACGAATAACTAAAGAAATCAAATGAAACTTACCCAATCAATACGTCTCGGCATATATTCCAAAGTAATGTATTTTCCAAACGAAATGATTTCCTGTGGTGAATGAGATGGTCATATTCCGATGTGTACTCCATGTGGCTCTCGATGGGCAATGGGCAGTGACATGTTGTTCCATATGGTTCCATAAATCAAAGAGATCTATGCTCAAATGTCGCTAGCCAACTTGTTCTTGTGGTTGGTGTTAAAACTCCTCAGATCAATCCCGTAAAAGACAGCATCAAAGCATATTCCAGTATAATCCCATAGCTGTAACATACAAGCATAGAAAACTCCATTTGGCTTTGGGAGTTATAGAAGACAGTGTGTTCGCACTAAACACCAGTGAATATGAGTGTGGCTTTCCATAAGAACAAATTTACTGCGCAATTAATGGAACAAAAGATGTGCACCCATCCGACGGGTTAACAATAGCATCTTGTTATAATGCCAGCACAGGGCCAGGCAAAAATGTATAGATTGTACGAATCTACACCTACGCCCACATTTTTGTGGCGAACCAGAGATCTTATTTCCATAAACTATTGTTGTCTTAAGAAATGGGTTAAGTCATCATATGCAGCGCGATATGAGACAGAGGGAACGCCCTCCTTTGTGTTGGTCATTGTGTGACCAGAATCTCAGGAATTCAAGTTGGGATATCTAGGGGGTGTTAGGTAACAATAGTTTAGGGTTTGCATAGGGTATAGGGGGATCTCGGATCGTGCTGGATAATCCCTTGATTTCATTTTCAATTTAAGCAGTTAAATTCCAATTTTTATCATTGGAATTAAGTTTTAGAAATACAGTTTGAACACTGATAAAGCATGAATGCATTCTGCTTAGCTCTTACAGCATTAATGTAACACCTGTTAATAATTGTCAACAATACCTGCCATCAGATAATGATAAATTGACAGGTGTCAAGACCACAAACCATTAATTGAAACCATTCTCCAGATTACACAATCGTTTACTTTGCAGACCAAAAAGGCCATTTGTCGCGAACAAGCTTCCCCAGGAACACAGCCCAATAAATAATTAGTCATAAACACTCTCCATAATTCCAGACTCCAGAAATATTTTTGTGCTTCTTCCAAGTTTTATTTTTGTTTTTATTTTTGTGATTTTATTTCCTCTGCAGATTTCCTTTGCGGACTACCACCTGTTCCAGTTCCTGGATGCTCTGATGGACCTGTCTGCATCAGCTTGTCTTGAGGCTTTCCCAGTCTTGAAGGCTTACTACGAACGCATCAAGGCTCGACCCAACATCAGCAAGTTCCTCGCGAGTGACCTGAACCAGAAGCGCACATTCAACAATGCAGGTCATTAGTCCACTTGCAAATGGTTGGTAGAAGCATTGATACTTAACTCCAAATAGTATGATTTATTTTGATTGGAAGACTTTTTTTCAAAACAGGGTCAAAAATAATATAAAAAGCAAGAAACGCTGAAAAATCAGTGAGATTTCAAAATCTGTAATGTGCCAAGTACGAAGGTCTTCTAATCTTTTGATCAAAGGATTAACTAGTTAATTTTTTTTTGAGACAGATATTATAAGACATTTCACCGCGTATTCGAAGGAGTTTTTCAGAGAGGTGTTAAGGAATAACTTTTTTCCTTCATTATTTAACACAATACTTGACAACGTTCTACCTTCAGGGTTTTATAAAACAAAAACATATTGCATAATATTGAATATTTAATTGCATGTGACTTATGACACAAAATCCTAACATCTTTATTGTGAACACATATTCGATTGTTGAATTTCGTTATTTTCTTTAGTATTCAATGAGTTTGTACGATTGGAAAAGCTATTTTTTTCCCTGATATTTTATCGTCTCAAACTATGAGTGCGTGGGGCTCCTAATGATCGGCGTTGGCATGAAGGGCTTGCCTCATAAATCTATTTTGAACGATAAAATAAGATAATTTTGATAAACAGATTGTAAATCCAAAGTAATCTTTGGTGATTGTATTATTGCAGCTGACTTAAATTTAGTATATCAGTATTACGATAATGAAATCAGTAGCTTATTCAATTCTCATTCAGATCAGTATTTGTTTAGGAGAGAGATCTTACTGTGTACCTATTCAGTTAGACACTTCGATTAAAGAGCAATGATTACGAATGAGTATCTAAGAAATAAAATAAACTCATGGTTAAAACAATGAATGCTCATTTTGCTTTCTTTGTGGATCTTTAAATTGAATTTGGTCTCTCCCTTAAACATTGATATTAAAATCCTGTGTGAGCAACATTCAGGTTACTTTCGATGGGCGGCCAATCAAGTTGACGTAATTTTCATCCCTGCCGCGCTCGCCAACAGATTTTCGCAAAATAAATGTACGCTCTCGGTATTTTATTGAATTACTTCCTTAGGCTTTCACGGATTCTCAGATTCTACTATCCGGTATTTCAATATTTTCGTGGCGTTCACAAAAAAAATGGGTATTGTTTTTGTTGTGACAAAATGCTCAACCTAAGACTGTCCACTGAAATTCATCCTCGGTAAACTATTACCAAGTCAATCTGTGGGTTTTTAATAAAAAGCTAATTCCGCTAGCCGATCGAAATCCTCTATTCAGAAGGCCTTACCTAAACACGACTGACATAAGTCGATACTTCCATCTTCGACACCGAAGGCCTGTGATTGATTTTCTCAAGAGCAACATATTTTTTTGGAAAAACAATGTGACATTTAAAGGCTTTTCCAGCCATATCCGTCACGGCGCTTGTTCTGAGAAGATGAGGCCGGTGCCTTTGGTGAAAAGAATGGTTGTAGTTGCCACTTGGTGGATAGCTCTTACCTTTGTGATTTCTGTGACATCAGCAGGTAAGAATATTCCTACTGACTCTTGTCTTGTAAATGTCTGTGAGAACTACAATAATGTGAATTTATAAAGCGCTCGTATCCACCATCACAGATGCTCACGACGCTACATAATACAATAGTCCCTCTACTGGTCAAATGAAGTTAAGCATTCAGAAGACAATGCGGCTCGATGTTTTCACTTCGGCGGCGCAAATAGTCAGTTGGTTTATGGTAAACAAAAAATCATGTCCTATAATATGCAATTTCAGGTAAAACACCTTTTGAAAATTTAAGGCTCTTAATTGAACACTGTAAAATTAAAACCACTTGATGCCATTCCCCCCCCCCCCTGTTTTCGGTGTATTGTTTTTGAGCCAAAAGAAGAATGTGATAATGAATATCCATTTCCTATAATTTTCTCTTAGCATTTTCAGTACATACATGGACTCGTAAAGTGAAAGCTTTATCTGTTTCTGTCTAAATCTTTGGAAAAATATATATAATACTCCTTATGCGCCATTGGTGAAAGTAAACTCCCAATCTTATATCAAACAATACCCTCAGCTTAACAAAATGTCCACCAAAATACGATGGATTTAAAACGTTTCCTGTTATAGACGGGATTACTTCCAGAACAAATTTTAAAAACGAATACACCGTGCTACGAGAACCTTTGTAAACTCGCAGCTTATCAAGATGTGTGCTTTTGTGGTGGCTAGCATAATCGCTGTCACAGAATGAAGAAAAGTATGCAAAAGATGACTCTGAGTTAATATGATAAATGGTAGGTATTAAAGCAATGTTTTGTACATTTTGTTTTTACAACACCGCATAAAAGTCAGTGGTGCACCCGGGAGGAGGTATTTTTTTTTTTTTTAGTCCCACGATTTGACCTTGGTGATATGTATGTGGCCTATTTTCGAGTAGTTTAATAGGGGGGTATAAGTGGTGCCACCAACGTAAAAATAGTGCACCTCCCTCCAAAGAAAAACCCAAATCCTGGGTGCGCCACTGATAAAAGTTCATTAAATCGTGATTTAGAGCCATGCCCAAACAACTGGATTCAACAGCCATACGTCGTCACGGGCAAGTGTTACTCCTTGAGTACCACGCAGAACTGGAGCAACGCAACCTGGATGGATGCACGGGCTAAGTGCAAGGAGTTCGGAGCAGATCTCATCGTCACAAACACCTGGTCTGAGTTCGACTTTGCTTGCACCTTGCTACGAGACACAGAAGGTAGGCATATAATAATCATGACGACTTTTAGCCCTTTGCGTACGAAAGACTTGTGATCTTTCAGGACATGACTACATTAGGCCTAACTAAAAGTACTATATGTTTCGTATGCAGATCAGTGGAGCTGGACGCGTTGCTCTTCCACAAGCACCGGGCAGGTGTGGACGTGTGAGGATGACCCCTCTGAGTACGTATCCAGTCCCCTGAGTAAACTTGGCTACTGGGGTAAGTATCAAAGTGGCGTCCAGACTGTTAATTGTTAATGTAAAGTTTTTGGTTCACTTAAAATTTCTAATTTTTAATGAAGTCCGGTCACAAGCTGATCAAGTTACGTGGTGACAAGAGAATCCCCTGTCATCAACCGTCACTTGTGGCCAGAGTTCGCTTGTGACTGGACATGGACAAGAGGGGTAATTTATTGTCGACATTTTGGGGACGGGGGACCAGCAGCTTCTAAGGGAACGGGGAGGGGGGGTTCAAGCAATATCTCATAGCTATAAAAAATGGTAAATTGGATTAAAAATTATACGCGCTGTGGTAAATTTATGAGGGGGGGAAACGCCATTGGTATCCCCGCCCAAAATTATTTGTGTGTGTGTGTGTTGGGGGGGGGGGGGTGTCCCCAATCCCCTCGATCGTGGCCCACGGCGATAGACTTGACCACAACATTGTATAAGTTGTGTTACTTCTCGTTGCAGATTGGCATTGGGGTAGTCCACATGGCCCACCCTACGGCAAGACCCAATGCATGGGCATCAACCATTCGCCCAACCTTATGCATGCTTGCGAGTGCAACATTCTTAAACCGTTTATCTGTGAGATGGAGGAGGTGCAATTACAAACCACGCCCCTTCTGCCAACCAAGACATCAACGCAGGCATCTATCTCCACAGTTCCCGAAAATCAGCTGGAACAAACCACGCCCCTCCCACACACCAAGACATCGACGCCGCCATCTATCTCCACAGTTCCCGAAAGTAAGCTGGTACAAACCACGCCCCTCCCGCTAACCAAGACATCGACGCCGGCATCTATCTCCACAGTTCCTGAAAGTAAGCTGGTACAAACCACGCCCTTTCTGCCAACCAAGACATCGACGCCGGCATCTATCTCCATAGTTCCCGAAAGTAAGCTGGTACAAACCACGCCCCTCCCACACACCAAGTTATCGACGCCGGCATCTATCTCCACAGTTCCCGAAAGTAAGCTGGTACAAACCACGCCCCTCCCGCTAACCAAGACATCGACGCCGGCATCTATCTCCACAGTTCCTGAAAGTAAGCTGGTACAAACCACGCCCTTTCTGCCAACCAAGACATCGACGCCGGCATCTATCTCCACAGTTCCCGAAAATCAGCTGGAACAAACCACGCCCCTCCCACACACCAAGACATCGACGCCGGCATCTATCTCCACAGTTCCCGAAAGTAAGCTGGTACAAACCACGCCCCTCCCGCTAACCAAGACATCGACGCCGGCATCTATCTCCACAGTTCCTGAAAGTAAGCTGGTACAAACCACGCCCCTCCCGCGCACCAAGACATCGACGCCGGCATCTATCTCCACAGTTCCTGAAAGTAAGCTGGTACAAACCACGCCCTTTCTGCCAACCAAGACATCGACGCCGGCATCTATCTCCACAGTTCCCGAAAGTAAGCTGAACTGAAATGGGTTGATTTACGAGACTTAACATACGAGATACACGACAGTTACTCTTTTTGTAAAGACCCCTCCCCCATTGATTTCTTCCATTTCGTTTTTCTTGGTTAGCATATAATTCACACCGGTATCGGGTTCAATCCATAAAGCACATAATTTGGCCAATATACTCACTCATCAGCCAATACAAATCTCCCAAAATGTCCATAAGACAAATGAATTATGAGATATTCCAACAACTATGGTTTTGGTGCCCTGTGTCCTGTGACGTCATGCCGAGAAGCACCCGTCAGGCAACCCAAACATTGAAGCACCTTTTGCATGTTATTTGGCACACATTAAACATTATGATGTCAACACTTTTTAAACCAGTCATATATCTAGAGATATAACTGCAGTGTAGAGGGCAACATTTTGTTGAAAGATGGCATCACGTGCAGGCCTGATCAAAATGATACATAGTTCACAGTCGTTATCCGTATATGTGAAAGTAAAATCACAATATTATATCATATGCCTACCTTTGCTCCGGCTCAAAAAAAGTCCACCAAAATACGATTGACTTAAAATGTTTCTTGTTAATTTACCCACACGTCAGACAATGCAAATCTACTTAAGTGCCTCTAATGCAAACAAATTATGAGGTATTCCAGCAGCCACGTTTTTTGTCCAAAATAATTTGACATTAGAGTATTCTTCAACACAAAAATATTGACAGATTCACTGCCTTTAAGAAAGGTCCTGTATTAAAAGCAGTAAATCCTATTAATGCGATGGGGGGGGGGGGTGGTTCAGTATATGATAATATTCCATTTTTATTTTTAGTGACGTTGCTATAAAGGCATTCACTGCGTACACCACCATCTTTTCCTCAAAAAGATTTGGTCACAGTGGTCAGAAATTGCTTCAGATGGCATCACAGAGCATCTAGAATCGGAAAATATTTGGGGGCCCTTAAGCGGGCCCCGAACCCCACGCCGTTATTTCTAGAACCAACTTGTTGGGGACCATTTTGCTTAGGCCCCCAAAATTGTGTTCTGGATCCGCCCTTGACTGAAGTTAGAATCGATCATGAGCTCATTTAATTCAGTATCACTGATCGCTGAAGGTGCAGCATATCGATCCTAAGTCATTAACTCAGTGAAGGCGAGGAGGAGGAATAATAGATCGGCAGCTTTGGCAACTGACGATATTTGAATCGATTTTAAGGTCATTATAATCGCAGGCAAGCTATAGACGCCACCGGTCTGGTTTGCTGTTATACCTGAACGTGATAATCCCATGTCAAACTCAATAAATTCGATTTTTTTTTCACAAACAAAAATCCCCATCCTCTACTCTTTGATATTAGGCATATCGTTCATAATTTTAATCTGTCTACGGTCACTCAAGGTATCTTCCCCCGACATCCGCTTGGAATAATTTTGTAAGAAAAAAGTCCGCACCTGCTTGCATTGCTTTTTTTTCAGCATACATACTCGGCTGTATTTTATTATTATTATTTTTTTCATTTATTATATTAAGGTTTTGTGAAGCAACACCGCGTTTCAAGTCTTGGTGTGCTCTTCGCGCATCGTCGGGTAATCGGAGGGTTAACTAACGTCTGCATGAAGACGACCTACAAGCTCTCTAAGATGCCTGCCAAACAGATCACCCTATGCGCCGTGTTGTGTCTGCAAGACTCGCGATGCAAGTCCTTCAACTACTTCAGCGTACGGCAGAAGTGCGTGATGTTCTACGTGGACTCTTATGAGGTTGGCAGTGGTGGGTTTTTGCAAGTCAGCGGCTGTGCTTTCTACGAATTACAACAGGGGAAAGCTGATGGGGCGAGTTGTGTCTGACTTGTTGTCTTGGCCGAAATCCGTTACTTGATTATTTGGACGAAAAAGTGAGAAGTATTTTTTGTGAGCTGCACGCACAAAATTAGAATCAAGCCTCACAAAATGCAGTTTTAAATGTTGATATTTATTATATCGACGAAAACATCATTATTGTAATTGTTGTTCGAGAAATTTGGCCCTGAATGCTATACATGTAACTAAATGCTGCACGCTTGAAAATATCTTGAGGCTTTTAGTGACGATGAATATAAAGTGTTAGCAAGTTAAGAGTTGAATTTCCGATTTTACTTTTTAACAAATATATAAATTCAAAAAAAATATAATAAAATCAAACAAGTAAATCAGTGAAACCAAATCATGACGTAAATAAATAGAAATGTCATCTTTGGTTTTTTTAGACACTCTGAATAGTTACTCGACATCAAAATGCTATTAGCTTACAATTTAAAAAAACAAAACATTTTAACAATATCAAATGTTATGCTATGATTTTGACATAATGGCACAGCTGATTTATATAAATTAGATCTTAACAGAAAGAATATTTGTTAAGATATTCTCGCTCTGAATTTGGCGATTTTTCTGTAGTCGGCAGAAATAAGTGTCTGTCTTGCTTTTCAAATGTTAATGCCTGTTAAAGTTCCGTTGCAGAAAGATTAAATGCAAAGAAAAAAATTAAAACAATTCAAGGATAAGATTTTTTTCTTGACGTTTCTATATCCGTGTTTGGGCAAACTATGCCTGAACATATTTTACGAATTAGACTATTTATATATTAGGATGGCTTCAAAATGTGAGCTATTAGACAAAAAAAATATTTATGTTGATATAGCCAACCGTGGAAATGAATTATTATATTTTGACATGAAAGAGAACCATGCTCCTTCTTTCAATACGTCTGAAATACTTTAGTCTTGCGGAATTAAAAACATAAAAATTGGTCCAAATAAATGCAGTTTTGACAGAATAGTTGAGATTCTGTTGATGCCGATATTCGTGCAAGTCAGAACTCATTCACAAGATTTCAGTATAAACATACTTCTATAATTTCTATTAAAAAAACAGCTTCTACAGTAAAAGAAAACTAGATAGCCTTTCCAAATCTATAGCCTTATCTACATCCAGCCAAACATTAAATCGTACTCTCAATTTTTACAAAAGTAACTTAATTGACAACGCTGAGCACATAAAAATAAAAATAATAAACCTGATCCCAAAGGGTGTGACTTTATCTCACAAATTTATCGAACAAAGAATACAAATTCTACAAGCTCTCTCTTTATAAAAGAAGAAGTTTTTTCGACGTCCTATACCCTTAATTCCCTGGATCAACCGCTGAAAACAAGCTGTCATCTAATTGACATTCCTTGGTTCTTCATCTTCTCCAACATCTTGTTCATCTTGTTGATTCTGTTCCACATCTCCATCCTTTTCATCTTCACTTCCTGCGCTCTTCATCAGAAATACCTCCTCTCTATCATTTGCCGTTTCATTCTCTAAAACGTCAACTTTATAATCAGGGAAGTTGTCATTCATCTCTTCATACCCGGGGAAATCACTCTCTTCCTCTTCTTGAATTTCTTCCAGATGGAAGGCTTTATCCTCGTAAATGGTGGGCATGACGTTGAACAGATCCGTGGACCTTACCCTGCACTTCTCCATGTATGTGTCTGCTAGGTCCTGATCAATCTCCCTCTGTTGGAGCCGACTGGAGACTTGCCTTGGCGTGATGGTTGATCCTCGAGAACTCGACCGAGACAATGCTGCCTCCGCATCCCTCCTCCTCAGATCATTCTCCAAGAATTCCTCCACTCGATCCTGTCTCTCCCTTAAGAGGTCCAGCTCCTCGAAGATTTGATAGGATTCTGAGAAGATATTGGACACGTCTTCGGAGATCATCCTGGTCTGTTGCTGGACCAGTCTGGAGAGTGAGGCAATAGCCTCGGTTTTGGTTTGTCCCGACTTGGAGAGGGGCACGGGACCGCGGCAGATCCGGGCAAACTGCCGCAGAGCTCTCTCGCTCTGGTTGATGGTGCACTTGCACAGTGTCTGTATGTTCTGCAGGTCCTGGATGACACCGAGGGAGTGGTAACGCTCAACGATGGACTTCCACTCCTTCATGATGGCCTGCTCTTTCTGGAATTCATCCATTCTCAGGTAGCACTCTACCAGGTAATCATCTTCATCGTAGTCTTGGCATATGGTGGCCCATTCACCAATAGCAGCCAGCTGCCACTGCTGACGTTGCTGTCGTTCATACTGACATTCCTCTTCGGAAGTCATCGTCACGCCAGCTGCATCCACTGACTCATTTGAAGACTTGGGATTTTTCACTTCACTATTTTTCTCACTTGATGGTACGACTTCGTTCGGTCTGGAATCCATTTGTTCCTTCTCCCTTCTGTCATACCTGTGGTCTTCGCTTGACTCATCAGCTTGTCTTCTTTCTTCATCTTTTAGGTCTATGTCATCCAGGTTTCTCCAAATGTTCAAGACCTCGCCAGAGCCTTGTGGCTCCTCCAAGGATAAACTTTCCTTACTTCTCATGCCTGATTCCATGAACTGGGTCTTCTGAGGGATACAGTTGTCGCTGATTGTTTGTCTATCTTCCACTTTATCTTCAACCTTGGTCGCGGTGGTAGTGACCTCCGTGGCTGATCTATTTCCTCCCCTCCCCGAGGATGAATCCCCCCGTCCATTTTCACGTCTGTGCCCCCGAGAAGTCTTCGGTCTTGAGGAATAAAGGTCCTCCTCTGACGACTTCAATGATCCACCTGAGTCCTCATACTGGCTGTCATTATCCGTGACAATTTCTCCTTGCCCTGGGACAACCGCTTCGTCACTCGAAGTGGCGAGAGCTCCCCCTGACCTGGTACTGATTATTTCTCCATCTTCATAATCCTCCACATTTAGGTTTTTCCAGTAGTATAGGACTTTATCAGTGCCGTTTCCTACCGTATTTTCAGTCTCAAGGCTCAGCACATCATCCTGCTTGACTTCGTTGTGATTAATGGTCCATACATTGAGCTTTTCATCTGACTGTTCACCCTTTCCCAACAATGGCTGATCCCTCTGTCCACATTTCTCTCCGAGACCTCTCGATGTCTTTGGTCTGGGTGGAAGGAGGATACTTTCTCTTGAGATGCCCTCAATCTCGTCTTTTTCACATCCGAGTTTTATCTCACCTCTCTTGCTTTCTCGCCATTTGTTGAAGTCTTCTTCCATCATCTGCCGAGTCGGCAGACCAAGGCCTGGACTTTCCTGGCCTTCTACATCCTCCAGATCGAACACAGACACCTCGGTTGTCAGGGGATGTACTCGAGTGTCTTCGCCACCGATCGCTGATTCCAAGTTGGCCTTGATAGGGGGTGATGGTGGGTCAAAGGGCGCGACTTTTGCCCGCCTGCGGCGACTCAATCTACAGAGCCGTAACCCTGGCAGGAAGGGGCAGCAAGTTGGCGGATGCTCTTCATCGGTTGAGATGTGCTTGTCTCGGGCTTGGTGGCTGAAGTTTCTAGTAATCTCGTCAACCTTTGGATTATCAACAGAACAAGACAGTAAGTCCACCATTTAAGATCTCTGTTGCAAAACCTGAAATGAGGTATTCAAGATCATTAATTGAGAATATCATAACTTTTTTGTTTAATTTTGAAAGATTTTTACAAATTCTAACCTTTTCGGTTATTGAGTGTGGTCTTATCAGTCGACTACTCTGATAACATTGGAGGGCGTCTTTGGTTGGGACTCTGCCCCCAGTTTGGTAAATAGTAGCTCCGTGGTCTTGGTCGGAGTAAACCTGATAAAGTTCGGGAAAAATTATTTCAAATGATTCTCATCAACAGTGAATTATAATGTCAGTTTTCGAAAGCACAAATATTAAAGACATCAAAACAAGGGAAAGTGGAGCTGTTTTTACTTACTGGTTTTCCGTCGCCTCCTTTTTCATTTCCGGGGTAATTCTCGGGCTTAGGGTTAGGTCTGATCCGGCTTGCCCATGTCTTGCAAGACTTTTCGGGGGTTGGGCACTTGAAGTCAGCCTCAGGCGGTACACAGTGGGTACTCGATAGCACCTTCAGTTTCAGGAAAAAGACATTAAAGAAAATAACTAAATTGAAACAGACACGAGTGACAAAATGTGTTTTTTATTAAGGACCTCCAACTTTCTTAATGATTTGAAATTATAATGAAAGCAGAAATCAGAGCATTTGTTATAAAGGCCTCGAGGTCTGTCATAAATTCAAACTACATTAATTTAGGAGCATCATTTTATTATACGGAAAACGAACTTTCGTTAACGGGTAATTAATGGACACATTTCAAGCACAAGCAGCTATGATGTCAATGCTTCACATCATTGGGTGATTTGTTTCATGGAGGGGGCTTATAGGAACTCCTTACCTGCACCTTGGTGTGGGAGACCCCTGATAGAGCGGATGGGATTCGCCTACAGATCCAGGCCGTCATCCGCTGATAGACTTTGGATATCTGTGAAATTAAGTCAAAATATTCGGTATTTGAAACAAACACTCACCTTCATGCCAATCAGAAGACACGTTTCGTTTGGGGCACAAGTTGGCGGGCGATGTTTCGACGAAGATTCAAGGTTTTCTTTTTTGGGCATGAGTTGGAGTTTTTTTTAATAGGCTTTGGTAAACTGAATACATTCTTTATATCACATAGCGACTAGTTATACGAAAACTAGTGTAAAACATCACAACATTCCGATATTTTCGTCATTTTTGCCAAATAGCCTGTATTTACATTGATGGTAAACTTACCGATGGTGTATTCTCCATCTCGATCCAGATCGTTTCTCGTCACAAAACGTTGATAAATATCGATGAAATCGCAAAATACGAAGAGATAATCGCAGTAGGTTGTTCGCACAAGAGCAGCAAAGCACAATATGAAAGGTTTGTTGTTGGCAGCGTGCCGGCCAAAAAACGCGCGCGCGCAAGAACAATGGACACCAAGACGCCTAGTCAAGTAATTGTTCTAAGGAATTAATACGCATGACCGTTATGAACGTCACAATATATTTTGCGTATTTCAGACGCCTTGTAACTATGACGTTGCCTTGAGCAGGATTTAGCCATGCGCGTATAACGCGTCATTTTAGTTGGCAAAGTGTGCTCGTTACATGAGTGCTATTGATGGGTTGGGCAGATTTGGTGGTATTTCTCCAGCAAAATCAAAGAGCCCCCCCCCCCACCCCTCAATCTCCTGGACTCGCTTATAAGGCAATTTCTCACACAGTGCTTTTAAAGTAATCATGCATGATCTTCACACATTGCAAGTTTGAGTTGAAAGAAAATTATAACAGAGGGCGCTCACCGCGATTTTTTCCGCTCTTTTTTTCCCGCTCGTCAAACACACAAACAGTTAAACACCCCCAAACAAACCCAACAAACAAACCCAACAATTCAACATCCGAAACAAACAAAGAGCGACAAGTTTCTAGTCTCGAAAGAAAAACAAAGTACCTGCCATGCATGTTTCATCATTCCCTTAGAGCATCCCGGCCAACAATTTGCATTGCATAAGGGTTATCTTGGAGCACCCCAGAGTTTCTCTTGGAGCATCTCGATCAGACCACCTCAGCCACACTGCAGTGATTCCATAGAGGTTCTCTTAAAGCAGCCCTATGAAAACTCTGTGTGGCCAAGGGCGGATCCAGGGGGGGGGGGCAAAGGGGGCCATGCCCCCCCCCCCCCCCCCCAAACGAAACCAATTTTTTTTTTTTTTTATGTGACATCGCAATAAAGGCAGGCAATGAGTACACCACCATCTTTTCCTCAAAAAAACATTGGTTGAAGTGGTCAGAAATTGCCTCAGATCGCACCACAGAGCATCTAGAATCCAAAAAAATTTCAGACCCCACGCCGTAATTGTTTGACCAACTTTTTGGGGGGACCAACATTTTTGTTTGGCCCCTCCCAAAATTGTGTTCTGGATCCGCCCTTGTGTGTGGCTAGGATGCTCTTAGAGAGCCCGATTTGATGCTCTACGAGAATTGATAACATGGTATAAACCCGACTTCCAGCGCCATTTTGTATGAAGCGTCTTACCAAGTGACGTAGTTGTCATCCCTGCATGGGCGCCAACAGATTTTGCAAAAATGGCAAAATTAATGTAAAACACTCGGTAGTTTAGATAGGTACTTATGAAGCCTTTGGCAGATTCTCATAGTTATAATAAAGTATTTCATTATTTAAGCGTTGTGATACAAAGACTGTGAACTAGTTGTGTTGTGATTCATGTTCGAAATATTAATAGTCTATCAAAACCCGGGTTGGCACACACAAAGGATGTCATCCTTGGTGGACTGTTAAGTACTAAATCAATCTATGAGATCTTACTATACCTGACATTCTAATTCTGTTCGCTGATTGAAAATCATCTACTCTAAAGGTCTTCCTCAAACGTGACTGACAAAAATCGATACTTCCGCATTCGACATCATAATCCTGCAATTGATTTTCTCAAGAGCAATAGATTTTTGGAAAATAAATGGGCGGTTTAAAGGCTTTTCCAGCCATATCCATCACGGCGCTTGTTCTGAGAAGATGAGGCCGATGCCTTTGGTGAAAAGAATGGTTGCAGTTGCTACTTGGTGGATAGCTCTTACCTTTGTGATTTCTATGGCATCAGCAGGTAAGAATATTCCTACTGACTCTTGTCTTGTAAATGCATGTGATAATATAATAATCTGAATTTATAAAGCGCTCGTATCCACCGTCGATTGTGCAAAGACGCCAAATTATACGCTATGCGCCCTGGTTATTTTGCAATGACATGTTCAAAGGACGATCTAAATACATGTGTACAGTTCGTTTCTATTTCGGCGCAAAGCAGCTGAAATCAGTCACAGGTATACCCATTTACCCATGTGAAGGAAAAAGAAAAACATTGATTAAGCAGTTAAGTCCAGATTTTTGTTTTTTGTGGTGGTTAGTAGATTCACCATAATATAATGAAAAAAAAACTATACGAAAGTTGACTCTGAGTAAAATAGTAGAAATTTGTTTTACGACACCAAATAAAAGTTACATTTAAATCTTGATTTAGAGCCATGTCCGGATGACAAGTGGGTGCCATTCGACAGCAAGTGTTATGCCGCGGGTACCATGCTGAATAAAGTCTGGTATGAATCAACATGGGTGAATGCACGGAAGATCTGCACAAGCGTTGGAGCAGATCTCATCGTCACAAACACCTGGGCTGAGTTCGACTTTGCGTTGTCTTTGCTGCTTGATACAGGAGGTAGGTCTATGATTATGAGGACTCTTAACTTCTTTCGTAAGAAAGTTTGCGACATCTATATCTCTCCACTCTGTGAATTATATCTTTTTATGTGTAGCCCTCGCCACTCGTGGCCTATTTTTTTGTACATTGTGATGGGCGATTTCCACTTCAAACAAAGTTGCCATGTTTCTTTTAAAAATGCCCAGGCTGAATGTCTATTGAAATTGCACCGGTAAATGATTCGTTCTTATATCCTGGCAATCAATTTGGGTGTTATTCTTGTGATTCCATTGGTTGCAGGGTAAAATTGGATCATATTTACTATAACTTTTCAAACAACACAAAACTTACTGATGGTCTGAATGTTCTTTTTTTTAATTGCAATTTGGGATTAATAAAAAAAATTGTTTACTTGGATCGGGGGCTCAAAAAAAGGGTCTGTCAGAAAAGAGAACCGAAGAATAGAAAAAGGATATTATGCTGATGGACATGCTAGTAATTTACTGTTTTGTTACCTTAGACCAGTGGAGTTTGACCCGATGCTCCACGAATCGTACCGGGCTGGTGTGGACGTGTGAAGACGACCCGTCCAGCTACGACGAGTCTGATCTCGCGAACAATGTTGGCTACTGGAGTAAGTATGGGCGTGTCGTATAGTTATAAATGAATATGGAATTTCTTTGCAAACCCGAGGACTCGTTTGCGACAATAATCGCGTACATGGGTGGTGATCGGGGGGGGGGACATTTTTCCTTCGATAATTTTAGAAAATTCCAAGCTACTGGTGCCCTTATGTTTTCAAGAAAGCTGTTCATCTGCTGTTACGCGAGATCGTATTTGTGACGGGACTTGTGACGGACATTGTGATAGACTTCTGATGGAGTTGTGATGGACTTGTGATGGACTTGTGATGGACTTTTGATGGACTTGTGACGGACATAACATTGTGATGCATTTGTGACGGACTTGTAATCGACTTGTGATGGACTTGTGACAGATTTATGATGGGCTTGTGATGGACTTGTGATGGACTTGTAATGGACTTGTGATGGACTTCTGATGGACTTGTGACGGAATTGTGACGGACTTGTAATGGACTTGTGATGGACTTGTGATGGACTTGTGACGGACTTGTAATGGACTTGTGATGGACTTGTAAAGGACTTGTGATGGAATTGTGACGGACTTGTGATGAACTTGTGATGGACTTGTGACGGACATGACATTGTGATGCATTTGTGACGGACTTGTAATCGACTTGTGATGGACTTGTGACAGATTTATGATGGACTTGTGATGGACTCGACTACATCACCGTATGGGACTTGTGTTATTTTTCGTTGAAGATTGGTCTTCCGGTCATCCAACGGGCCCGCCCTATAATGAAGACCAATGCATTCTCCTCAGCCGCTCAGAATCACCACCGCTAAGCATGCAAGAGGTCTCCTGCCAGTTAGCCAGTACACCGTTCATCTGTGAGATGGAGGCGGGGCGATTGCAAACCACGCCCCTCCCGCTAACGACGTCGACATCGACACTTGCACAGACCCCCATAGTACCCGAAGGTAAGCTATAATTGAATTAATGGATTTACAAGACTTAAAATCTAAGAACCTTCCTCTCGCGCTGACGTCTTTCATTGTTCTGGTCTTTCTATTTTTTTAAGCAAACACCCTTAAATATGGCATCGGTAAATTTCACACTACATCGCCATTACTTGTTGAAACGCATAATACTCACTCGATTACTCCTACTTGACATATAAATGAAACCTAAATTGGAATCGATCCTATACACAATGGAATCAGTGTCACCGATGGCAAAAGGTGTCAAAAGTCGATCCCAAGTCATTAAAGAGTTAAGGTCAAGTGGATGGAAGATTATAGTCCGGAGGCTTTGGCAAGTGACGAGATTTGAATCGATATTCAAATCAAGTATGCACGCCCGCAATACAGTCCGGTTGACCCATGTTTAAACAACAATGTTATCTTGCCGAACTCAGTGATTCGACATCTTTTTACTACCGCGATACCGGTAATTCGCCTACTCTGACTTTGTATTTGGCATACCATGAATAATAATTCAATGTAATTATTTGAATCTGTCTCCAACTACTCACATTATCTTCCCGTTGACATTCCCTTGGAATGATTTTGTAAAAGTTATAAGTGCTTTAATAGTCCAAGACAGGCCAACATTGTCCTCTTTCAATCTGACTGCCTCACCGACTCACTGACTGTCGATAAGTCGCACCTTGGCCACAAATTAACAAATAACGGTTTAGCATGAAACGACTTAGACTATTTCTACTCCCCCTTGATGGGATGCTAGTCCATCGCAGGTTACTCCCCAGCTAATGCCGGTACCCATTTATACTCCTGGGTGGAGAGAGGCAAGTGGGGTGAAGTGGCTTGCCCAAGGAACGTATGACCAGCAGCTGGATTCGAACCCCTGACGCTCTGATCATGAGTCACGAATCCTAACCATAACCATACTCATTTTTTTTTTGTGGGCATAGGCCACACTCCCCACCAAAAAAGATCATTCTTTAACGCAAATGAATGGGCTAAATCTAGGCCAATTGTGTATACCACAAAATAGATTTTCCGAATCGATTGTGTATAATTGTGTAAGCTCTAGCCGGAACCAGCTTTACAAATCTAGCAAAAATTCGTCTTAATTTTATTTCATTAATTTTTGTTAAGGTCCCCCGAAACAACACCGCGTTTCAAGTCTCGGTGTGTTCTTCGCGCATCGGCAGGCTATCGGAGGGTTAACTAACGTCTGTATGAAGACGACCTACAAGCTGTCTAAGATGCCTGCCAAACAGATCACCGTATGCGCCGTGCTCTGTCTGCAAGACTCGCGATGCAAGTCCTTCAACTACCACAGAGGGAAGCAGATATGCGTGATGTTCTACGTAGACTCTTCTGAGGTTGGCAGTGGTGGGTTTAGGCAAGTCAGCGGCTGTGCGTACTACGAATTACGATAGGGGAAAGTTCTACACGTGTCTGCGAGTTGCTCCCTCGGCTTAAATCTGTCACTTGATTATTTGTACGTAAAATTTAGAAGTATTTGTGGTAATTATATTAGTTGTGAATTGCACACATAATAATATAATCAAGTCGCACTTAATGCAAATTAAAGTTCGATATTATTTTTTTGTCGATGAAAATTATTTGATTTAAATTTGAACATTTTTTTTCAGAGAAAATTTGTCGGAATACAAGTTGACTGAAAACTAAACCCAATAAACCTTTTTCTTGCGCAATCAAAATTGTATATCAGCAAAAAAAGGAACAAAAATAATGATGAATATTGATTAAAAAATAATTCAGATATTCCTGGGCTTTGAGATATTATGAGCTTAAAATAACAGTTTTCAATAACAACATCAAAATACAAGCTACTTTTTTTTAAATATGGTATCAAAAAGTGTTTTCCACCTAAGGTGCAAAAAGAAGGAAACCCGGCCACTTTTTGAATTTTCACTTACTTGTTAAGCATATTTCAAAATTCAGTTTAATGGTATTAAAACATTGATTTTTTTAAAATTAGCTTGGTGAGTGGAGTTTCCAGCAATCTTGTCAACCTTTCAAACATCAACAGAGTAAGACACAAACTCCACTACAAGTATATAAGATATCTGTAATAAGACTTCAAATGATATTTTCAAGCTCATTAATTGAGAGATATAATTTCTTTAATTAATTTTGAAAATATTTACCAATTCTACCTTTTCGGTTGTTGAGTGTGGTTTAATCAGCTAACCACTGTTATAACAATGGAGGGCGTCTTTGGTCGAGATCCCACCCCCGTTGTTGCGGTGGGCGGAATAAACCTGAAGAAATTGTGAACACAATTCATTTAACATTGATCATTATTGGATTCATGGGCGGGGGAAGAAATAAAAAATAATAATAATAATAATATACTATAGCAGAGAAGACCGGAAAAATGTAGCCCAGTCCACACAATTTTTGGACTTCTATTTTTTAAATTGACTTGAGATTGACATTTCTTTGGCTTTTCTTTCCCCGATCCTACCACCCTGTACAGTGACTCCGCCTACGACCAAAGTTTTTCTTCAGTGAGTAAAAGACAGGGGGCGCTATTTGCTTTCCCCTGGTGAAGAAGCGAATATTGTTTTCTGATGGCTTTGCCTAAACCCAAGCAAGAAATATTATTCGCGTACAGGCTACAGTGGGCGCTATACAATGCCTGGCAGGCTACGTGCTGCTCCGAGAGAATCGTGAACGATCAGCCAGCCAGTATTAATAGAAGTTTCTTGAATGTCAAAGACGAGTGGGATTTAAAAAAATGCATCAGCACCAAGTTAAAGTTCAAGTCGGATGATGTTAAAAATTCCTTGAGCGCAATTTGGTGCTTCTTTAATGGAGAGGATATGATTTGAACAAAAAATATTAATATAAATTTTGGTGCCTTGAATGAAAATTTATTGAATTCGAAGATGACATAAGTAACCTGCATCACTGGAGAAACTCGATTTGTTTTATGAAAAAAGACAAAGATAAGGCCAAAAAAAAAAAGTCTCCGGTTTCTGGTATGCGCGCGCGTCGCCGTAGCCATGCGCGTCGGCAAAATGAAAAAAAAAAAATTTCAATGAAAGATGATGTCTCAAAATCGCCAAACTCACTGGTTTGACTGGAATCCTGCCTCTGCACAATTTTAACGTGTTTTTAGATTGGGTTATGGTCGAGAATAAGCTTTATGTGGCCTCTCTGGACTCCCATATATTTGCACTAAGTTTAGTCGGGCACCATTTGCAGTCATCAGCCGACATGTGAAGCAAAAAAATCAGGTAAAAAAAAAAAAAAGCCGCGTCGCCGCACCACTTTTTTGGGCAAGCTCCATACCAGAAACCGGAGACTTTTTTTTTTGGCCTAAAGTCAAAAAAAATGTCAAAGGGCGGATGTGCAACACACAATTCAAAAATATATTTTAAGTATATAGAATGATTTAGGCTTTGTAAATCTACATTGTTAATTTTCAGTGAGCGAAAGCACCAGTTTCCGTGTTCTTAGGGATCATCTGATGTCGGACTTTGAAGGACCTTAGATGGGTGTTTCCGCAGCTGATAAGTCAGCAACTGTCTCTCGAGTTTGATTTGTCGACTAGGTAAAGTTTCATTAGACGAGTTTTGCTTTATAGTTTTGCGTAAAACATTTATGTCCACGTATCTCAAGTCATATTTATACCTCCTCTTTAATACAATGAGAGAAAAAAACGGGTCCCGTCTGGTATAACCTAATCTTGATCATGAAATCTGTGAAATCTGTGAAAAAGTTTTTCTCCTGCTCGTAATATTACCAGTCAATGTATTATATGCAATCGATAATTCCCTCTCCTTTTCATGTCCCGCCTCAGGGTTTCATATATAGCCGGTAGGATATCTCTGTATAATTCCATTACAACTAGATTTTCGGCGGTGATATAATACACAGATAGCCAGAGGATATTTACCATACGCCTCCTGATCATGGCAGGTTATAGAGAGAAAAAAATGTGCATCTATAATATTTCACATTCAGAGGTAGCGTTCAAAGCTTTCTTTAAACCTGCACAGACAAACGCTCTTGCATGTTTTCTAAAACAACTTGGCATTGCTTGTTAAATAAGTTAACAAATGGAATTTAGGAATAAAGGTTACGAATAGCTAAGAAACACCCATTTGCTTTGTGTTAATTTTGATAAAAACTCAGATTCGATTATTCTGTTTTGTTTTGGGCTAGATTATGCAACAAAAGGGTTGATTTGGCTGACTTTTAAATGTGGTGTTTTAAACTAATGCCCAACTGACAGATTGTTTTCGTTATCCCTTGCCTAAGAAATAAATAATCAACTCTGTTGCCGAGTCATCCACAAATGTAATGAACGTTTTAATACTTTTCCAGGTATCGAGTCATAATTCATAGAGATCGGCCTGGGCGCTCCGGACACGTCTCACAGATTCGTGCTTTAATAACGGCAAGTCGGCAGGCCCAGGCCATATAAAACCTGCCTCGATATTAACAACGCTAATGAACTGGACACAGTTTAGTACATAAACTTGACACGATGTAAACACATGAGTTGCCATGGTCCGTGTGTCCAGAACCCAGCACCCATAAAACACCGGGCACACCAAACAAAACGTAAAGGCGTCGGGAAATCTATTAAAACCGCACTTGGATCGGAAGTGTCGAGTTGTAATCACGGGTGGGCGGGGAACAGCTACAATTAAAGTGTCACCTTTCGTAATTTCGGTGCGTCATGCCAGCTTAATGGGTGTCACGATCATGTTGTTTGTATCATTGGTATACTACTAAAACTACCAGCTGCAACATAACAATAATTTCATGCAAGGTGTTTTGAAAATTAGGACTAGCCTAAACAAAACAATAATCAATTGCCCCCCCCCCCCCCCGAGCAGGGTGTCAATGGGGGTGTAGTGGGCAAATGTCCCCGCCCACCCTCGAAAAAATGATAAATTTAGAATATTCTGGAGAAAGTACAAGGATTTTTAGAGCTTTGCCCCCCCCCCCCCCCCCGCCCAGAAAAAATCCTGGCGACGCCCATGGACATTGATCTGAATTATTTGTAAAATCTAAAATCTTAGGAAACCGGCTATCGACTTTGCGTTACACACCCTAACCAAAATTTGGTCTAGATGCTTATATACATTTATAGGTAACATAGCTAGCTACATGAGAACAACAACAGATCAAAATACCAAATTTGCTTTAAATTGTTTCACTCTGAATTAATACAAGAATTCTCATGAAGATTAAATCTTTCTGAGGGGTGTTAATGTTAGCAAGATATCATTTTTAGTAGTGCATGAAGATTTTAGGCACTAACTGATTAAGGTAGGGATTGAAAGCCAAAATCACATGATCACCGAATAAGATTCGAACCTGGGCCACAGACACACAACACACCAATCTGAAAACGCCGACAAGCAAAGCTGCCATATTTTAAAAACTACATCAAGACCTCCCTATATTTATCATAATTTCCAAGAGATGATCTGAGGCAATACGTTGGTTTGCAAAAAGAAGAAAAAGGAATTAGTCTGCAACATCCCTTGCCTATCTTTAAATTCAGTTAAGTGCTATAGCCCCCTTTTGGTAACGCATGGATGATCTAGGTTGCGAAAAACAAGCGCTTGCCGCCGGCTACGAATACTATTCTCGTGATCGAGTCAAGTCATATGCCTTTTTTATGTCTGTTTACTACTGGCTGAGTATTATATTCAGCTTCATATTTCACAATTGGCAAGTGTCGAATGATCAATTTGCATTGATCAGATATACAATTGACGCTTTTTGATAGTTTTGATATCTGTTTCAAACTGTAGCTGCGGGTAATTTCCATGATTAATATTTGTAAAGTACATGAAGATAACACCAAAATAAGCACCATGGCTTTTCGGGCAATTAAACTAGCGTTCTTAGAAGGGCAAATACGTAATACTTTCCCATTGACTCTTCGAAGAAAAGACGTAAATAATAACGGGGAGACGTAAATAGACACTTATTCACTTTTGGATCATAAATTTCACGAGTTTGATGTTTAACAAATACCGCTGAAAAGGACCGGGATGATTGCAAACAAACGTAGCTATTTTTAGATCGAAAGTTTTGACTTCGAATATTTTCATTAGGGGAAGTGAAGGTCTCAATATACATACCCCTTTGCAGGGAACAGCCCCATGCTTCAAACCGCACTCGATATAAGCACGTTTCAAGAAATCTTCCTATAGTTAGTCAAAACAGTCGAGACGTTTAAGCAAGACATTGACACCAAACAACCTTTTTTTAACGAAAAGTCTATGATCAGGAGTCCACGACGGAGTAAGCATTGAAATGCTCCTCATGGAAGAGGCTACTTCGGGAGCAATTGATATATCAATCGCCATCACCCAGTCTAGGTGGTTTCTCTCTCTCTCTCTCTCCCACTCTCTGCTTTTTAATTTGTATTTGCCGGCCACCTTCGGCCAGTGTCTTTGGAAACACGACTCGCCCCTAGGCACAGAAACCCACGTCATCACACGTTCGCCTTAAAAAATACCACAGACACACATGAAACATTTCAAGGTGCCCGCCTTCTTATCGTGCACTTCGTTATATCGTCCTATCTACTCAAGTCCAATGACGTGAGTGCATTGACCACTAACAAGTTCAATTTGGCTTTTGTTATCTCTGCTTGAGTTTTATTGCGTGGTCAGCTGTGTTTTGTAGGAAGGATATTGTATCACTGAGCTTTATCAGGCCCCGAAGGCCAATAATTTTACTCTAGATTAATATCAGTCAGGCTTTGTAGCTAATCAGCATGCGGTGAAGTCAAAAGGAAGAAAGGATGTTCACAGTGTGCTAAGCTATCTGACCATCAAGTTAGTTGATATCATTTC